TTTTTAACCATCTTGAAAAATATGAATTCGTCAATGGGAAGGATGACATCCCCATATATTGTGGAACATAAAATTTCCTGTTTGAAACCACCAACCAGTTTATTGTTAACCATTATTAACCATCATTAAACATCTATCTTCCTCCAACTTTGCCACTTTCATTTCACTGTCGATGGAACTCCCAAGATCGCCGAGCCGCCAATGCGGATCTGCTTCGGGCTTCGCAATGACCGACCTGAGATGGTCATCGGTCATCGGTCAGCGGGTCACGTATCAACTCCAACGCAAATTCCAAAAGCGGCAACGCAAACCAGCATGCATATACTATTTGGAAGGACATGTGTTGTGTATATATATATATATGATTCTATGTGTATATATATACAGTATATTATGATACACGTAGTTTCTCATAGTTTTCTTTGTCTGTGTCTTTACCTACATCATGTGCATGTCGATGCACAACGGAACATCCTCCTGGAGGTCTCCCGAAAGCTCTCCCGATCGGGGAAACCCCACTGCAGCAGCTTCAGGACCACGTCCAAAGCGCCCAGCTGGATCATCTTGGACTGAGCCCATCACTGGATCATTCATGGGATATCATCCGGGATGGCTTTCTGTGTCCAAAACATTCCAAAACATCATAAAACCAGGGATGCCACCCTTTTTAAACATCATAAACCAAAACTTTGGATAACCATTAATAACAATTAACCATCAATAACCATCAATAACCATTAAAAACAATTAATAACCATTAATAACAAGCCAATGGATTTGGGGAACAGCAAAAGGTTATCCGACAAGATCCGTAACGCAGTCGCCTGTAGTCGCCCACGTAATGACAAGCGTTGTAGCACGGCCTTGGAGAAAATCCAGGGGACTCCCCAACCACTACTGCTTGCAGTGACGTGTTGGAAGGGTTGGAACCATGAATTGGAGGACTAACATGACAGCATTGGGGATGTTTAAGAGCTATGATAGCAACACAGCTGATTTGAATTGGAGGATGAACATCAGGAAATCACCTGTGCATTTTTCTCGACAAGTTTCTCCGTTCTTTCCACTTTGTTTCACATGGCTGGTCAAAATCACCCATAAAACAAATGGTTAAAATGGTTACCCTCTGATTAAAACCTCCATTTATCATGGATTTTCCATGGCCATGTTAAATAACCAGAGGGTAAATACCCCACCGATTTGGCAGCCTTTGCCCCATTTTTTGCAGGTTTTGAAAAAAAATGGCCCCATCTGCTGGGTCACACGATTGGCCTATCATGACTCCATGTCCCACTGGCCCATTATATCACATACAAATTGCATAAACATGCAAAAACATGCACAAGATATCCCATGATATTCCTAATCATTCCTAATCATTCCTAATCATTCCTAATGTCTGTCCCATATTACCGTTCTAATCGTTCTATCATATCATCCACATTCGCATCCCCTTGACCATCCCAAAGCAATCTAAGAGACTCTGCCAAAAACATCAAACAAGTTAGCCGATTAGTAGATATTCCTATTAGCATTGCAAACGATTAAAGGATTCACCAGCGAATATGGGCCTGCTGAGATCTTCTGACCCAACCGCAGTTGGCTATAGAATGAGCTTCAGATCTGAGTATATATGGAGGTTTCCATAAATGGGGGGGGTATCATTTAAATCATCCATGTTATTCTTGGATTTTCCATTCTAAACTTTAGCAAGACCATCCAGCATCAAGGGATACCCCCATGACTCAGGAAACCTCCGTATATTAGAAAAATGGTCCATATGGAGGTTTCCTAATGAAACCTATGGGTTTGGGGGATTCCCCATTAAAAAAATAGTATCCATCCAACCCAAATTATATATATATATACTATATACATCATATACATATATATATATATATACATATATACACATTATATATATATACACCACATTATATATGTATGTACATATATATATATATAAACATATACACATTATATATATATATATGTTCATCATCAGATCTTCCCATCCAACCCACCTGAGCTCATCCAACCAAGCAATGCATATGCTGAAGGCTTCGCTGTGCCAAGCTGGCAATGGAGATCAAGGCTGCAATGCAGCCCGTGCCCAACGCCTGGTGATGGCCCTGGAGATGGCCATGTTATGGGTTTCATGGGATTTCATGAAGTTTACCCTCTGGTAAACATACCAAAAACTATGGAAAATCACCATTTTGAATGGGAAAATCCACTATTTCTATGACCATTTTCAATAGCTATGTTAGTTTACCAGAGGGTGGGTAACTAATGAGATTTAATGGGATTTCATTGGATATTGGTGATTCACTGGGATTTTTCATTGGGATTTTTCCTGGGATTATGGATTGTATTGGTGCTTTCATGAAGATTTCATGGGATTTCATGGGGACTACATGGGAATAGAATCTAGGAATCTGGGGTGAAACTGAACTTGATGTTAAGTTAACTGTTTTTCCCCACCTGCCAGGTGAGGGTTGTTAGATTTTATGTCAGTTGCCTCCTCCTTCTCCTCCGCCTCCTGCCTCCTCCTCTCCTCCTCTCCTCCTCCTCCTCGTCCTCCTCGTCGTCCTCGTCGTCCTCGTCGTCCTCGTCGTCCTTGCTCAACTGCGACCCGCGATCCACAGTGTTCTCTGCCGGACCTCAACCACGACCATCCACGCCCAGTGTTCCCTGCCGGACCTCAACCACGACCATCCACGCCCAATGTTCCCTGCCGGACCTCAACCACGACCATCCTCGCCCAGTGTTCCCTGCCGGACCTCAACCACGACCATCCACGCCCAGTGTTCCCTGCCGGACCTCAACCGCGAGTATCCACGCCAAGTGTTCCCTGCCGGACCTCATGTAGGAAGATATGGGACAAAGAATGTGCAGAAGAAAGTTAGAAAGAATGTCAGAAAGAATGTCAGAAGATATGCCAGAAGATATGCCAGAAGATATGCCAGATAGAATGCCAGATAATATGCCAGAAGATATGCCAGATAGAATGCCAGATAGAATGCCAGAAGATTTGCCAGATAGAATGCCAGAAAATATGCCAGAAGATATGCCAGAGATATGCCAGAAGATATGCCAGAAGATATATGCCAGAAGATATGTCAGAATATATGCCAGAAGATATGTCAGATAGAATGCCAGAAGATATGTCAGAATATATGCCAGAAGATATGCCAGATAGAATGCCAGAAGATATGTCAGATAGAGTGCCAGAAGATATGCCAGATAGAATGCCAGAAGATTTGCCAGATAGAATGCCAGAAGATATGCCAGAAGATATGCCAGATCATTTGCCAGAAGATATGCCAGATAGAATGTCAAATAGAATGTCAGAAGATATGTCAGATAGAATGCCAGAAGATTTGCCAGTAAGAAAATGTATAAATGTCATGGTGGGGATCACACGAAGTAAAGTAATTTTTCACTTCACTGTGAGACTTCATTCGTGGGGAAATTAATGATCAGGTTGATGTTACTTAAGTAAGCTGTTTTGTTGATGAAGTTGTGTACCCTTGTCGAGATATTTCTCGTGCTTACCCATCCCAAAAAGGCGAAAGAAGTAGAATCCATCTGAAGGCACTAGAGCCACCGTCGGATTCTCACGTTAATTATGTAGATTCTATACATCAAGCCGTTTTTCAACATGAAGTTCAGTTTCACCCATGATCCTATTCTATCCCCATATAGTCAACATAAAACCCTATGAAAAAAAAACACATGAAAAAAACCAGTGAAATCCGAGTCAATCCCAATAAAGTACAATAAAGTCCCATTAAATCAACAATCATATCCAATGAAATCCCATAAAACCCAATTAAAGCCCATGAAACCAACCAACCAACCAATGTGACAGACCTCTGCTGCTTCGATTTCTCGACGTCCAACCACCTGCAAACATATAGGAACTTAACCGACTTAACCATCAAACATGGCGGTATACTTCGTATATAATGGGAGGTAATTGGATTTAAAGAAATCCAATGGGACCTTTATGGGAATTTTGTGGGATTTAGTATGATTTCTATGGAAATGGGGATAATGTCGGGATATAATGGGATATACCCTCTGGTAATTTCCCAGTTTGTGAAATGTAACATCACCATTCCTAACAGGTGAAGCACGGAACTAAATGTTTCAATAGCCAAGGGTACCAAGAATGGAGGTATACTACAAATCAAAGATACAAACATGATCAAACATGTAAGTCCTGAAAGTCAAATGATGTCAAATGACTCATTTCACCCACCAAAGGTTGTCATACTGCTCCACAATTTGCCTCGGGAGTTAAACAAGTCATTCGGATTTTCGAGTAAAAATGATGTGAAGGCTGAATTTGAGGCAATATTACAAACATGGAAGCAACTGGATGAAATGGCGTACCTTCGCCGTGACGCGAGACTGAAGTCTTGATGTTGCTAGAGTCAGTTGTGGCTGTAAGATTTCCAAACTTTGGTTTGCCACACGCAATGGTCAAAGGTGATCAAACTATGTATATATATATCATATATATCAAACATTATCAAACTATATCAAACTACTCCATATTTTACTGTAAGTTTTGATCCATACCCATGCGACATCATGTGAAGATGTCGACCCCCACTCCAGGTGATCTCTGTTGAACAGGTGCTCCAGCACGAAAATCTTGAGGAAAACGATCTCAAGTCGCTGCTTTGCAGCTCTTACCACTTTGGAGAAGTCGGATGGTTTTTCGGCTGATGAAACGGGTCTGCATCGGCCAGGCGCTGTAAGTTGAAGAATATGGCTATGTCTGAAACAATCAGCACAATTTTCATAGGGAAAATACAGCAATATACAGCAAAACAATGATAAACCATCAACTTTGCCTTCTTCTAAAATGTTCAGACAACTCCATATCTTTTCTTCACTCTTGTGCAACCCAGCGGCGCCCCTTTGGCAACTTGTTCAACCCACCTCATCCCATCTCAGAGTGTCGCAGTAGATGGATATCACAACCAAACATAACCAGTTTGCAACCCAGGAGTGGTTTCTTTGTTGGGTAATCTCGCTGGTTTGCTATTGCAAGTGCTGGCCGGATCTATTTGGCCTCAGATTCTTTCGGATCCGGCCCTCATTTCGCAGTTGGGCACGATGTACAAACGCCAGGCAGGAAGGATCATCCTGGCTGTCTTCCAGGGTCGCCATCCCGTGCAAAAATCGGAACACGCCTTAAGTGTTGATGATATCCATTTACACTAAGATAAGAACATCTCTGAGTATTTTGATGTATGTTTGTAAGATTTACTTTTCTACATGTTCTCTCTTTTTTGGGGTTGTCATAATTGCCAGTGAACAGGTATCCACAATCTATAGATTTGCTAGTGACCTGGTACTTCACATTCCATGAGGCTCCAGGTCAGTGACCAGTGATTTACAGCCCCGGCTCCGTCTAAACAGAAGTGTATGATGATTTGGGATCTCCCGCACGATCTCATGCAAACCTAAGTACATATAAGTACATACATGATCATACACGCACTTATCGTAATATCTCGTAGTTATAGGGGTCAAAATCCCCCAGTATGTATCCCATGGAAAAAACCTATCCACAAACAAGGCAACCGGTTGACTAGTTTGAATTTGAGATTTTCGAGGCTAAGAGACAAAATGCTGGTATTTGTGGGACTTGTCAAAGAATGTTTGCAATATGGACATTCATTTCGATTGGCAGGCGTGTGACACAAGTTCAAAAATGTACTTTTCGCATCATTTCGCCTGCGCGGTGAATCAATTTTCTTCTTCGAGTGCCTAAAAAAAACATTAGGAATTTATGATTTTCAAGTTTCCCATGCAAACATCCACCAGATCATCCATCCATTTTTCTTCACCTCTCGAAGCATCAGTGCCAAAGTGCTTTCGGCAAAGCCGCGGCCACAGACTCAAAGCCGCGGCAACAAGTTCCGTGGGCCCTGTGTTATTCTCGTCAAGAACGTTATCACACCCCCCAACCCTCCACCCCCCCCTGTTGACCATAAGAGAGTATGTGCAACATGTTAACAAGGGCAACAAGTTCTTGCAGGAACCTTAAGACATCCAACCCCTTCAATTCTTGAAACCTCCACCAGGACGACCGAGCAAAACAGTGCAGCAAAGTTTCGTTGCGAGTAAGGCAGCGAGTAAAGCTTCGGCCAAATGCGGTGGAATGATCCTTGGAGGACGGAAAATTGGTTGATATACATAGTTGATGAATGATCAGTTGGAAAAAACACATGGTAAATTAAGCAACTAAGCTTCATTCCATTGATTAGTTATATACATACTTGATCATACTTGGTGAACATGCATGAATTATAAGAAATTAACTAATTAATTATCCGGTTTGCTGATCAACCAAACATTTCAGTATTTATACAATATAACATGCCAGCAACAACCGTTGTTGATGGATTATTGGCCACCACAAAAAGTCGTCTCTATCAATCCCACCGCTCAAATTCACAGAACCAGCTGAGGAACGTGACGTGAGGCAATAACATGCGATGGCTTCGGGGGGCACTTTCACATACGGATATTTAGTTCTTGACTCTAGAGTTTGCAGCCATGACTAAAAACTGTGTTGCTTTCGGTGCACCTACCGAAAGTAAAGTTTCTGCATGACCATAGATGCTATTAGTTGGTCTTGCGTGCCTTTAGCCTACATACCCATATCTGTTTAATTCTATTTACATATGTATACTTGCATGTGTGTATACAGATATATATCTATATATAAATATAACACATATGACACTACAGCAACCAATATTGCGGTTTCAAATAGATAGCACAACAAAAAAAGGACACATACATAAATATGCGTATGGCTATGTAAAGTCTATGTGAATGTGTCATCACACACACACAAATAAAAAACATCATGATATGGACATCTACTGTATTATGTTCATAGGATCCCCAAAACTTTCTTTGTTTATCATGATTTTTCCATTCTGCCGGCAAATAAGAGGTTCCTCGCTTTCGGTCCTGCAAAAATTCGAGTTGTTAACTCCCAGCCGCGCCAAGGATCTTGGTCCTCTCGCAGGCTTTGCTGACGCAGCCTTCGAAGGCCTCTTCCCAACTGAAGCCGACCAAAATGGCCATAGCCTCAGTCGATCCGGGGACAGGTGGAGGTGAAACCAAAGTCATGGGGAAATCCCAAAAATGCTGGATGGTTTCCTCTGGTAAACTAACATAGCTATGGAAAATCACCATGCTATTCATGGGAAAATCCACTATTTCGACTGGGTCATTTTCAATAGCTATGTAACAAATTACTAGAGGGTATCATGGAAAATCCCAATCTCAAATGGATGATGACTGGGGGTAGCCCTATGACTTGTTGGAAACCTCCATGTGGAGAACTCATCAACCAACAATTGGGATGGCCTTGGAACCTCCAATTTGAAAATACGGTACCCGGTGGGTGAATGACAAACCTAGTGGTTCACCATGGGTAAACATGGTGAATCCTGTGTTAAAATGGGATGCTTAATGGGTATCCTACTATGGATGGTTGCGAAATCCTGCACCAGACAGGGGAACTATTGGATAACTCTGAAACACAATACACAATGGGATTATAGTGGGATAGACCATCTACCAACCGGTGCAGGATTTCTTCCATCCACAGTATGTTATCTATGATACTTGAATTATTTTGAATTGATTTATGGTTATCCTATCCACCTGATTCCTTTTGGACCCCGCAGCGATGTATGATGTATTTCTTGATGTCTAATCATCATTTGATGTTTCATATTTATTGAGGATTTTCTCCAGGGCTTATTTTAGGGGGGCTGACCTTATGGATCTTGGATCTATAAAGAACTGTAAGATCAGCATGTGTGATGTTACTATCGCAATCATACTGTAACCCTAAAGGGTTTCGACAAAAACATGTATCTATATATTTAACTAATTTCAAAGGGATTAGACCATTAAGAACAATAATAGCCAATTAGATTAAAGTAGTATTTTTTGCGTTACAGGTTTATGGCAGGTTTACCACAGTATCAGGAATAGAACATCCAACACTAACCCCCATAGGTTATTAACCACATTCACCATTATCAACTATTATGAACTGTACTGTAGATTGGATGATTCGCGCCATCATTATTCCTATGAAAACCACATGGAGCATTATGAACCATTGTGAACCATTACAAACCATTATTGACCATAGACTAGATTATTCGCCATTATTCACTTAACCACAGATTAGCCATATATTATCCATCATTTAGATTCTTCACTATTAACCATAGATTATGAGCTGCATTAACCATTATTATTCATAGATTATTAGAATAGATTCTTCATAATAACCATAGATTATTCATAGGTTATTGTGAACCATATTAACCATTATTATTCATAGATTATTCACTTCAACCATCCTCACGGGGCGAAGCTTTTCGCATTCCGCTGGCCTTGATGATGGTCTTGGAGCCCCCGAGGACCAAATTGTGCTCCAGCTTTAAACCTCGAAAAACCGTCCCATCGTTCGAGGTTTTGTTGGGGATTATTGTTAGGGGATTTTACAGGATTTAGCCTCTGGTAATGACTAACATAACTATGGAAAATCACCATAGAAATAGTGAATTTTCCCATGAATAGCATGGTGATTTTCCATAGTTATGTAAACGTTTACCAAAGAGTAAATGGATTTTGCTGGATTTGAAAGGATTCATTGCTGGATTTTAATGGGATTTTAATGGGATTTCAATGGATCAATTGAAGCCTATGTGCAGCTGCAGAAAAAATTGGTGGCTGTCGTGTGAATGGACCTCACTTTTTCAGTGTCTTGTCGTCTGAAATCGCATAGATGGACAGTGAAGGCATCAGAAATATCCTCCACCAAGACACACATCAACTGCACGTTGTCTGCAAAGCCTCAGCACAGTCATCTCGCACATTGGTTGTGTGTCTTGGCATGTGGTAAAAATCAAGTCATTCCCCATACAAGGTGGTGCCCCCCCAGCTATAAATGGGTTATAATCCCATTGACTATAGATATATCACCTATAAACCATAGTTTTTGACCTTATAAACCAACTTAGCTAACTATGGGGCACCACCCTGTATTTCCATAAAGTTACCAGAATTGGTTGGTATAAGCCATCCCCAGTCTGGGTTTGTCTGGAAAGTGGTACCCCGTTCCATCCATCATCATTTTCGAGTTATCCAATGATCACATCTGGGGGCCCATACCCGCTTTGCAAACAAACCAAAACTGGTTGGTGGTTTCAACCCCTCTGAAAAATATGAGTTCGTCAGTTGGGATGATGAAATTCCCGAAAAAAAAGGACACATAATCCAAATGTTCCAAACCACCAACCAGAAAATTATATTGGCGCTTACATTTCCCATGTATGGTGGGTTATAGATCACTATTCTTGGTGGTGAACCACACCATTTTCAGACACACCCAACACTATATTGATGGTCATATCCCATTCGATCCCGATACATCAAATTCAAACGACATCCCTTGAAGCTTAAAGGGAACTTAATGGCATTTGATAAGATTTGGTTTTATAAAAAATCCCATGAAATACCTTGCAAGTTCCCGTTCTGTTTTTTCGCACCCATCCCGGGCATCTCATTTTGAGCTGCTGAGAGATCTGGAGGCTGGTCTGGAGTTGGACCTGCTGTGAGAGGCCCCAGTGAGTGGTTGAGAATCCAAATATATATAGTGTCAACATATGTGCATATATATATATATATTATAAATTCAGATTGTATCTTTGTAGCGAATGTAAATATATTATATAATATATATATATGTAGCGTATGTATATATATATATATATGTATGCATATATATCGCGTATATATATATATATGTATAGTGCATATAAAGTTTATGTTGTGTATACACAATGTATATGCGTATATCAAATATGCAACTGTTGCAAACATCCCATTATATCCCATTTACACATCGCGATAATCTGAACGTTTACATTTACATTAGAGCAATCCCCCCAGAAAAGAAACAGTAAAATCATGTAAAATCTAAATCATTTATACCAAATGCTAATTCGGATGCATCTAGACATATGCCCTCTGGTAATCAAACATGGCTTGCTGGCATATCCTTCATTTATTGTTTTTTTTCCCATTCAACCCTTCATTTTTGTTGAGGGATTTTCCAGCCACATTTGATTACCAGTCTTCCTACCAATTCCATCCAAAAAAGGCACAGAAACACCAGGTTTTCGAGTTGGATTGTAACCGTGTTTGACAAAAAGAATCAGGGCACCAAATGCCATAAGTTTCCACATTCAACATGACGAATTGTCGATGATTTGGGGGGGACATTTCTGACTTTTTCTTGGCGGAAATCCCAAAAAATTGGTACTCGCCATAGGTTGCAACCGGCAAGGACCTGGATGAATTCTTCCTCCGCAGTCTTCCCTCTTCTCTCAACCTCGTGACAGCAGAGGACTGATGAACATCCAGGAATCCATGAGTCGCCACCACTCATCTGTCCACATAAACGAAATTAGTTCTGTCTAGCCACAGTCCAGAATCAATCCATGTTTCATCCATGTCACAATCAATCGAATTCACCATTGCCATTGCTTGATGTCTATTTACCTGTTCTACCCTCAACAAAAAGATCATCCATTCTCCCGACCCGATCACCCCAGTGAAAAGCCTCATCCCGAAACTGATTGGTTGATCCCTAAACCAGTGAGCATAGCCAATTGGTGAGCCCTATAATTTTCGTCTACTATAAACAATCGTTGAGGGCTTGATCTTGAAAGTTTGTTCTCCCATTTCCATAAAAAGTCCCCCTTTTCCTTTGCCGTGTTTGCCATGGCCATATATCTCCCAAGTGTTGTTTGCTAGAGGGGTAACTTTTCATGACTCTCGACTATTCATTTTTTGATTATATGCCCACTTTTTCACATCCAAGGATGGCTTCTACCACCCATTTCTGGTCACATTGTTTCACCATGGTTTCTAGTGGGAGCTGTTTAATATTAGGGATAACGCAATCTATCAATCTATCAATCAATCAATCTATCTATCTATCAATCTGTCTATCTATAGATTGTTAAATAAATTTATAGATAACCAGCCATAACCAACAGTGATCATCCCATCCGATTCATCAGGCAACTCTTCTCCAGTTTTGGCTTCACAGACCTTCTGTCTGTCGATGACCTGTCCCAGGTCTTTCCAACATCGACATATGAGTTATATATGATATATCGACATACATACCATTAACCCATAATACACTAATACGTATATATATATATACATATTAATATACATACCATTAACACATTATACACTAATTTGTATATATATACACATATCATTAATCCATTATAATTGTACTAATTCATATATTCATCTGTATATATGTATGTTTATGCATCTATGTATAATGCAATCAATGTATGTGAATCTATGTATGTACACATCTATTTAAACACGATAGACATATTGCAGTTTTCTCATACTGTCTGAACATGAACTAAGTACCGAGAACTACCAACTATATTACATCTAACTACCAACCACTGCAAACATCAGAGTTTTGGGACACGTCTCCACTGTTCATCCACCACCTGGGAACAAAACAGATAAAATCCTGATGGAATTTCAAATCTTCATGACACATGAGATTTTCTTCATAGCCGCATGACATTCCAGAAGGCCAGGATTCCCAAACGTATAGCATATCAATTCCCAGAAATCTAGGGAACATTTGCAGAGAACCCTTGCAGTATATTGGATGATGAAACCTCTATGCTTTCCTCAAAAAAAACATCCAATCATTCCTCAAAAATCCCACAAGAGCATCAGAGAACCACACCTTGTTCATCATCAGGACCATCCCAAATGCCTCAGATTGATCTGATCGGCGCGAAAGGCGACGACCGATGTTGCTGCAACGCGACTCGACCGCTCGTGCGGTCAAGCGTCCAGAACGGAGAAGATGACGCTGAGCACAATACCTTGGGAGCTTCACGCACCAAAGGCAATGGTTCTGGTGTTTTGTCAAAAATCCCTTGGCACTATGAGTCAGTGAGAGTGCTTGGATCATTTTCAAAGAACCCCAAGGATTGACAGGTGATTGAAGCACGCCTAATATGTTTCAGCTGGGTTGGTACCTGTACCGGTACCAAAGTTTACCCCAGTAAGTATGTAACCACCAAAAAATACGTTAATGCCGTTAAACCATATGTTTATTTGAATCACATTTTTTTGCTATACAAAACCCCATGTTTTGTGTTTACATCACCATCTGTGCTCAACAAAAGTCAGCATTTTTGCCCTCCCCTTGTTGCTCTCACCATGGCCGCGGCGCGAGTCATGACATCAACGACCTGATCTCCGTCAAAAGAGGTGCAGTACAATCGCTTGCCACCTTGCAGCGGTATCATTGTTGATCCGGGATTAGCCACCAAAACTAGGGATTCAATGGGATTTCATGGGATTTAGATGGGATTTAGATGGGATTTCATGGGATTTAGATGGGATTTAGATGGGATTTAGATGGGATCTACTCTCTGGTCATTTCAGAGTTTGCTATGGAAAATGGCCCAGTTATAGTTGATTCACCTATTAAAAGTGGTGAGTTTCAATAGTTATATTAGTTTACCAGAGGGTAATAGGATGTACCCTCCAGAAAAACTGGTCCAACAGTAGTGTCTTGGTGTTCGCATCAAATAGCTGGGATAGCTGGATGTTGATATATATATATATACATGTATATGTATAATATGTATATGTATATATAGTCGGGAACTGAAACTTAGAATGAGGTTTCAATTTCCAAAATTTTCAGTGGAACACTTAGAATGAGGTCTGTTAGAATGAGTACCGGCAACATTTTTATAATATATAGATTTATAAAGGAAAAAGGAAAGGAAAAAGGAAAGGAAAAAGGAAAGGAGAAAGGAAAGGAGAAAGGAAAGGAGAAAGGGAAGGAGAAAGGAAAGGAAAAGGGAAAGGAAAAAGGAAAGGAAAAGGGAAAGGAAAAAGGAAAGGACAAAGGAAAGGACAAAGGAAAGGAAAAAGGAAAAAGGAAAGGAAAAAGGAAAGGACAAAGGAAAGGAGCAAGGAAAGGAGAAAGGAAAGGAGAAAGGAAAGGAAAAAGGAAAGGAGAAAGGAAAGGAGAAAGGAAAGGAGAAAGGAAAGGAAACAGGAAAGGAAAAAGGAAAGGAAAAAGGAAAGGAAAAAGGAAAGGAAAAAGGAAAGAAAAAAGGAAAGGAAAGAGGAAAGGAAAGAGGAAAGGATTGGTGTGGCATTCTAAGTGTTACAAATGCAGCCGGGAGGGACAAAAATCGTCAAGGAAAGCATAATTCACGTGGAAGTCAGCAAAAATCATAAAATACATGCCCCCAAAACCCTTGGACGCATTCTATGTGTAACATTTTTTGCAGCATTCTAAGTGTTAAACCGTGTGGTTAACTTTCCAAAACATCATTCTAAGTTTCGGTTCTCAACTATATATATATATATACATATATATTCCCAAACTCACATGACAAGAAAAGACATGGGATCTTGACCAATCATTTGGTGTTTTTTTATTTGATGGGTGCAATCCACGTATCCAAACTTGTTGATAATGTGTCAAATGATAACCCTCTGGTTATTTAACGTAGCGAACTGGAGAATCACAATTTTCAATGGGCAAATTGTAGGTAAATCATCTATAAATGTGCCATGTTCCGTAGCTATGTGAAATAACAAGAGGGTAAAACAACAACTATATTTTCATACACACATATACTCATAATTCTCAATCCTCACTATATCATACTATATCCATAGTTTCAAAGATTTCATTTCAACAAGTTTTCAGATCAAGTCGGGTTGGACTGTCACAGCAACATTTGATCATGACGACCCTGCCATGAGTGGCGGTGTTCAGGGTCTATGTTAATTTGGGAGAGGGTAGAAAAACATCATGTGACTGTCACTATCACTATTGTTGCCTTCATTGTTCTCTTTGTTGATATTTAATGCTTGTATCACCAACATTGTCATTTACATTGTGTATTTAAATGCATTGATAATGATGACGATCATGATTATACTGATGACAATGATAAACTGAGAATGATGATCACAGTTATATATTGATAATTAGCAATATTAACGATTTAACACCACTAAATTACTTTACTTCGTGTGATCCCCACCATGACATTTATACATTTTCTTACTGGCAAATCTTCTGGCATTCTATCTGACATATCTTCTGACATTCTATTTGGCATTCTATCTGGCATATCTTCTGGCATATGATCTGGCATATCTTCTGGCATATCTTCTGTCATTCTATCTGGCAAATCTTCTGGCATTCTATCTGGCATATCTTCTGGCACTCTATCTGACATATCTTCTGGCATTCAATCTGGCATTCTATCTGGCATATCTTCTGGCATATATTCTGACATATCTTCTGGCATTCTATCTGACATATCTTCTGGCATATATTCTGACATATCTTCTGGCATATCTTCTGGCATATCTTCTGGCATATCTTCTGGCATATCTATCTGGCACATTCTTCTGGCATTCTATCTGGCAAATCTTCTGGCATTCTATCTGGCATATCTTCTGGCATATTTCTGGCATTCTATCTGGCATATATTCTGACATATCTTCTGGCATTCTATCTGGCATTCTATTTGGCATTCTATCTTGCATATCTTCTGGCATATCTTCTGACATTCTTTCTGACATTCTTTCTAACTTTCTTCTGCACATTCTTTGTCCCATATCTTCCTACATGAGGTCCGGCAGGGAACACTTGGCGTGGATACTCGCGGTTGAGGTCCGGCCGGGAACACTGGGCGTGGATGGTCGTGGTTGAGGTCCGGCAGGGAACACTGGGCGTGGATGGTCGCGGTTGAGGTCCGGCAGGGAACACTGGGCGTGGATGGCCATGGTTGAGGTCCGGCAGGGACCACTGGGCGTGGATGGCCGTGGTTGAGGTCCGGCAGGGAACACTGGGCGTGGATGGTCGTGGTTGAGGTCCGGCAGCGAACACTGTGGATCGCGAGTCGCAGTTGAGCAGGAGGACGAGGAGGACAACGAGACGAGGAGGACAACGAGAGGAGGAGGACAACGAGAGTAGGAGGACGACGAGAGGAGGAGGAGAGGAGGAGGAGGAGGAGCAGGCAACTTAGATAAAATCTAACAACCCTCACCTGGCAGGTTGGGAATAACATTAGCAATATTAAAGATATTGATGATATAAATGATATCAGTGATATTTATGATACTAAACATATTTATGATATTAAAGAACATAGATGTATTAGTAATAGTAATAATACATAATGATACCTATGATAATAATTATATGAATGATATTCATGTCACTTAACAATAATGATGATAATGATGATCATGATCAACCTAATAACAATCATCACAATCGATTCTTAAAGATAAACTATGATCTAATTTGGTCACGTCTTGGTGAACTTCACACCGTAAAAATGTATGCTGCAACCATGCAAACAACAGCCATTTCTGCTACTACAGGCATGTTACGAGCGGCAGTTCTGGATGAGGTTTTGTCAGCTCTCCATGCGACCCTGTGTGAGTCTGAACTTACCCTCTGGTAAACTAACATAACTATGGAAAATCACTATTTTTAATGGGTAAATCCACTATAAATGGCTATTTTCAATAGCTATTTTGACATAACCAGAGGGTAATCGATTTCAAGCCAAGTTTCCATAGTAGCCTTGGTGCCGTGGCAAAATCCACGGGAAAGAAACCACAGCAGCTCAGTAAACGCTCTAAAGAACTGAAATTTTATGGCTAAACACGAGGGTTGCTAACAACAACTGGGTTTGTCTGAAACTAGAGTAGTCATCACGCAATTCCATATGCAGTGTTCACCAGTTTTCACCAGTTTTCAGTGCCACAAATTCAAGATGTCTCTCAACTCAAGGTCACCAAGGTCCATTACACCAACCATTTTGTGCCCCATGAACCCCATCAAACCCCACTACCCTCCGGTAAACTAACATAGCTATTGAACATGACCCATTTATAGTGGATTTACCCATTAAAAATGGTGATTTTCCATAGCTATGTACACGTTCACCAGAGGGTAAACCAACCATTTTGGGATGAAAAAAAACCCGACTTCTCCAGGTCGGTCAAGTCACTGCACCAGGCACAGCACATGCAGCCTGGGCCCCACGTTAAACTCTCACAGATCTTTAGGTCCAACCGCAACCGCATGGTATTTATGTCACTTGTGTAACTTATGATATGTACATTATGTACATTATGTATCATTCAGAAATATTCAGAATCTATATTGATATCGAGATACACAATGATACGCCATATTACATCATTCAATGCTGCATGGCATGCGTTAGATCCCGCAGGTTTCTGCCATTTTTGCCCGGTCCCAGCAGTCCCCTGCCCGAACTACTCATCGAATCTCATCGATATAATGGGTAGTACAATCCCTGAACTACCCGACCTGGTAAACGTTTACATAACGAACTGGAAAGATCCACCATTTTACAGCTGGGTAAATCCACGAACTAAATCACCATTTTCAATAGCTTTTTGTATGTTTACCAGAGGGTAATCATCACTGGGCCTTTGAACACTGAACAGTGGCCCAGCCGTGGCCCAGTGACAAATCAATTGGAAGATGTCCATGACTCGCTTGGATCGTGGCCGTCGTCGGATGGTGTTCACCTTCAACTCCGTGAGCTGCACCGAGAGCACCGCGACCTTTTTGCACTTTCACGAGGGTTTTGACCGTAAAGCATGGATGAATAATGACCAACATGAACCAACCATTCTGTTGGTTAGGTTGGTTTACTTCCATGAAATATCAGCGTAAAAAACAGTTATGCATCATTGTTGCTGGCTAACCCAAAAATGCCGCATCGTTCAGCCAGTATATCCCGGATTATCCCGGTAGACCTCTTGAAATGGCGATGCTATCTCTGGATAAATCCTCTCTTAATTCGCCTGAAAACCTGGGCCAAAGTCTGGAAAACTTACCCAACTCCAATTCCAATCATTCCTGTGACTTTGCAGTGAGGTCGCTATAAATCATCCAATTGTGGAAGCCATAATATATATACATATATATATATATTATGTAATACAATTATCTATATACTACCCATATAATACGGTATTGATATGTGAATGAACATGCTGATGGAAAAGGTATGATATGAAATGGTAATTGAATGACCCGGAAGAACATGGTATAGAATGGTATAAATACGGATGGATTACGTAGTAGCCAATATGGAAAAACTTGTTGTCGATCCAAAACCAAATGTCAACTCCAGATTTTCACATCAATTTTTAGACAGTAGCTGGTATATACTGTTGTAGATGTAAATAATTACACCCTGGTAAATTAACATAGACCCTGAAAATCACCAATTTTTAATGGAAACTAGTCTTCCAACCCCTATCTGCCAGGGTCTATGTTAATTTACCAGAGGGTATATAAATAATTACCCCATTCAGAACATTCATCTTTGGAAAATCACAGGTCTGTCATCTCGGAGAATCACTCCAAAGAGAGCATCTTGGATAGCTTGTGGCAAGTCTCCTATCCTTGGAAACACGAAAAAAATGTGGTTCATAGCTGGGAAAAAATAGGTAAATCTACATGTAAAAATGCACTAGAAATCGTGGTTTAATGGGAAAACCCATTGAACTAAATGGTTGACTTTCCTGCTAACCATTGTTGAACTGTTCCCGTTCCATCCAATTATTCCCTGCTAGTAAAACGTTAGAATGGTATAGAATGGTTGGTTTTATCCCATTTCTTGAACTCTTCCACTAGAAACTTCAAAATCCCCTCCGGTAATCAAATATGGTTAGCTGAAAAATAGTTCGATGAATTTACCATTAACACTCTGATTTCTAGTGAATTTTCATAGGTTTTGCCAGATGTTCCAACGATTCTCCCATGAATACCATAATTCAAACAGGATTCCTGGGTGATTTTCCCATTTTTTCCCATTAAAACCTCCATTTTATAATATGTAATGGATGGTTGAAAGAGGTGTAAAAGCTCCTGGCAACTTGGCTGTACCTCATTCAAGCATCTGGCCATGTTTGACGCCAGCTCCCAATATTTTGACCGAGTTGCAAAGGCAAAGAGAACGCTGCAAAGCAGCAAGACTCGCGCCCTGGAGGCATTGGAAGGTGGGCTGTGTCAATGGGCTGTACCCCGATTTATGGCTGTTTTCACAAGGGAAAATGGTGATTAACTATGCTTAACTATAATTTTTGATGTTTTTTCAATGGGGAAAATGGTGTTTATCTATTCTAAACTACAGTGGATGGAATGGCAAAGGCGAAAAAAAAGCCTGTTTCTACAACGCCAAATGGGGGACCGTTGCCCCATCTTGCCCCTGATCTTGATCTTAGGATCTTGAAATCGTGGGCAGCCTTCCAAGAGTGAGACACTAATGAGGTGAACCAAACCAACTTCCCTCGCCTTGTTGCGGGCGGCTCGTTCCCTTCTGGATCTGGTAATTGTCCACTGGTGTGGTAGCGCAAGGACTGGCAGATCAAAAATGACAAACACAGCGCTGCGATGTCGTTCTCCTTGGACCCGGCGTTCTGCAAGTGATGTTGTTGCTATCAAGATCTGCCACTTAAACTATACAATAGAAATCAGCTGACCAAGATTTGCATAGGTAAAAATGGGGTAGAGAACTAGTATCTGATCACTGGATTCATAGTTGTTATTACTATTATCATTGTTACTAGATCTTCAATGTTCTTCATTGCTATGGGTGTTTGAACATGGTATAGTATTCCCCAACATTTTCGGGTCCCAAACTGTTCTTATAACCTGGGGAAACAAACTCATCACTAGACTCCCTTGCATCCAGCCGATGCCTTTCTTGAACCCCCCAACTTGATGTTTTCTCCAAAACGGGGATACCAACAACGTAGAAGTTGATCCACTCCAAGAAGCCCCGGTATTTTTTGATCGTTTTCTACCTGCTCCTTTACCATTGCCAATTGTCAAACTGATCTCCATTTAAAAAGGACATGTATTCTGCGAATCTGCCATACAAAAACATGGATATAGGATGATATAGGTCAAAATTGAGTACCCCGAATAGTTAGATGGTTAATAAGCTTAGTACTTACTATATAAACATATACAAGTCAATCTGTGGTCCCTTCTGGAACTCAAATGTTGACTCGTCCATAGAAATGTCAGCCCGAGGGACGGCTTCGTGAGTTTGCTCCTGGATGGTGATTGTCCCGCTACAGTTGGCTGGTGCTTTGTTAATGCTTCGGTTGAATGGACATGGGAAATCATGGGATGTGATCTTCGACTTCAAACCAACCATCAATATGAGGATAATTGAGGATATATGATATATATATGATATATATATATATGATATATACATATATATATATGATATATATATATATGAGGTATAATGTGATTTTAATGGGATGCGTTTGATCACCAATACGAGATTTGGGTTGATCCAAGAATACGGAGGGGACACCCACAAAAACCACCCGGTTTTCCACCTTGAGGATGGGCCATGGCTTCCATACGCTGGAGGCTATCTTCAATGTATTATCTCCCGGATTCTGAATAGAATAGCCCATAATGATCAACCATTATGAAGCTCTAGATTAACATATATATATATATTAACCATTATATTTAGTCCATTCCCTTTTAACCCAGAGAAGCACAATTAATCGTATGATACCACATATCTAAACCATTTCTATCCCCATTTTTTAATGTTTCCTTTTTGGACCTCAGGGCATCCCACTCGCCACTCTCCGCAGACCTCCCAGAGCTCAAAGATTCCATCGTCCAGCTCTTTCAGATCCTAAGCCATGGTCAAGCTGTTGAGGGAAGTCACGGCACCGATTTACCAAATGGAGCTTTCCAAAGTCATGGGAGTACCCCAATAGCTGGATGGTTTATTTCATGGAAAAGCCGAACATAAAAAAAATCGGCTTAAAAAAATAGGGTAAATCTCTTGGTCCATTAGGTAAATCATCAATTTTTCATAGTGATCTTCAACCCATGATGACACAAAAAAAGTGACCATGATTGGCAAATCAATTGATGATTTTCCGACCAGACTATATATATATAAGATATGGAAGTCCATCAACGATTTTTGGTGATGGACTCCACTTCGCTATGGTGGAGCTTTTTCCATCCAAATCCCTGGGACGCCCAATGTCAGTCATCCACTTGCCAGGCTGCAGGGTATACACCATTTTTAAACACACCCAAAGAAATGGTTGGTTATAAATATCTCCCATGAATATCCATTGCTATCAGTCTATCCCGTGAATAATGTGAATATCACATTCCATAAACATTCCATTTTGAATACCATGAATACCACCATGAATATCCCATGAATATCACATTGATATCCCATGAATACCACCATCTGTATATCCGCAGACATCATCGTTCATCCCAAGGGTCGGCTTTGTAAAGATACTGTCCCGCCTTTTCTGCCAGCCAACACAAGAGGAGAAGACCTCGGCCAAATAAGGCCCGCTCGGCCCATGAGGATTGGTCTGTTTGCTGAATGACCAGCTCGTTCTCCCCAGTGGCTTATCCGTCTATTATTATATATATACACATATATAACAGTTATATATGACAATATATGACATATAACACTTATATTATTATATTATAACTTATCAATTATAATTCAATTTAACTATAATATATGACAATAAGGTACTTGGTGGCTCATTCCGTTGTAAGTGGCTTATCTAGTCCCCCCCGTTGCAAGGGGCCGGGGCCCCGTTTTGAGGTCTAATTGTGATGAACTCACCCTGGGATGAGCCACCCTTGGTACCTTGCTATACTTGGGGTGTCAAGATCATTTGGATCCAAGTGTGACCGACTTTGGCCAAGTCAAACCATTATAATAGTCATTATATAACCATTATAATAGTCATTATATAACCATTATATAGCCATTATATCATATGAATATCCCATTGGAGAACCAATCTTCCGTGGTCTTTTGATCATTTCCCACCACAGTTTCATGGCGCAGCATACAGCAGCACCACTCCGAGCGACACGAGGCCGAAATGGGCACGGCCAGTTCCGATTCATTGGCGCTACCCGCGAAGAACACCTGCTGGTGCCATGGGGGATGGCTTAAAAGTCAAGTCGGGGACCTCCGAAATGAACATCTGTGCATCTCTGTGCTATTTTTGTGAAGGTCTTGTGGACTTGAGATCTTCAAAGGTCAAGGACGGGTTTCGACACAACCAGATTTCGCATTGCATGAGATTCCAAACATCTTGGCCGGGATCCACATCTCTTAAACAGAAACAACTTGTCACCAATTTTATCTCCCCAACTTTCAATCCCCCGGATGAGTTGTAGTTTAATTTTCATGGTTTAAATCGCCATTTTGGTTTGAAAAAACATCGCCATATTTCTTTAAAAATTCCACCAATCAGATTTCACCCAAACGCCCCATCCATTTTTCCCCATTTCATCTCTGGGATTTTTTTTTTAAAGCACCATTTTTGCGGATGAATTTCCCCAGCCTGCACTGAACCATCCACAAATAGAAACCGCTGTTGTTGGTGAAAAATCAACACACTGTTGGATTCTTTTTGATGCGCATGAAAATTTCGGCCAAGTCACTACTCATCATGAAAATCGATCTGAGAATACAAAAAGCATATTTTTCCCTCTGTGAGTGAAATATCCATGAACTCCCCTTAAATATTTTGGTGAACTCATCCTCCCATCCACTTCCCCCGATCTCCATCGCCTGCTGCAGATCACCGAAGCAGTTGATGGCCGCGAAGCCGGCGACGTGTGCGAAGAGCATGGCCCAGCACTTCACGTCCAATTCGTGTCTGTGGGCGCCTGGGTTCCAGGATGCTCCAGGTCAGAGGTGGATGGAGATGGGAAAAGCATGGGTCGAAAACCAGGGGAAAACCATGGTCAAATGGGTGTATCATGGTGTATCTGGCAGATTCTGGAAGTGATCTTAGAAAACACCTGGCTGAAAAATTGATGGAGTCAAACTGCTGGTGATGCTATGTGCTTGATGAAGCTTCCACGATGACAGAGTGAGATCTGGCAGTGATACGCAATACTGTAAATCTCAATAAATCCTGTCATGTTCATTTCGCTTTGACATCATTTCCTGCTTTCATCTCCGGCCCCAATCAGTTTTTGTTACATGGCCTACATTTTGTTGCTCCGGTGAGGAGACTTGATGGCTTTCTTCAGGGGATTCATTTGACGCCGGGCACTTCGAAAACGATCACAAGGCTGGCCTAGTCTAGAACGGAAACGGTTCAAAGTAGGAAACCCAATGCCATAAACCTACCATTTGAGATGCCATTCATTTGTGGTGAATTTAGGGAAATTATTGGGTTTACTACATTAATTATCCCAATTGCAAGTCTAAAAACTCATCAGCATACATCTCAGCATCAGCTATGGGCTATGCCATGCAAACTGCAGCGAGCTGCTTTCTTCACCATCTTCGTTTTCAGCAGCACCCTTTCGCTTGCACACAGCAGCAATCCTGAGCGACGTGATACGTTTCATCTCTTGGCCTGCGGCACTATACACACGACGTGTAGGCGAGTAGGTATGGTATGACTTGACATGAAATTTAAACATTGTTCGCATCTACTGTACGGTATGCAGCATTGCATGCCATCATTTTTCTCTGAACTATCTGCAACTTGAATTTTCACAAAATAGGCAGAGTCAGAGTCATCCGCTCTACCAACCAGTTGTCATCCGCTCTACCAACCAGTTGTCATCCGCTCACCTAATCGTTGATGATGTCTCGATCGAGGCACCAAAGAACACATAGCATCATCATCATCCAGAAGAGCATGTGAGCAAAGTCGACCTGGGCCAGTCACTGCTTGGTGGATATGACGACTGTACGAAACCACCGGTTGGTTGGTGGTTGAGCCACCCCATGAAAACATATGTGAGTAACAGTTGGGATCTACCAAATGGGTTGAACAATGACTATTTGTATGAAACTTAAACCAAGCCTTTTTCGGAAGTTACTATTTTTGAATATGTTTGACCCATTCCCATTGTCACACCAGCCACGCCAACCAAGGGACCTTGTTCACCATAGTCACTAGCTGCACTAGCTTGGTGCAGAGAAAACCTCCATAGACTTACCTACCAAAAACCTTCCGGACCGGCAACTTTCAGCTGAAGGACACAAACGGGGAAAGCACGAAGATGTCGCACCTCCTAAGTTGGACACGAAAAACTTTTCGTGGACCCAGCGCTGCAGTGTTGCCATTTTCACAGGGAACATGGATGAACATGGTGATACGAGTACTTGCCAATGGTGAACGTAGCCTCATAGGGTAGCCTTTTTTCAGGCGGATGACGAGGGGCAAATGGATGGCCATCTTGAGCTCAGCATTTTTTCCAACCAAGCTGCACTGGGGATGTCTTCAAAGGCGTAGTGCTCAACCAATCCTGCAAACACCATGGCGGGCATGTCTGAGAACGGGGTACCCTTTACGCCATTCCGTCTGGTGGCTTGGAAATCATGTTCTTGATTGAAATGGCCATAAAGATATTTGAGTATATTCATGCATATTCACAAATTTCTCGACAAAACCACATAAATTTTCCTTTCAGTCTTCAAAGATCTTCAAAGTATGTATGGCCTTCGCTGTTTCTTGTTCCAACCCATCTGCAGCCAAGATGCTGTTCGAAGCAGAAAAAATCAAAACCTGAGAAGTTGACAGAGTGGCTGGTGTTCACTTGCTTGGCACCACTTCGTAATGTATAAAACATGGGAGGCACACGTATGGCAAATGCAACTCCCGAATCTTTGGGAATGCACCACTTCGTAAGGTGTGGATTTACCCTCTGGTTATTTAACATAGCCATGGAAAATGTTCCATCTATAGATGGTTTACCTATTAGAAATAGTGATTTTCCATGGCTATGTTAGTCATAACCAGATGGTAACTGGTAACCAGACACGACTCACAAAAAAACCTCCCCCAGCTTCTGGTCATCCGTCCCATGGGACGGAAATCCCCAATCAATGGCTTTTTCGAAATCCCCAGAAAGATGGATTGATGACCATCCCCCAATATGGGTATTATCCACTACTTGGTCAACAAATCCAAGTAGACCTCCCCAGTTTCCAAATGATTCCATGGACAAGCAGCATGGAATAACAGACCACAAAGCAACTGGGCCAAAAAAAAACTGGTTTTATTCCATAACATTCCAACATTCCAGTTGGTTGGTGAAATAATCTATATATTTCAGCAAATTGGAATATTCATTCCAATATTCCCATATTCCCATATTCCAATATTCCAATATTCCAATATTCCCATATTCCAATATTCCCATATTCCAATATTCCCATATTCCAATATTCCCATATTCCAATATTCCCATATTCCAATATTCCAATATTCTCATATTCCCATATTCCAATATTCCAATATTCCAATATTCCCATATTCCAATATTCCAATATTCCCATATTCCAATATTCCCATATTCCAATATTCCCATATTCCAATATTCCCATATTCCCAAATTCCAATATTCCAATATTCCCATATTCTCATATTCCAATATTCCAATATTCCCATATTCCAATATTCCCATATTCCCATATTCCAATATTCCAATATTCCCATATTCCCATATGCCAATATTCCAATATTCCAATATTCCCATATTCTAATATTCCCATATTCCAATATTCCAATATTCCCATATTCCAATATTCCCATATTCCAATATTCCAATATTCCAATATTCCGATATTCCAATATTCCAATATTCCCATATTCCCATATTCCCATATTCCCATATTCCCATATTCCAATATTCCATATTCCAATATTCCAATATTCCAATATTCCCATATTCCAATATTCCCATATTCCCATATTCCATGGAATTGGAATATGATTGGGTTCCCAGCAACTTTTTCCAGCTACTATTGGTCGAGAATTTATCCAACCAACTTGACCATCCATCCGACACCACCAAGCAGCGGCGCAGAAGATGTTGATGGTGGAACTAATGACCTAGGCAGTTCTGCCGTTCTGCCCAAGTTATTCTTGGCGAAGTTGGTGTATAACCAGGTTTTCATTCATAGCTAATATATAACTAATAGAAAACTAATGATTCATAGCTATTATACACCAACAATAGCTAATTTAACTAGTATGAATGGTCCCTATCAATCAATGTAACGAATATAAATAGTAATATAGCTGATACAATAGCTAATATAGCTATATATTTAATATAGCTAATATACCCAAGTTCATGTAACCAATGTAGGACTAATATAGCTAAATATAGTTATAGCTAATGTAACTAATATGAACAGCAAAAATACTATGACTATAACTGATATCGTCAAGATAAACCTATAAATCTAATGGAACTAAGACAACTAATGAAGCTTATATAACTAATTCAACTAGCAGAACTAATGGAACTATAACTGGCATTATGATGGAGATATCTACAGTTTGTTGGCTAAGTTTCGTTCGCAGCCAGCTTCATTGGGATGCTTGTTTGAACCAACAATTAAGACCTACTTCTAATCTTATAGTCAAAAATGAAGCAACTATGATAGTGGTTTATGTTCACCCATATAGCTTATATCATGGGAGATGTCTCTTCCTTAGACATCGCCATAACCGGCCATCGCAGCCCAGGAAAATCCCAGGAATATCTACGCATAGTCTATGAATGTCAATATATGTCAATATCATAATGGTATACCAAGGTTTACCCAACAACAAGTCAATATATTAGTCAAGATATGTCAATATCATAATAGATCATAATAGTATACCAATGTCATCATAATAGATCATAATAGATCAAAATAGATCATAATAGATCATAATAGATCATACTAGATCATAATAGACCATAATAGATCATAATAGATCATAATAGATCATAATAGTTATAGTGCACCAATGTCAATATTATACTATAACAACTATGTAGTATTATAGTATACCAATGATCATAATAGTTATAGTATACCAATGATCAAATTGATATGTCAATATTTCACCCATCTCAGGCTTTACCCAACTGCCACAACTGCCATTTGGAGCCCCACTTGCCACGAGTACATCCTGCGCAAACTTGTTGTGTCCAACTCATGACCCGATGATTCATCGCTGGGTTGAGCCGGTTGAGCCATGGCCCCCAAAAACGTTTACGGTTTGAACCGTCAAATCTAAGGGAAAATCATGGTAAATCCATGGTAAATCACATGGCAAATCCCACGGTAAATGCCCATGAATTCTTGGCAAATCCATCATCTGACATCCATCAATTGGGATTGATATGGGATTTATATCATCCCATATCATCCCCATGAATTCTTGGTAAATCTGACCATTCCCAAACAACTCTCTGTACAGAAAACAACGATGGGATTATCACAAGGATCCATGGAGATCAATGGCCGCGGTGCGTGTCCTGATCTCGGGGTCAGAATTGTTGACCAAATAGAACAGTGCCTCAGCATGGTGGGATCGCTTCCCTCGCCGAATGCTTCGAACAAAATGGCCAGGTGTCAGGGGACATCTTCAATGTTTCTCGGAAAATCTGAAAATAGCCTGGTTTATCATTTAAATAGTTTGGGGATGGGCTTTAAGATACCCCTGGTTCATCAAAATAGGGTACCCCTGGACCATCGGGGATCACCCAAGGCCCATGAATCATCCCCAAGTCATCACCATTTGAAAATGGCTGCTATGTTTACCATCCCCAAATGATAGCTTATGGCATTTGGTTTCCCACATTTTCCCCCAGTTTTAAGTTATGTGATAAACCCATGAACTGAAGTTTTTTTTGTGTTTGATCCCCCATAGACCCTAGCTGATCAAGTTACACGTCAACTTAGCTATCATGAATCAGCTACAACTCCCATTCAATTCCCAGTCTCATTGCTTAAATGTCATAGGAACTCTTTAGCAACATCACTGGAACATGCATTCTTCACAGCAGGGCTACCTTAGGCCTTAGATGAAATTATGTTCTCCTCTGCAAACCTCTGGTTTTCTTGTGTTTCTTTTTTTCACCCCCTATCAGTACAAGTGTGTTTTCTGTAACAGGTGTTCCACATTTTCACCAAGGTATGGGCCAAAAGCTGCCAGTGTCAACCTTTCCAACGCATGGGTTGCACCAACATATATATTTTTTTAATTGTGTGACAGTGAGGAAACCAAAAGAAACAAGAAGAAACACAAAGGAACTAGCTAAAAACAGTTTTTCTTAGATGATCTCATTTTTCCTTTGGTATCATTTGATTTCCTTTGGTTTCCTTTCGTTTGCTGGGTGGATTCCATGGTTTTCCTTCATTTTCCTTTGGTTTCCAAAGGAGGCTTGATTCGTCCATAGAATGCATCATGCCTGCTACTAAGGAGGCTCATCTGAGAGCCTGACCATCATGAATCCAACTGCTCCCAGGAGCCTCGCTGAAACGAGTTGCGCACCGAGAAAGTGATGCCTTTTTTCACGTCTGACATGATGTGTATTAAAGCAATTATGATCAACTACATACAATATTAATAATGTACATTTAATATATATATATACTTAACATATTACTAGCGAGTACGTTTGAATTATATTGTTCGCATGTGTGTGTAAATAAATAAATAAATATATATATATATATATATTAATACTGGTATGACAACAGTATGAACAACAGTATACATTCTTAATAAGGGAATATCAACCCAGCAACATCATCAAAACATATCAATATTCTTAATATACTAAGCTCGATTTGGTTCACCTATCGATGGTCGCATCATGTCCCATACAAGAGTGGCCCCCCAACAATAGCTATTTCACTAGGTTAACCATGGGGTTTACGGTAGATATATGATATATCAAACTAGTTAATCGGGTTTTTAAGCCAGCTCATAACTGAGGGGAACCACCTTGTAGATATCGAATGATATCGAATAGATTTGACTAGATGGCATGTCCCATCTCCATTTGGCAAAGGCACATCCATGCCACCGTGACGGAAACCTGGAAATGCAAATCATCCAAAGACACTGCCGGCGATCTTGACGAACCTGCCACAGCAGTCATTCAAATTATGCATCCAGTGCGGGTCCATTTGTCGACCCAGTAGTGTGTTTCAACATGGCTTATCTTAGACACCTTGCACAAACACTCAACACACAAACCACCGATTTATGCAGGTTGGTTCACACTGAAGCTGCTGTGCCTATTGTCCAGCCCCGTCCGGCGTGCACCAAGAAAAGAACCTTGGAAGGGGCCGGGGAGACCACCGAACTCAATCGAACTTAAAGAATTGGTTTGATGGAAATCTAGAGGGTTTTTCCTATGAAAATCATGGAAAATCAAGAGAACATATGGTTTCTCCTATCAAAAAAATATATATATATATTATAACCTCTCAAGAAATTCTGGCACTCAAAGGTAGGAAAAGCCGAGGTTTTTTAGGGATCCTTTTTTCTACGGTATCAATTAATATCTGGGACATGAAGACTCGACCAAAAATGATGTGTGGAATGAACCCTTCAACTGGCCTCATCATCCCGCCCTGGAAACTCGGATCCATTGATGTACCACCTGTTCCTGATCACTGTCTCAATTCACCTGTGGTCATGATGGTCATGGCTAATACTGGGTGGTGCTTTCAAACCTTATCACAATATTGGTTTCTCAGAAATTCATTACACTTCTAAGGAAAACAACACCAAAGCCCATGGATACTGGCCATGATTTCTATGAACTGGCCTTGTGAATGACGGGTCATTCACAGCAAGAAGTCCAACAATGGATGATCATCAGCTGATTCGGGCGTAGCCATATGTCGCCGCCTCGTTGCAAGCCAAGTGGCACAGGCTGCAATCAGCAAGTTTGGTCTTTTTCGCAAACGCCATCGCGGCCATTTAACAGCCACCAAGTCGCACGACATGGTGAGGTGTATTTAAAACGGACCGGCGGACTGGTGGTTTAAAAACAGACAGAAAAAGTAAAAAAACAACTACAAAAAAACACATGTAAATGACTTAATGGCTTTTCGAAGTGTTTTTGAATTACATCTTAAGTGAAAACTGGCTGGTGGTATATAGCCCAGCTGGATTTTCCTGTACCCTCCCAGTACTTTTATGACTAGCCAATGAATTAGAAACTGGAATGCGTTGAGCGAGGAACTAAACATGAGAAATGTGATGCTCTTCAGCTATGAAGTCCAAATTTGTAGGGGAAATGACTTCTCAGGGTTTGAATTTTGAGGGTTTCCATGTCAGTTATCAGGAATTTCAGGTGCAGTACCCAATGTCACAGTGATAAACAGTATGACATGATCAAGATTCGCCTACCAGCGCATCCTTGAGCGAGCAGCCGTCCGTGGCAGTGGTTTCTGCTTTCACACTGACACTTGGTTGTCACCAAAACAGGCTGGTGATTTGATACAAACATATGGTATGGAATTCATCACTTAAGATTTAAGGGTCGCAATGGAAAAATGGCCCATATCGAGGATGTTGACCAACAAAATTGCGGATATTCACCAATCAATCTGGGTGATGATCCTCAATCTTTGAAGCGACATGACCGCAGGAAGAACCGTGTCCGGCTGAGTTTTTTTTAGATCAGTGGACAATCAAAACTCGGCAAAGCATGATGGCTTGAATGGTAGGTTTATTAAATTAAATATTTTGCATACATGTTTTCCATATTTCCAGTTCTAACATGCTTCCCAACAATTGCTTCCCCATTTGGAGATAGCGACGCCCACCTCGCAGGCACAAACTCCCATCACAGCCAGAGACATCTCCAGCGTTGGGTCAGCGTTCACCATCTGCGGTTCGTTCCGCCGTCACAACGGGATCGGTGTGGTGAAACTGTTCACGGGATAACATGAAACATAGAGAATAATCAGCCGTGACTGGTTGGTGGTATGCCTACCCGTCTGAAAAATATGAAAGTCAGTTGGGATGATTATTCCCAATATATGGAAAAAAAAACATGTTCCAAACCACCAACCAAATGAATAATAGAGGATATATATATATATACATAACATCAACCATACTCGGAAAAAAAAACAAAATGAGAGAATAATAGGGGATGTGATATATATATATGGGTATAACATGGTATAACATGGTAAAACACTAGGATAACATCAACCATACTCTGATCTTACCATGGCTGTGGGTCAAAAGACGGATACCTTTTTTTCTAGGTGGTAGGTCTTGACCCATCGGGGATTCTATCAAGCCATATGGATATCCATGGGATAAAAAGTGGGCACTAGTATAAAGGAATGGGATGAAGACATATTATAAAATCATGGAATAAACTTACAAGTCTAAATAGAAAGGAATGATTTTCTCCATCTGTTAGTGAGTTCTTTAAACATCATGGGACAATCATGGGCCAATCCATCGAATGTCCCGGCCGAAGTCAAAAGATCCAATCTGAAGAGTCCCGGGGCGAAATGGGGAGGTACCCGGCCTGGTAATGACTGTTACAGTTTGCTATTGAAAATGGCCATAGAAATATATAGAAATAGTTGATTTACCCACTAATAGCATGGTGATTTTCAACAGCAAACTGTTAGTTTACCAGAGGGTATCTTTTTTTGGGGGGGATGGCAAAAGGTGGCAAATGAATTGATGAAGTTTCACCTATCGGACCTATTGGATGATTTTGTGCATTCTACTACATTCTTCTGCAAGTTTATATGTTGCAGTTTTTTATGGTTCAGTTTCATGCAACATTACATCCCATTCTATCCACAATATATCTCCATTATACCTCATTACATCCCCACTATTGCTAGGTAGTGCCAGGTATATCATTGAATCCCCATTATTGATAGGTATATTCTCATTAAATTGATTTCCTCTGGTAAACTAACATAACTATGGAAAATCTCCATTTTTAATGGGTAAATCAACTATAAATGGCCATTTTCAATAGCTGTGCAATAGCTATGTTTGTTTACCAGAGGGTACTCCACCTGATCTTGGACTGGCTTTGCTCCATATCTCCAACCGACGCTCACCTGTGGGAGCTTCCCTGCAAGAGCTCGCACCGCTCCAAAACACCTCGCGTGGCTCTGCGCGTTTGTCCCACAAGCGGGGCATGTTCGTGTGGATGATCTCCATATATCAATCTGGCGTAATATTGTGTGGATGTACATTTATATGTTAACGGCATATATAGTGTATTTTGCAAGTGTGTAGGTTCTTTCAACAAACCAGCTTTTGCACAAGCTGTGATTCGTTTCCTGACCAATTTCTGTCAGAATCTTTCAGCTTGACCGCAGAGTTGGGGCTGTTCTTCAGGCTAACATGGCCATCAAACCCCAGGTGGTGCCCCCTATTTGTAAATCATTTACAAACTCCAGTAACTATATATATATATTAATATATAGATAACTATATATATATCTGCCATACACACCCATAAACCATAGGTAATCTAGTTATAAACCAACAGAAACCCATTAAAGATCAACTATTATTCCCTCTATAAATCTTGCAAAACACCCCAAGGTTTAGTGGTCAAGCCCCATATCCCAATTACATCCCCCATGAGCCCATAAATCCCATGATATCCCATGAAATCAACTGTAAATCACCATTAAGTCTCAATAAACCACATTGAAATCTTAGTAAGTCCCATCTAATCCCCATGAAGTCCCATTAAATCCTCATTAAGCCCCATTAAGTCTAATTAAACTCCATTATAGTCATATCCTCATGAAATCCCATGAAATTCCCTTTGAATCCCCATCAAATCCCATGAAATCAGCAGTAAATCACCACGAAATTCCCATGAAATCCCCTGGGCTGTGCCACGCGAAGGCCGCCAGAAAGGCGCGGCGAGGCCGGATGGCTTCATCCGGCAAAGCCAGGCGCCTTCCGGTGAAAAGGTAGAGATTGTCATGGAAATTTCATAGGGATTTCACTGGGATTGGGAAGATATTTGGACTATATTTTTGGGGATCATATTTTTTTATGGGACTTGAGGGGATTTCATTTTGGATTCCGATTGATTGGGAGTTTCAAAGGAGTTTGGTAAGGTTTCATGGTGATTTAAGGGGAGTCAATTGGAATTTCATGGGATTTAGATGGATTTAGTTTGATTATGTAGGATTCTACGAGATTCTAATGGAATTCTAATCGGATCACTGTAGCATGGGAATGGGACATGGTAAATCAAAACATGGCTAGCTGGGAAATCCTCTATTGCTAAATTATATGCTATATGTTGTAAACTGTTTGACAGAATGATAATCCATTTAAAATCTATCTAAACTTTACATAGTTTTATTATCACTATCCAATTATTGAATTTTGAAATGGAATGCATACATCTATGAAAATCTGCTACCCAATGACAATGAATGACTTGTTCTGTTTTTCCCCACCTGCCAGGTGAGGGTTGTTAGATTTTATCAAAGTTGTTCTTCTCCTCCTCCTCCTTCTTCTTCTCCTCCTCCTCTCGCCAAGCTCTTCGCCAACTTCCGAACGCAGTGGGCACTGCTGGACCTCAACTGCAAGGGTCTGAGCGCACTGGGCACCGCTGGACCTCAACCTGCAACCTGGGACCCTCGGAGCTCAGTGAGCACCGCTGGACCTCAACGGCCAGACAGAATGCCAGAAGATATGCCAGATAGAACGCCAGATAGAATGTCAGAAAGAATGCCAGAAGATATGCCAGATAAAGTGCCAGAATGTTTGCCAGATAGAATGCCAGCAGATATGCCAGATAGAATGCCGGAAGGTATGCCAGATAGAATGTCAGATAGAATGCCAGAAGATATGCCAGATAAAGTGCCAGAATGTTTGCCAGATAGAATGCCAGAAGATTTGCCAGATAGAATGCCAGATCGAATGTCAGAAGGTATGCCAGAAGATATGCCAGATAGAGTGCCAGAAGATATGCCAGAAGATATGCCATGTAGAATGCCAGAAGATATGCCAGATAGAATGCCGGATAAAATGCCAGAAGATATGCCACAGATAGAATGTCTGATAGAATGCCAGAAAGTATGCCAGATAAAGTGCCAGAATGTTTGCCGGAACATATGCCAGAAGATTTGCCAGATAGAATGCCAGATAGAATGTCAGAAGATATGCCAGATAGAGTGCCAGAAGATATGCCAGAACATATTGCAGAAGATATGCCAGGTAGAATGCCAGAAGATATGTCAGATAGAATGCCAGAAGATATGCCAGATAAAATGCCAGAAGATATGTCAGATAGAATGCCAGAAGATTTGCCTGTAACAAAACGTATAGATGTCATGGTGGGGATAACTCGAAGTACAGTAATTTTCTTTTTGTGAAATCCGTTCAATATAGAATTGGATGTCACTTTGAAGTGTTTTTGCAAGTTGGATAGTGGCTAGACTATGCGGAGAAATCGAGAGTGCCTAGATAGTGGTGCACTTTATCAATATTTAAGACAAATTCTGCATCTTTTTCCGGGTTTCCTTTTGTTTGGTCTGTTATTTTCCGCTAAGATTGACGTTCCCAGTATCAATTCTTCTATGCCAACAGCTGATCCACTTGGTATCTCTAGCTGCCAGGGGGGAACTACATCAAACCCCAACCTCCACACATCTCCGCACCATTTGGACCCTGGATCTCTGGCCGAGGGCCTTAGTCTGCCTCAAATCTGAGATCAAATTGCTAAACTTGCAGGTTTTTCACTGAAATTGCAGGACTTCCTTGGTCCTCTGTGAGATTTGTCTGGCGCAACCTGCACATGGAATTACATAACTATTCACATGGACGTTGTGCAGCCGCGGTCCTATTCCTCAGCTTACGCGGCGGCTGTAGAACTGCTTCTTGTTACACAGGATGATGATGTCCAGAATGTCCAGGAAAGAAAGCTGCCATCTGCAAAAGATCTTGCCCAAGCAGACCCAAGTGGAACTTCTCAAAAATCCAAAGTCTTTGCGCTTGGTCAGCTTCAAGGTCGTGGTGCTTCTGATTTCGACCAGCTTCCTTCACTCGCCAGGTCATGGAGGCTCCACTTCAGCTGTGGCTTGGATGCACAAGCGCTTCAACTCCTCCTTCATCTTCGAAGCAAAGTTCCCGCCATTTGTCAAAGGACACTGAAGTACCACCTCAGGGGGCAAGATGGCGCCACTGCATCCATCATCCTATACTGCTTGGCTAATAGGTATTCCTAGTGTTGGTTAATTACAATCGCCAATAAACAGTTTACCCTTCTATCACAGTCAACCAAGCAGGTTATCCGTTCAATCGAATGATATTCAACAGCCCCCTTGGAACTTCGGAGATGGCTCAAAGCTGTCATGCTTGAGCTACATATCCCTAAACGACACTAGTCCTTTTCGAACCATTCCGAGGAACGGATCATAAATCATCGTTGAAATCACTCCTCAGTTCATTGATTGGTCAATTCTGACACTAAAACCCAACTTTGGTGGGCAAATAACCATATTTTGTTTGGGTGAATCCAACCCCATTATTATGGCGTAAACTGGTTCAACCCGCATTTCTTGCCCTTCCAACAAGTTGATGTCGCTGGACCTGGTTTACTGGCCAAATCTCTCATAGCTTCAGCCAAGTGATGCAGTTCCATAATCTTCTCAGGCACCTGTGGGGTGAACGTGGGGAGATTGTCCTCCAAAAAAAGGGCGTTTTTCATGTGCTTAATACATGCATGGGGACAATTGAGGCTGAACCTTGGGATTCTGGGAGTTTTCCGATTTCTTAGCCAGGGACCCTCAGATTGATCAGATTGGTCCCCAACTTTGGACCATAGCCACATTTGGGACCAGTCATGTAAAGGGGTGCGTAAAAGGAGCGTTCAAACAGAAGAAGTTGAAGATCTATACGCTGAGAGCACAATGTTTGATATAAACTGATAGAAACATATAGAAAGAGAAAGATGTTAGTTGGGAATGAAGATATATGGGGATAGAGGTTGATATAGAATATTATAGAATGACATAAATAAGAGTTGACAGAAGTTCCTACACAATGCATTCTTCAGTTTGTGCGTATATTCATCCCCATGGCCCATTGAGCTCTTCCTGGTGCCTCCTCGCTGCCTGAAGCCTCCAGCGGCGACGCTTTTCGTATGCTGACGGTCATCCAGTCTTCGAACGGCATGGCGAACTCCTCCACGGCTCGCGGGAATGCCATCGACTTTCGGAAACCAACGAGAGATGTCGGACGTGGGAATTATGATCTTCAAAATCAACTGGAAAATTTCCGAAACACAAATCTTTCTCAAACTTAAGTACTGAACTTGAACTTCAGTATCTCCGAAAGTGGCTTGGTCACTTGCAGATGCCCAGCCTGCAAGCTTAGAATTTGCAGATGATATTCGGAATGGTCTTGGCGATGCCTGAACCACTCATTTCTGACGGGATCCCCCAACATCATGTCCTGACATTCTATGTCTTCCAAGCGTGGATCCTTCATTCTCTCATACATGATGTGCAAACATGTGCAATGTGTTTTGGATTGGTATATATTGGTTATCCCCATGCTTTAAGTTTACTTACTATAATAGAGTCAAATCAATTCGATGTGAAATGCCTAAATTTGGGTTGACCAAATCCCCATTGTTCTCCCTCAGAAACCTCAATTTTGGTCGAGAAATCCAAGGTTTGGTGGTGAAATTCACCTGGAGGGTGAACTCTCCAGGCTCCGAAAATTGATGAAAATTGGTGGTATCCCGGTATCCCATTCCATCCACTGATGCACCAAATAGGACAATCATGGAAAATCCATATGCCTCATTGAACCACGCAATAAATCTTCATCAATCCCTTCAACACACCCCCCACTCAGCAGCCACTGCAGCGGGTCGGACTCTGCGCCTCCCCGTGAGTTTCCACAGAAACCGCGGCGCGCCCGGCTTCAGCACATTGTCCGCGATGATCGCAGCGCCCGGGGCCAACAGCTGACGATGCTCCAGGATACTTAGGTCCTGGTTGGGCGTCAGATGGCGGCAAAACGGAATGGAGTTGACCAAACTCAGCAGTTTGGGTGAATTTATGCCTGCTTATAGGAAATTAAGTGAATTTATGTGAATTTAATGGGCTATTAAATGGGTTTAAATGAATTTGATGGGAAATAAAGAGTGAATTTTTGCGAGTTTATAAAACGTAGTTAAACCAAAAAATGTTAACACTACATTAGGTAATCAAAATATTGGGCTTGAGTCTTGGCCCACAAAAAAACGGAGATATAATGATCCACAAAAACTAAGTATTTGACCGCCAAAAAAAGATGGGAAGCACCTCGCAACGGAGGATGGCTTCACGGCTCTCACGTGGATCTCAAGTAAACCATGACGTGCTGCAGTTTGGGTTTGGGAAAATCATGAAGCCAATGGAAAAGGATCACCTGGAAAAGTAGATCACCCAGTGCGGATGTTGTGGAAAGGTTATACAAGCTTTAAGTGGATGAGAGGACATCTGAGGCCAGACAATCTGCAGGGGTTTCAGCGTTTGCTTTCATCATCTCCAGTCTGGGTTCTTTCTACATTTCTAGCGATATGATCTCAACCTCAGCAAACACAATTATATATATTTATATTATATAATATATAATTATAATTAATCTCAAAACTTCCAGTCCCTTCCTAGCTGTCCTCCTCATAGCGTGAACCACGCTGATCCATGAAGACTGCACCAAACTGCGCAGCTGGCCAGCATGGCAGCAAACTCTTGCTGTGTCCAATGTGAATCCGGATTTGATCCGAGCTCACTCCTACGTCCAGGTCCACAGTCTCAAAGCCCAGGATCGCTATATGGGATTGATCAACGTATTCATGAAATAGCGATAAAATGCTATGAGTCTTTCATCCCTTGAACTCGAAGCCCTTTTTTCAACAGAAAAGAGCTGGCGATCTTCATCTCCTCCGAAAAATATGGGCAAAAAACATAGGTCTCATGACCCATGACCCACCTACATGCCATCACCTCTACAGTGCCGTACAGCTTGGAAATCACTAAACTTCACAGGCTAAGATCCTTGGAGATGTGGCAAACTATGGGTTTACCCACATCAGAGGGGATTCTTATACCATAAGTGCCATGGTTCAAAGTTGCGACATGGTGTCAATGTAAGGAAATCCAAAATCATGGGTGAAAAATGGAGTGACTCTTCCCATCCCATGGTTGGGTCGATCTATTCCAACTTTTTCACCATTGTAGCTACAAGTACTCTAATGGGTCAAATCTAGTGAGTCATCTGCAGGATGGTGCCCCCCCCCAGTTATAAGTTGGTTTACACACAGAATTAAATAACTATATAGTTATACTATAGTTATATGATTGTTATACTATAGTTATACTGTAGTTATGTCCTACATATATCATCATATCATATCATATATATCTACCATAAGCCATAAGCCATAGAATTCAGCCACTTACAAGGCAATTCACCCAATCTCCTGCCACTTGCAGCACATTGCATGCCACCGCCGCGTGGACAGCATCCGCCTCCAAGCTGTCAATGTGCAGCAACGGCGGAGGAACGGAGCGTTGCAGGGCGAGGAGCATGCGCAGGGCGGAATAACCTGATGATCAGATGGCACGCTGGGAACTCCCCAAGTTTCATGAACAAATCACAATATATTATATTATATTATATGATATTAAATTATATTATATTATATTTTATTGTATTATATTATATCATATTATATTATATTATATTAAAATGAAATTAAATTATATTATATTAAATTTAACTATATATTGTATAATATTAAAAAATATCTTTTATATTATGTTAATTAAATTATATTAAATTAAATAATATTATATTATATACTAAACAAAAAATGAAATTATATATTATATATTATATTAAATATGAAAAAATAAAAATTAAATATTATATTATATATAATATAATATTACATTATATTATTTAATATTACATTATATAAAAGAAAATAATATTATATTACATTTCTTTATACTATATTATAAAACAAAAACATATTCTATTGATAATGAAATTAAATAAACTTATAAATGATATAATTTATTATATCATTTTATATTATGTTATATTATATTATATTATGTTATACTAAAAAACATATTTAAAATAATATATTAATTATAATATAATAAAATACTATATTATATTATATTATTATATTATATTATATATTAGATAATTTTATGGTTTTATATTATATATTATATATTCTATATTAAATGTTTTATTATATGATAGTAAATTATATTTTAGTAAATTTAATAAATATTATATTTCATTATATTATATTATATTATAGTAAATTATATTAAAGTAATTAAAAATATTATATTTCTATATATTTTTTATACTATATGATAGTAAGTTATATTATAGTAAATTATGTAAAAGAAAAAATCATTAAATTTTATTACATATTATATTATATTAAATTATATTATGAATTAAATTATATTATCTTATATATATATATATTTTTTTTATTATATTATATCATATTATGTTGTATTATATCATATTATATGATATTAAATAAAAAATATGTTATATTATATGATATGAAATGAAATTAAATATTCAATTGAATATTCAATTATATGATATGATATGATATTATATTATATATATATGATTATATATTAAATATTTTATTGTATATTATTGTATTATATTATACTTCATTATTTATTATATTTTATTTTTCTTATATGTTAAATAAAATTATATTATATTATATTTATAATTGCATCAATATTATATAATATTATATTATACTATATTATATTATATTATATTTTGATATATGAAAAATATTTATGATAATATATGATATCTGTTTATTAGCTAAAACATTGGCTGTGATATTATAGTTTAATGTCGAATAGTTTTCCTCAATCTTCTTTGGAGAGCCAATACCCGCTTTAGGAAACCCCTAAAGTGCACCGGCTTTTCCCGTCTCAGCCATGTCACCACAATAAGTACCGATCTCCAAGATCTGGGTCGGCCGCTGAACTCCCCCTGCCACGACTGCTTCCAAGACCTGGAAACGACAACTGTGCTCCTCAACCCATCTTGTCTCCAAAAAAACACATGGTGTTTGTACTGAGTGAGAGACGAGTCAGACATCTACATTTTGAAGAAGCTATTGAAAATATCGGAATCGAACTCAACTTAATTGACTATGATGCGATTTTGTTCCAACTCAAAATCGTGAATGCGCCCTCTTTAGGATGCTGTAGCAAGGCTGTTGCAATCGACAATCTCCAAACATGCCTCTACACCTGCTAGATGCGATGACCCCTACCAAATAGAAGGCGAAAAGGGCTGCCTGGGATTTTACACCAATATTCAATTTTCTTCTTCATACCATGCTGTACCTGTTTTATCCCGTTGACATCCGTTGACATCTACGTAGCTCCACCTAACGGAAGCCGTCAACCACGCCTTGGCCTTCTGTGTTCCCGCCACCTTCAACCATCGCTTCGTCCCGGCTCCGAAGCTTTCGATGGCCTGACAGACCTCCAACGGAGTGGCCGGGGGCACAGTGCAGGAGGTGCCGCAACAAACGCAGCTCCGTGGTGTAGCGGTAGAGACCCTGTCAGGGGCAGAGGGACACACCTGGAAGGTGGTTGGTCCTTCAATTTTGGAGAACTTTTAGAGACTTTGAGTGGGAGAAGTGGTGCTGGTAAACAGATCTATTGGATGGCTACAGTTCATCCAATCAATCTAGGATTTTATTCATAATGATAATAATGATAATAATCAATATTTTATGCGTGGGTTTCAAAACCGTTTATTGAGGGAAGCACATTGTTTCAATCTTGCGACATTCCGAAGTTGAGATCCAATTTCAAGACATCATTTTTTTGTTGGAAGCATAGCTTCCCACCCCTGCCTGTCTGTTGCTGGTGTTGGTAAAGAGCCGTAGGGGAGCCTCCATGCCCGGATGCCGGTAAGCAGCTGCGGCCAACAAAGCAGACTGTAGAGTCGGCAGCAAACTGGGAGGGACAGCTACTCCATCCACAGTTGCGTGAGCCAACATGGAAAATACCATGACCTCAAGCGACAACAAACAAACACAAAGCCAATCGAAGTGTTTGGGTTGCCACCTTACTTCAAATCTGGAATATTTCGGCATAGCAGTACTTCACTCACCTGAAGAGTGGCCACTTTGGGATAGTTCCCCCTGCTAACCATCAACTTTTCGTACAACTTTTCGGTCCGTCCGGCATCCTCGGCATTTGCGGAGGAAACGAGAAACCTTATTGACGCATACAAAATTGAAAACCCTACACACCACTCAGCTGGCGAACTTGACTGAGACAGCAGCTGCTCCATCACTTCCACCAAACATGGTCGTATTCTCATTGCCACGCACATCGTCCAAAAGGCCAGCGTGTTTGAAGCTGGTCTAAGGTGCAAAACATTACATCTTTACACCCCCTGTACCCACCTGGAGAAATTATTGGCTCGTCGGACAAAGTTCTTTCGATCACGTGCGTCTGCAAGAAAGTATCGTTTGCTAGATGGTTTATATGATATTCCGAGTTGCGTTTGATGCTCGAAAAGAATATTCAATTGAAACCAGCTCAACATGCGTGTGGGCGAATTTGGCTCCGTCAGAGCCATCAGCCACTCTACCACTTGATTTGCTTCTGGAAACGACCACCGTCTGGACAGGGTCGACACATCAACCAAGTGCGGCGTGAAAAGCTGAATTTCGTCCTCTGAGATACGTGCTATCCCATGTGAGTCTTGCTCTTTCTCAACCGGATGGAGGACTGATTTCTGTCCTACTGCCACTATGACATTTTGAACTTGGTCTCTCAAAATACCTACGTGAGCAACATCGCGGTACACCTCTGCCCAGGTCTGCATCAAATTTGGAAAACGGCAAAATGCCGCATTGGCTGTGCGGTCTGCGGCTGCATTGCCCGCAAACACCCATCTTTCGCCTTCGTCTTGTGCTCCCTCCAAGTTTTGATGGCTTACAACCTTGACAACACTTTGCATGTAGTGTCCTACCCGTTGGAAAAGTACTAAAAGTCTCAACCAGAGGTCTGCATCTTTCTGATTACTGGTGATTCTTGTCATGCCTCTTTGAAAAAGCCTCAGTTTGCGGAAAACCCGATCATTGTCCACCCACAAATAGAAAGGTCTTGGAACCCTGGCCACTACTTCTAACGCTGCTATGACTGCATAGATTTCGGCTCTGGCCGCCGTTTGTGTCCATCCTGGTACCAGTCCATTTCCCACTGGCTCAAACTTGTCGTCACTGATGGATCCTAGGACTACCCCCCAACTGGCTAACCTACCTGTCGAACTTGTTGGTGCCAAACATGAACCGTCAGTGAAAAAGTGCAGTTCTTCTTCCAAGTTTTGTGGCCAGGCGACATGCCTGGTCTCATCTGGTATTTGCATGCACTGCGTGCGGAAAACTAGCAAGCATGGCGGCTCAGGAATCCATCCGTGATTGGCTGCTGGCAGTTCAAGTACTGCTGTCACCTGCTCCTCTGCCAAGTGTTGTCGGCACTGTTGGAAGTATGGACACAGCCAACGGCGGTGAGTTTGGCTGTCCTCAGCATTGCAAAATCTACACTTAGTCGACTGATTACCATTTCGGTGCTCTAATCTATCTGCGGTGTAGAAAGTGCCGTTCAAGGCCGCTCTCAGGAGAGCTTGCTGCTCTGGTTCCATCTTCCGCAGATTCAGTGTGGTCAGGCCGGGGCTCATGAATGCTGCTCCGGCAAACGTCTTGCGATTTTGAGAACAACCCATGACATGCTTGTGCCATGCTTCAACCAGCCTGGATTTGAGCTCCTGTACTGAGCAGTGGAGGAGGTCAATGACGAGTCCATCATGGTCTCTAAACTGCGTGTTTCTTACCCATGCCCATCCTGCATACTGCAGGCGTGACAACAATACCCCACATGGGCCTGGGGGCGGCTGTTTCTGGCCAAATGGCTGATGGTTTTCTCCCATGATGAAATCGTGCGAAACATGAGGCATGTCTGCTTTGTGGATCATGACTTGGGTGTTCAACGGCTCCTAGATGCAAGGCTGGATTGGTACCACTAGAATGTTCCCTCAACCCTCTAACAGCTTTAGTGCGGAGTGTGGCAAAGTGGTTGTCAGCTATGGACACTGCTGGTATTCCATGTAGGCCAAGCGGCCATGCCTTGGATCTTAAGGCCTATAGTTTTTGCTGGTAAGGGGCCATGCTTCTGGCCAGTTGGTTCCAAAGGTCTGGCATACCCTCGAGTCTGCGAATCAGTTTGGAGTTGGTTTTCTGCTTGCCTTGCATGGTGTGCAACACGGTAGCTATTTTGTCCAATTCGTGAGGACCGAAGTACTTTCCTACCACCCGACTGGGTGCTCCACAGATAAGTTTTGGAATGATCTATTTGAACGTCTAAGACGGCTGTGAACTGGAGAAGTTCCTCCAGGCTTTTGATAGCTTCATCTGCGTTGGGGCTAAGAAGTTCAAGATTATCCACAAAACTATAAAGCACTGTGTTGGGGTACTTCAAGGACATCCACTTGTGTACTACCAAGTCAACGGCAAGCATCGCTGTGACTGACAGCGAGGCAAGCATCGCTGTGACTGACAGCGCGCAACCCTCTGCAAAGCCCGTGACTGAAGATATGCCTGGTCCGGTGCATGACCTGAGTTTAAATCTTCTCTTCATGGCTACTTGCGCTGACGCCCAGCCACACAAGATTTCGTTGGCAACCCCAAAAGGTTGCATCACTTTCAAAACCGGAAACCTAGGCAGCAAATTGAAGCACTTGACCAGGTCAACTACCGACCCTGCAAGCTCTTGACCTGTGTGATGTGACATTTCAATTGCTGACAGGATAGAATGCCACACATCACATGTGGATTTATGCGGGAGGTTTCCTGCGCAAGATGGGGGTGCAAACTGGCTCAAGTGTGTCAACAACTGCTTAGCTCTGATGGACGACCAACAACGATATGCCACGCTAAAGATGGTAATTGGTCTGTACTGGGCGACCTGGCTGGCCCGCGGATGCCCGCGGCTGTTTTTCAAGGGCAATTTACCCATCCTTGCACAAGTTGTGACGGCCATTGGTGACCTTTTTCAATATCACTAAAGATATCAAGAAGTTGTTGAGTAAGGCTGTTGGCCATGCGGAGGAGATCTTCCCTTGCCACTCCGTCTGGTCCAATGGCTGCTCTTCGTTTCTTCTTTTTAAGCGTTTGCCTCCATTCCCGCACAGTGATGGGATGGTACGCCAAAGTGGGGATTGCTGGAAATGCCATGTGCACGAACTCCTCAATGGGTTGCCAGTACGATTCATCTACATGCAAATGCCTATCCCATCTTTTGGTCCATTCTGCTTGGAACTCATGGAACATATGTGTGACCTAGCCTATGTACATATCCTGCTTTACTTGTGTACCTACCAAATCAACAGGTGGTCTATCGAGCCACAGCTTATCCTCTTCTGCATGGAGAATCGTGGCTTCTCCCGTGTTTGTCGTGAGACGAACAACGGCTTTCCATTGGTTGGTTGGTGCAACTGTGATGGAATAATCATCTATGTCACTTTCAATGACCTTGGCTATTGTGTTGTGTAGCAACGTGGTACATGGCTTTGGTGCTTCCTTTTTGAGGTCTCGGAAAATGACATGTGGGTCCTCACTACGTCTTTGTTTTGCTTTGGTGTTTTGTGCTGATTGAGGGCTCGTTCCATTTGTTCCAGCTGCTCTTCAAACTGGTGTGCCACAACTGCTGCTGTTCGGTGGCTTGGCATTGCGTAAGTGAGAACCGCCCAATGACCACCTGTAGTATTCCACCACGGCAGAAATCCATAGGTGAACCCTGAGGCTTCAACGATCTCTTCCACAACTTTTGCATGTGTACAATTTGAGTTCTGCTTGGGCTGGCGTTGGAAACCAGCCTGGAAAAATTGTTGAGCCGACGTGCTTGCCTAGTCCACTTTGTATATGTGGGGTCTATGCCATGAAATTTTGGTTGACGTTCCCCTTGACGGGCTGGCTTTGGTGGCATGGAAAACTCCTGGACAAAATGGACTTCAAGTGTGGCTGCTCGGCCTTTTTGTTTTGCTTCTAACGGCATCTGTTGCTGTGCTCTTTTTTGATCATTTACCCTTTGTTCAAGTTGTTGAAACACCTGTCGGTATCTGTCCTCCATGCTAGTCGATGCCGTTGGAACTGCTGGATGGTCTGGCAAGGTTGATACTTCTTTCCAATCAATCTGTTTTGGATGTCTCCACAATGGCATCATGGGTGGCTGGCCTAAGCTGGCTAGCTTGGCAAACACTATTGCGTGGTCTTTGAAGAAAGATTCATCCACCTCGACATCTTCGAGGTACATGGCAAGTTCGGGGCTGACAAAGATGTGGTCACGGATTGTGGCTCCTTTGCATGTTGAGACTGGCAGTCTCTGGAACTTTTGGAAGGCCCACCATTGTACGTTCACCCACCCCTTATCAGCCCAATGCTCCATCGAGGATATACCCATGTGGGATTGATTGAAGTCCCCTGCTATGAACCTCAAGCCGCTGGATTGTTCCAGAAGTCTTTGGGTGACATGCTGGCAGATGCGATCTGTGGCATCCTTAGTTTGGTGGGTTTCAGGGTTGATTGCATGCCCATACACCACTGCTCCTTGGACCCATCTGCGACCCACTGCAAAAGCTGCTACATGAAATCTGGCCTCATTCCATGCTTCTGAAGGCCATGTTGCCGTCATGGCCCTACCTGGTGCTGTGGACAAAAAGGCTACACCTTTGTGTTTACCTCCTATGGCTGAGATAGTGTGGATTTTGGGGGAACAGGCGCTAATGGTATCCAGCTTCGTGATACCGTAATTCCTCTGTACATTTCTGCTTACCATGTTTAGTAAGGTGGCTTTCTGATACTGCCCAAATGCTTTCACTACCTCTGGGCAGCTCGGCGATCAAATGGCTTTTCCCGAGTATTCCTGTCGGGTGGTTCATGCATCCAATTATGGGACCCGAGTGATGGGCCCTCGGCCCCGGGTGAGCGGCTTCAGCCTCAACATCCAGGTCAAAAGAACTAAAATCCACCAAAACTTTCCCAAAATGGGGCCCCGTGTCGGCTTGCGGTTGCATAGCCACTCCATCGGGTCAGGAGTGGTCCTGGGTCTCTTGGAGAAATGGGACTCTATGCGTGACATTTGTGCCTCCAGTTTGGAGTCAAGCAACTGGTGCAAGGCTTGGTGCTGATGCTCAACTTTTGCTTCCACTCCTGTGACCTGCTGCTGGAGTGCCGTATGCTGCTGTGCATGCGTTTTTTGAAAGGCACCAAATTCGGATGTGAGTTGCCCTACTTTCAAGCTCTGTCATTCGGCGATCACTGTCAACATCCATTTTGTCATCCTCATGCAATTGCTTGATGATTTTCTTCTCCAAGTTGGTCTCAATCATTTTGAGCTGAGAGCTTAACATTGTGCTGTGGGCTGGCTGCCATGGATCTTTGTGGAGCCAAGGATCTTCGCTTGCTGCCGGCGCGGATGAACTCGCCTGGTCGGCTCTGATCAGGCTTTGGTACGTCTTTTTGGATGCAATGACTGATGACTGCTGCGGAACTGGTTGCTGCTGATTGGATTCAGGACTGATCAAGATGTTCCCACTGTTGGTCTGGTAGATCCAGTTTTCTGGATTCACTGCGCTTTGAACCAACCATTGCAGTCCTGGTTGGTCCTGCTGGGGCGAGCGGTCTTGCTTGCCATCCCCATTTGCGGACAAGGGTTGTGATGCTTTGTTTGCTGCTGCCATATGGGATTGGGCCCATTCTGAATTTCATTAGACTGTTGCCTTGCAAGTACACGACATCCGGTCGGTGTGCTTCATGTGTGGCTTCAGCATCTTCATTGCAAACTCGAATTCCGTACCTGGAACCACTTCTAGCCAGCTGACATTGGGCCTTGTTGGCCTGTTGGCATATGGATGCTTCCTGATACGTTTTCCGTGGAAGCCAGACTACTTGATAAGACTGGTGTGGTTTTCTCCCATCTTGTGTTCTTGGTTGAAGATAACATCCTGCAACTCCGCTATGTTGTAGTAGGAGGGCTTCCACACTGTCAGTCTCGAGTTGAATGTTGACCACGAACATGCTGGCTGCGGCTGGCTCTGACTTGGTGAGGGACTCTGACAGGAATTGCCTACCCCAAACATCCAGAACTTCGTGTGGTGGGATTACTTTGAATGCCGGGAGAGTCATGACTTGCTTCACCGGCCCTTTGCAAATTGTTTCCCACGGTATTTGCGTTTGATCTTTGTACAATGCGGCACGGGGGGTGACTCCTGCACTTCAACACATTCAGTTGTCATGTTGCGGACCACAGGTTGGCTTCCTAACTGCAAAAGGGCTGCCATTGCAATGATGGGTTCTGATGTCGCTCGGCAAATCGCAGGAACCCTGACGATGCTATGGTTGGCCGGCAATCTTGCATCAAGGTGATCCAACACTAACAGTCCAATACCTTCGGACGATAATGGCTGTTGCAGCGTGAAGTAGGGCAGTGCTTCTTCTATGTTGGTGACTAGGATCCCCTGGCCCCTGGCTTTTGGCATTGATCTGTCCTTGGCTTAAAGGTCCTATACCTCCCTCCCCCTTGCTGGCGGAAAACCCCATGAGGTACTGTGATTTGATCTGCTCTGATTCTAAGCTCCGGGTTGCTTTGTCGGTGCTGCTTGCTTTTGTTGCTTTTCTTCCCGATTGGTGCATCACTTTGCATTTTCCTATGGATCATTTGTTTGAGCTCCTCTGCTAACACCAAGCGTATAGGCGGCTTGCACGCATTGGCTCGTGCTTTGAGATCCATCCATGGCCTTGGTGAGGCTAGTGCTTTCTGGACTTGGTGAATTCCAATGGTTGACAAAACTTGATCAGCACATTCATGGGATCGATTGAGTGCTACTCCATATTCGATCAACAGTTTGATCAATGCTTCTTGAGTGGTTTGCATTCCTCCTACCGATAATGGTTGCATGATCACTTGTGCTTGGATACCGGAAACTCGCAAATGTGTTTGGAAAAGCTGTCTTCAGTGGGCAGCTTGATTGTCCTGGACAACATATGCATATTTATCCCCACAAGATTGGGACATGAGCCATCCAATTGTTTGGAAACCGCAATCAGCTGGGAAGTAAGACGGAATGGGCTGGGATTCAATCTCAATTTCATTTCGTCCAACATGCTGTTCAAGGATAGTTCGAATCCATTCCACCCTGGGTGGTGGCACCACAATTTAGACTGTTCCTTCCACTGGCACGGTTGCGATGGGAAACCAATGTGCTTCATGCAGGACTGGGGCAAAAACTGGTCCTGCGGATTCAGCGGAAAGAACTCCATGTCCAAGAGATGCTTGACCAACGCTGCGTGACTTTTTTCGCCCATGCTGACTGAATTGCCAATGACCAATGGTGACTGAAACACCCCCGGATAGCTGTTGGCTGCCATTTCCATGTAGAACTTCATCTCATCCACTGCTACCCAACCCAGTTGTTGCCAGAGCAAAATCTCCCTAGTATTCTGAGCCAATTGGGGAATTTGCTTATGAAAACCTTGTAGATGGCTCTGACATGGGATCGGCTTGGAGGTTCCAATCTGGTCAAGTCTGTAAATCTTACCTGGCGTGATCTGACTTGACAGTGGTACCGGCGCACCCATTGCTGTACATATTTGCCAGTTGGTGACATCAATTTGTGCCAATTTGGCATGGGCTGTGAGAAGCTGGCCAGCTGTGTGTCCAACTGGTACTTGCATTTTGGCCGGTACACTACCATGCGTGTATGCAAACACCTCCATGACTTCTGGTTGCCCTTGGTCTGGGCATACACCCGCCTGTTGTGGGAGCACGCTAGATGCCTGTTCTCCTGTTTCCTTCGTGGCTGCGTCTTTGCTGTTAACAGATGACTCTGCGTCGTCACTTGTTGCCTCCATGGTTGCAGTGTGCTTGGAAGGTCTGCTGGTAGCTGCCCTGGTTCACCCACTCCTTCTGAAGGCGTGTGTTGGCTGTGGTCGGCTGACATGGTTTCTGCATTGCTTGCTGGCGGTGCACCCACTGGTTGTGGGGGCTTTTCGTGTGTTTCATCCTTTACCAATTCCCCAGCAGTGGGTGCATAATCATTGGCCGATTCACCCACATGGTGTGGGGCCATGATGGCATTTCCCTCTTTGGCTTTGGAAATTTCTATTGTTGTTGTGTGCATCTGCTGTGCTTCATGTGCTGCTTGTCTGGGCTGCTTAGGAGTAGGTCCTATGTCCACTGACTGATTTCTTTTGTGTCCTGTGCTGAATCCCGGAACCCTCCTTTTGCAAAAGTTTTGCTGCTGTTCCTCTGCTGCTTTTCTGCAATGATGCGTGCTTGTAAGAGATCATGCTCTGGCGGTCCGATGAGCTTGTTCATTGCGTTGTCTGTATGCTCTTTGTCCATCCTTGACTTGCTTGGTAGCCCACTTTGATCTCTGGAAAGAACTCCTTCAGAGTTGCTCCTCGCTTGCAATGCTGGTATCCTCTTCCCCTCCTTGGCAGGCTGGTCACCTCCCTTAGTGAGCTCTCCTAGGGTGGTTTCAATTGCTTGTGTGGCTTTCATTGCATGGCTTGCAGTCCGTTCTTTTTCTGCTACATGCTTGCCGTTGCTTGGTTGCTGCTTGCCGTGCATGTGCACGGCTTCTGATTTTGTTCTACTATCTTGGAACCTGGCACTGCATGTGGGTTTCGGTCTGGCTTTGCTGCTGAACATGTGAATTGACCCGCTGGCGCGGTAACACTCACTTGTGCCTTCTGCCCAATTTTCGGCCGGTACACCCACCGGACGTGGGGGCAAGCTGGATGCTAGGACTCCGGATGCTTTTGCTGCGGCATTGCTTTCGATAGTTCCACCCACTGGTTGTGGGGGCATGAAGGATGGTTCTTTGTCTGGCTTGGGTGCAAATGCTGCTTCTGTGGCGTTTGCTCTGCTTTCCGTCGGTACACCCACAGGATGTGGGGGCGTAAGATGTGATCCTATGCCTTGGCCTGTGATTGCCATGACATCTCCTTTGCTTACTTTGGATCTGGATCTGGATGGAATGATTTCTGCGTTGCATTCGACCCTTACACCCCCCCATTGTGAAAACGTATCCCCTTCTTCGGATGCTTTCATGCTGATTGCAATGCCTTTGGACGGTACACCCACTGGTTGTGGGGGCGTGGGACTTGGTCCTACTTCTTCACTGGTTTCCATGGCATCTGCAGTGCTTTTGGACGGTACACCTACCTGCTGTGGGGGCAAATTGAAGGCTCTTTCACCATGTACTGATGTTCCCATCGAGGGAGATGTGAGAAGTATGGCAGTTGCATTGCTCTCGGTCGGTACGCCCACTGGTGGTGGGGGCAACGGTACACCCACTGGTGGTGGGGGCATTTGGAATGAATCTACGGCTTCTCCCAATGCTACTTTGGCTTCTACATTGATGTTGGACGATACACCCACTGGGAGTGGGGGCATTTTTGCTGTGGTAACACCGACTTTTGATGGACCTACTGCCACTGCATTGTTTAGGGGTACTGCATCTCCCAATGACTGGAAAAGGGAAAAGGCTGCATTTGCATTACGTTCGGACGGTACACCCACCGGTTGTGGGGGCATGTCTGATGGTTCACCACCATCTTCGGATGCTTCGGTGGCACCTAGATTGCTTTGGTACGGTACACCCACCTGTTGTGGGGGCAATTCACATCCATCTGAGCCTACGGATGCTGTGACCACATTGAATTGTGACAATGCATCCAACTGCTCACCTTGCAAACTGGATTCGGCCTCTTCAACATTGGTCTCGGTCCTGGCAGCGCTCGGATGGGCAGTTCTGGATTGGTATGCAACTTGTGTGTGTTGATCAGTGCTGGAACATGGACTCTTATCAAAAGTCATTTCTTTGATGATGGAATCGGCTCGTGGGTTACCCTACAATTGCAATTATTTGATGGTTTCTTCAAATTTTTGCATTGACTCGGATTTGCCTTGTACCTTCAACAGTTGATCACGTACCTGAAAGATTGCCTGTGCCAACCCTCGCATGACTTCAATTGGTTCATTGGTGGGTTTTGGGAAAACACCTGCCTCCCACATGTCCTGCATTGCATTTGACATCACCCATGCACTTTGAAAGGGTGATCCGCACTGTCCGATGGCGGCCAAAGCCAGTCTTGGTTGCATGTCCTGAAGGCCAAGTTTCATGGGATCTACACCGTTTGCAACTGCTACCTCGGATGCATGAAGGTGCCTCATCCTCGGTATGGAAACTTGCTGCTTTGTACACTTCTCGGCTAATGGCAACAGTTGGCCATACAGCCCTTTGCGCTTGATCCTTTCTTGAGAGAAACCCGTCTTTCTACACCCACACAAACACTCCCTCAATTGTGATCCCCAGCTATGAGTAGCAGTAGGTAACGGCTTTAACTGGTTCACTTGGTGTTCGGAAATGCCTTTCGGGGTTGATAGAAACTGGTCCATTTCTTGGTCATCCAATTTGAGTTCATTCAGGGTTTCTTGATCAAGCTCCATAAAAAACGGAAAAAGATGAATCATCGACGGTGCAAATGCGAGTGGTGGCATGTCTGGTGTTGGCCTGGTACCCAATGCTGGATGGGACAGGGTTGCCCACCATCTCTGGTGTTTGGATGGCCAATACGGATGCAGTGACAAAATTTTCTGGTGAACCACCATACCTGTTTCGGATGCAAATTTGCGGAGGATGTCTTGTTCCTCCTTTGACTGCAAAACTGCCGGTGTGCACTCCATGACGGCTAGTGGTATCTGCAGAAAATGGATGGCCCTCAGCATGCCTGGCATGGACCTACTGCGGTCATCACTCATTTCTCTCTGGTCTCCTAACAGGCTCCATGGTTGGCATGCGATTCCCCCTGAAAGGATGTTGCCACAGTATGGTGCCAGTTGGGCAATTACTTGCGAACATGACACATCACCCTCAATGACGATTTTGCCCTGTTTTTCCACCATGCTGCAAACTTGGGATTCAGTTCATTGTATGAGACCATCTTTGCACCACATGCTTCATACCCTTGTGAAACTGCCGATGTCCCTGAACAAACTTCGGTGACAGTACTCATTTTGCTGAATTCTTTGGCTTGATGACGTAGTGCCAATGTTGAAGGCGTTCTAGTCAACCACACCTGTGATCCCACTGTCAGCTTCTTGACGCCGAACAATGTCACCCTCCTTGAATCAGCTAAATTGAGGTCTACCAACACTGAGTTCTTGTGAATGACAGCAGTGACAACTGAATACCCCGGCCCAGTAATGGCTACATCAGCAACCAAATCAACCGTAGTACCATCATCCAAAAGCCGGATGTCTGGCTCCAACTCCATTGCTCGTCAACCCTCGGCACCCCCGATGTGAAACAACCCTCCCAATCTTCGGCTGAACAGGTGCACCACTGGTAGGCATTTGAGCCGACACCTCCTGCTAACCATCATGACATCCAGTGACGTCCCGGTGAGGATCCAGATAAAAATCCCATTTTATCTCGCTATATCTCGTTCATATCCCCAATAAACCACCATTTTTAGAGCATCCAGCATCCAGATCAATATTTGAACCATCCCTGACCTCCACTTCAGGTACTTCAGCAACTTCACCAAGTACTGCTGCGAGCGCATGAGAGCTTGGAGGAAAATTTGCCCTCTCCAAGAACTTCAGAAGATCCAATGCCTGAAATCTTGCTAGAAAATAACCCGTTTTTGGTGCATGACCCAATGGCGTTGACTGAAAATATGGAACAACACTAATATCTGATGGTTTAGAAATGTTTAGACCTCATTGTCTCCGTTGTTTCATGTCAATAAATTGGGAATTTGCAAACTGTGGCATACATGACCCAATATTTTGAAGCTTAAAACCTCATGTTCCCCATTGAATCATCGCAATTCTGGGGTCTCATACCCTATTTTAAAATATGTGTGGTGGATACCAATTATGTTCTCAGGTTTTTCCCTATTTTGGTGGATTACCCTTCATATTCCTTTATTTCATCATCACTCCTTCTTATTTCACTAGATATTCACCCCGCTTCACGTGGGGTGGCCGCCCACACCGCAAGTTTATTTCGGTCCGTGAGAGGGGCTAAGGGTGGTTTCCCCCGTGGGGGCTCCCCAAGCTAAGAAGTTTCACTTCCCCCCCCCCCGTGGGGGTTCCCCAAGCTAGGGAATTTTCACTTTTCCCCCCCGTGGGGGCTCCCCAAGCTAGGGAATTTTCACTTTTCCCCCCCGTGGGGGCTCCCCAAGCTAGGGAATTTTCACTTTTCCCCCCCGTGGGGGCTCCCCAAGCTAGGGAATTTTCACTTTTCCCCCCCGTGGGGGCTCCCCAAGCTAGGGAATTTTCACTTTTCCCCCCCGTGGGGGCTTCCCAAGCTAGGGAATTTTCACTTTTCCCCGCCGTGACAGCTTCCCAAGCTATGGAATTTTCACTTTTCCCTCCCTTGGAGGCTCTCCAAGCTGCGGAATTTCAAATAGCTAGACAACGACGCCTAGATAGTCCCCCAAATCCCGTGTTCTTTGAATGTGTTTCCATGTTTTTGCAATGGTTTCCTTCAAAGCACGGTACTTTACACTTTTGTCGCCATAAAACCGGTCGAAAACATCATGTTCGACAATGCTTCCAATTCCCTTATCTCCCCAACCGTTGAAAATACCGCTATTTACAGTGTTTTCTTCAATTTTTCCATGTGCCAATGCCGGTAGCCAACTCCAACATATATATAAGAAATCCTTCCAAAACATTGTTTTTGACAGTGTTTTTCCAATGTTTCCAGTCAAACAGACGGTAATTTACACGTTTTTTGCCATAAAGGCAGTAAATCCTTCCAAAACATTGCTTTTGACAGTGTTTTTGTAATGTTTCCAGTCAAGCATACGGTAATTTACACGTTTTTTGCTATAACGTCAGTCCAAAACACTTGTTTTTGCAGTGTTTTCAATGCTCTGGCATCCAAAAACCCTGCAAAATCTTGCTATGTACAATGTTTTTTTCATTTTTGGCCGTTTTTCCATTGCCGGAAAGCTACCAAAATGACCCAAAATTCCATTTCAATACCCTCTTGCGCTCAGACACCCAAAAATCCTCGAAAAATGTCGAAAACACCACCGTATTCTGGTCTCGGTGCGAAACCGTTTTTGGGGTCTGGTCTCGGTGCGAAACCGTTTTTGGCCCCCCCCCCCCAGCTAAAGCTGATATAGCGACTGCTATTATTAACAAATGTCATTGAGCATTTAGTGTTGCTGTTGCCCCCCAATAAGCACGCCTTCACCGCCAAAGCGGTGTGGGCGGATTTACACCATGGAAGGTCTTGAAAATTCATTTAAGATAACTGGTAAAACAATGGGATATTGACATTTGACATGACTCTACAAACATCCCAAGTTTGTTTACATCATGATGAATCTGTGAGGTCATGTGCGGATGCTATTCCATTTACACAATTGTGAATGGGAAAACCTGGATACTATCATTTACTGAGGATACTATCATGTACAGATAATTACACATGTTTACACCATTATCGATGGGAAAACAAGGTAAATCCAGGATACCCATGGCCACATGCTAGATCGACAACACGACAGCACCGTCACGCTGGCACTCAGGGCGTCGAACTGAAAACCAGGACAAGGGCTCAAAGGAATGTTTCTTCCAGGTTTGTTGCGAAGTTCGAGGCCCTAAGGATGTCCACCAGTCTCTGATGATTCATATTTACAAGGGCAGGCTCGCTACAAAATAGAAGCCCATGACCTCCTAGACTCCTGGATGAATGTAACCCACAAGGTGGAATCAGGATAGAATGAGAGTTCTGACCCCTCCCTGCGATCACTCTAAAATGGGAGACCTACTCAAGCCCTAAAAAATGAGATGCTAAACTGCTAAACCGTTAAAAAGATCTTACACATACATCACCCCCTCCCATTTTTCAGCATATCCCAAGGAGTGCCACTCGACACCATTCCAACACCACACTTCGGGCACCAATGCAAGCACTGTGTTTCCTCTCTGTGTCAATTTGCGCTACTTAAAGACAACTCCCGAAAAGAGAGTTCCCGCACACCTGATGGCAGAGCCACACCATCCAAGCTTTGGTTGAAGCCCGAGCCCAAAGTCAAGGTCTGCAGACCTGCTGGCAGAGTCGCACCATCCAAGCTTTGGTTGAAGCAGTCCCCAAAAGTCAAGGTCTGCAGACCTGCTGGCAGAGTCGCACCATCCAAGCTTTGGTTGAAGCAGTCCCCAAAAGTCACGGTCTGCAGACCTGCTGGCAGAGCCACATTATCCAAGCTTTGGTTGAAGTCCCAGCCCAAAGTCAAGGCTTGCAGACCTGCTGGCAGAGTCGCACCATCCAAGCTTTGGTTGAACAAGTACCCAAAAGTCAAAGTCCGCAGACCTGCTGGCAGAGTCGCACCATCCAAGCTTTGGTTGAACAAGTCCCCAAAAGTCAAAGTCTGCAGACCTGCTGGCAGAGTCGCACCATCCAAGCTTTGGTTGAAGTCCGAGCCCAAAGTCAAGGTCTGCAGACCTGCTGGCAGAGACACGCCATCCAAACTTTGGTTGAAGTCCGTGTCCAAAGTCAAGGTCTGCAGCCCTGCTGGCAGAGTCGCACCATCCAAGCTTCGGTTGAAGCGATCGCAAAAAGTCAAGGTCTGCAGACCCGCTGGCAGAGTCGCACCATCCAAGCTTTGGTTGAACTTGTGCCCAAAAGTCAAGGTCTGCAGACCTGCTGGCAGAGCCACACCATCCAAGCTTTGGTTGAACTTGTGCCCAAAAGTCAAGGTCTGCAGACCTGCTGGCAGACACACGCCATCCAACCTTTGGTTGAAGTCTGAGCCCAAAGCCAAGGCTTGCAGACCTGCTGGCAGAGTCGCACCATCCAAGCTTTGGTTGAAGTCCGAGCCCAAAGTCAAGGCTTGCAGACCTGCTGGCAGAGTCGCACCATCCAAGCTTCGGTTGAAGCGATCGCCAAAAGTCAAGGTTTGCAGACCTGCTGGCAGAGCCACACCATCCAAGCTTTGGTTGAACTTGTGCCCAAAAGTCAAGGTCTGCAGACCTGCTGGCAGAGACACGCCATCCAAGCTTTGGTTGAACCAGTCCCCAAAAGCCAAGGTCTGCAGGCCTGCTGGCAGAGACACGCCATCCAAGCTTCGGTTGAAGTAGTCCCCAAAAGTCAAAGTCTGCAGACCTGCTGGCAGAGTCGCACCATCCAAGCTTTGGTTGAACAAGTCCCCAAAAGTCAAGGTCTGCAGACCTGCTGGCAGAGTCGCACCATCCAAGCTTTGGTTGAACGTGTGCCCAAAAGTCAAGGTCTGCAGATCTGCTGGCAGAGCCACACCATCCAAGCTTTGGTTGAACTTGTGCCCAAAAGTCAAGGTCTGCAGACCTGCTGGCAGAGACACGCCATCCAACCTTTGGTTGAAGTCCGAGCCCAAAGTCAAGGCTTGCAGACCTGCTGGCAGAGGCGCACCATCCAAGCTTTGGTTGAACCAGTATCCAAAAGTCAAAGTTTGCAGACCCGCTGGCAGAGTCGCGCCATCCAACCTTTTGTTGAAGCATCGGCCGAAAGTCAAGGTCTGCAGACCTGCTGGCAGAGTCACACCATGCAGGGTTGCATCGAATATCTTATCTAATTTCAGATGGTGAAGGCTGTTGGGTAGTTGTAAAAGCTGCCTTGCCGACTCAACTCCTCCAATTCGTGTCAGGCCATGCAAGGAAAACTCCTGATCCTCCACCTGTTCTCCTTGCAGATACTTCCAGGCTGCCAAACTATCCACAGGAACATAGACATAGGACAAGGCGGCGCATTCTCCAAGCCCTTGCTGCCTGAGGGTCTGGTCCAAGCTTAGTGGCGACGATCCGTGCTGCACCGAGATGCGTGACCCGGCCTTGGACGGCAGCTCTGCACTGATCATCTGTCGGAGCTGCCGGCCAGTCATGGAAAGAGACACCTCAGGACAGGGAAGACATCTTGGTGGAATGTCTTCAAAATGGTTTGGTCCAAAAATAGGGTACAATTACCTCCAAATGGCCGTTTTGATGGTGAAAATGATGATAAACAATTGATACACCGTCAAAATTGAAGGTAAGAAAAAGGGACTATTTTCAAGCAAACGCACTTCTTGAAACCCATGGAGCTTTGCTTTTCGGGCCAACCCATCCTAGAAATATTCAGCGAAAAACTCGACTTTGCCAAATAGCCGTAAATGAATCCACCAACTCCGGGTGTGGGTTTTTCTCAACAGGATGGAATAACTCTTGCATCCGAATGCTACTTTTGCATTGGGAGAAGGCTCAAGAATTGGAACGTAACCGTGGGAGCACAGAGGTCAACCACTGAAACTCCCTAGCCTACCAGCCCACAATGCCGGTAGAAGGCATTGAATTATGGCGACTTCAAGACGACTTTCTATGGTCTGCTTCTTGCTGATTCCCCTTTGTCAATCATGTCTTATGAATGTTTGAACCAAGTTGGGCCTGTGATATATTCCATGATACCCAGCGCTACCTTTTGATGACTGTCTCACCAGCCACCTAGGTGTTGCTTGGCTGGTGGATGCCTCAATTTCCAGTCAGATGTCCTATCAAACGGAGGTCTTGGTTGGTTGGTAAATGGGTGAATGCTTCTATTCCACAATTAAGTATTGGTTGGTGATCTCCAGAAATTGTGATTTGATAGTTTCTAAGAAACGCACGCTACTTGACTACTTCCAGAGATCATTGGAAAAAAAAGCGCACATGTATCCTGCCAAGCTGCATCGAATTTCTGCCTCTTCCCCTGCAAGCTGACCAGCTCCACGCTGATGCCATCAGACTCACCGACCATGGCCGCCACGGGCACTGCGGAATGGGAGGATTCACTGCGGATCGCTACGTTGGAGCAATCCTGTTGTGTCATGTTGTGTTTCGTATTTTTGTTTGATATTTATTTTGGAAAAAGCAAAACACAGAGAAGGACATGAACATCAAACTTGAGTAGTGATGCACTTTTCTACTCTCTTAGTAATTCTTGGGATCCATTGGCAAGATCATTGAGGCATTGCTGCTCCTTACTATTCCTGACGACCTATGTGCTTGAAGCAACATCAAGTCTTGATCCGAGAACTGTCAACCGAACACATGCCATTTGCAGTTTTTTCCATGAGAAACGGTACCTACTCTTCACTAGAATTCCCTATGAATTAAGTGGAAAAGAATCTGAACTAAATATAAATATATCCATGATGAGAAAAGTCGTACCTAAATTGGAGGTACCCAACTGTGTGTTTTGGCCTATGTATGTCACTGAATACCGTGGTACCCCCCCATGAAAAGTATGTAACATTGCAAGGTGCCTCCAATTTAGGTACCTGAATAGGCACCAAAGCTCTCGGATTCAAGTTGAATTGATAGCTGCACTGTGTTCGCTACCAAGTATGAATCGTCTTCAGTCATGGACAACTTCGAAACACAAGGCTCAAACATATCGAATTATAGAACGCATGTCTCTTGGTGGTCACGTCTCTGTTGCCTTGGTCCACCAGTTGTTGGTTCTATTCCCGCTTCCAACCTGATATTCACTGGTTCAAGGAACCAAACCATGGACATTTTTGGTGCTGAATCTTGTCATGTGGCTGAATCCCAATTTGTCATCATGTTGAATCCCTCCTGGGTTTATAGCTAGAGTAATCCCCATTTATCGATGAAGTCCCCCACCGTTGTGTTGGCCCAGCATCCGCCGCTGTCAACCACTGCAGGGATTGCATCACAGCACTGAATCCAGGGAGGGATCTGCCTGCAAGACAAGCAGGATTTTTTTACTAAATCCCATTGGTTGATGTATGTCATCCATGATAATGACAATAATGTGTGTATTTATCTGGCTAGTTGAGGGTTGAGCATTTTTTCACTTAATCATGATCATGTCTCTACATCACCTATATATATATATATTCTTTATACAGATTTATATATTTTCTTTATGGATGTTAATGGGGCTATTTGAGGGTTGATCATATTCGTCAGCGGGCATGATGGGAAGGAAAAAACATGACACGATCACGATCAAACGTTTTTTTCGCATACGTTTTCACTTTTGAATGAATTCTACATAAGTACTGTAAGTTGACATCTTGTATACCTGAATCCATAGCAGGAGCTATGAAAGTCAGTCATCTGTGATCGTCAAAACACATTGTCAAGCTTCTTGACACGCATCAAAAATGGTGAGACCCTTGGTCCTAAGTTGTCCTAATTCATTCATCCAACTGTGGAATGCTTCCTGAAAATCCCGCCGAAAAGTCCAAGCTCTTCCAAAGCTACCACCTCCCTGCTCAAAATCGCGGCGAAGGATTGATGATGGTATGTGAAAAGTGAAATTCACATTTTCGGTGGTTGAATCATCACTTTTGACGCTTGAATCTATCTGCAGGCTTTTTGGTGCAATCCCCACGTTGGTTGCTTGTGAATCGGCATTTTCTTTGACTGCAACTTTGTTGTTTCGTTATCCCCTCGCACCACATATCTTCGAAATCTTCCCTTATGTTGGTTGTTCAAATCTCCATGTTGGTTGGTCAATTCAACGCCGTTCTCGCTTGATGGTGGCATCATAACATATGCATTTCGATTGATAATAACGATCATGTCATCATTTGTTGCTTAAATCCTCAAATATCCCCCTTGTTGGGTCAAACCCAAATTCCGGTAATTCCCAATGTCAAGCATGTTCGGTTAGTTGGTTCAACCCAAATTATCATTCCAGTGATTTAGCCTTGTGGTTGTTATTTAAAATCTACCCATATATAACTATATTATATAGTAATATTCGCAATGTATATCATATTATCCCCGAATAGTACCACCATCTTTGGATGGTGAAAAATCGAAAAAAACTGAAGGTTTTTGGGCTGGACACACTGGAGCAGCCACCTCACCAAAGCTATAGCAGCTCTGAACCCTGAACAATCATTCACTTTGTAACAACTATCTTTCAAGGAACCCATCTTTGATGGTAAAATCCCTTCTTTTGATGGTCAAACTACCACGAATTCACAATAAAAACCACCAAAGATTCTATACCAAAAATTACCCAACATTACCCAACCATTCCCCATCTTTCGCCTTGGATTTGCTTAAGGACCCCCAAAAAATTGAAGATTTCCCCGGTCGTAGTGGACTTCCAGGAAAATCAGCCGTACCCAGCACCTCCGCCTCGAAGCCGTTCATTCTGCAGGACAGCCAGGCCTTTGGGCCAGGCCCATTCGCCAGCGCAGGCGTTGGATAAAATGTTCGACATCGCTGCGTCCTCAGGGCGATGAGGGAGGCATTTTTTCTATTGAAAACATGAGGTAAATCAGACTTTGATTGGTTTTATCTTTGTGTTCACACATCCAACATCATCAAACTCCAACACAACCTCCACACCATTTGGATCCATTTGGGATCTCTAGCCAGGGGCCTTAGTCTTGCCTCAAAACATAGATCAAATTACAGGACTTCCTTGGTCCTCTGTGAGATTTGCCTGGCGCAACCTGTACGTGGCATTACATGATTATTATTCACATGGACGTTGTGCAGCCGCGGTCCTATTCCTCAGCGTACGCGGCGGCTGTAGAACTGCCACCCTGGTGTGCAACTGGTGTCTTCTTGTTGCACAGGTTGATGTCCAGGATGTCCAGGAAAGAAATCCGCCCGCAAAAGATCTTGCATCTTGCCCAAGCAGACCCAAGTGGAACTTCTCAAGAATCCAAAGTCGCGCTTGGTCAGCTTCAAGGTCGTGGTGCTTCCGATTTCGAACAGCTTCCTTCACTCGCCAGGTCATGGAGGCTCCACTTCAGCTGTGGCTTGGATGCCCAAGCGCTTCAACTCCTCCTTCATCTTCGAAGCAAAGTTCCGCCATTCGTCAAAGGACACTGAAGTACCACCTCAGGGGGCAAGATGGCGCCACTGTATCCATCATCTTATACTGCTTAGTGAATCAGGTATTCCTATTGTTGGTTGATCACAATCGCCAATAAACAGTTTACCCTTCTAGCATAATCAACCAAGCAGGGTATCCTGCAATTGAATGATATTCAACCTCCCCCTTGAAACTTCGGAGATGGCTCAAAGGTGTCATGGTTAAGCTACATATCCCTAAACAACACTAGTCCTTTTCAAACCATTCCGAGGAACGGATCATAAATCATCGTTGAAATCACTCATCAGTTCATTGATGGGTCAATTTTGACACTGAAACCCAACTTTGCTGGGCAAAATAAATTTTGTTCGGTGGTTCCAACCCCATTATGGCGTAAACTGGTTCAACCCTCATTTCTTGCCCTTCCAACAAGTTGATGTCGTCATCTGGACCTGGTTTACTGGCCAAATCTCTCATAGCTTCAGCCAAGTGATGCAGTTCCATAATCTTCTCAGGCACCTGTGGGGTGAACGTGGGGAGATTGTCCTCCAAAAAAAAGGTGTTTTTCATGTGGTTAATATATTATATGCATGGAGACAACCTTGGGATTCTGGGAGTTTTCCGGTTTCTTAGCCAGGGACCCTCAGATTGATCAGATTCGTCCCCAACTTTGGACCATAGCCACATTTGGGACCAGTCATGTAAAAGGGTGCGTAAAAGGAGCGTTCAAACATAAGAAGTTGAAGATCTATAAACTGAGAGCATAGTGTTTGCTAGAAACTGATAGAAACATATTGAAATGATAAAGATGTTGGTTGGGATTGAAGATATACATGGCGATAGAGGTTGATCTAGAATTACTTGATAGGAACAATGCATTCTTCACTTTGTACCTGTGCTCATCCCCTACCGACCATTGGGCTCTTCCTGGTGCCTCCTCGCTGCCTGAAGCCTGCGGCGACGCTTTTCGTATGCTGACGGTCATCCAGTCTTCGGATGGCATAGCAAACTCCTGCACGGCTCGATGGGGGAATTCCCAATGACTTTCGGAAACGGCGAGAGATGTCATCCTGTGGGAATTACTTGGTGGTTCCTTTCTGCTAATGGAACTTGCATGTAACTTGCAGCTGGGTTACAAGTTGGGTGTAACAGCCTTGTAAATGTCGTAAGTTTTGTAAGTTCGGGAGCTGAATTTGGATGAGTTATATGTATGTTATTGGACGTGAAGAAGTTGCTAAGTTCTGCTATAAGTGTTTTTACATTGATGTTAAAAAATAGCCGAAAAAGAACTTACAAGTAACTTAGGGAAGTTAACTTTTTCAATGTTAAAAAATCATACTTTTTTTTCTATTCTCTTCTTTAATGGCTTGGCGTGGAGAGATGTTATATGCTGCTACTAGAATGCGATTTTTTTTGGAACTCGCAAAACATTGCGAATTTGGTTTTTCGTTTCGAGGATGCTGCCCCTGACACCCAGCAGACCGACCAAACCATGGACCAAACCATGGACAAGAAAACCGAGAAAAAGAAGAACAAGAAACAGAAGTGAGATGTTGACTTGGACTACATCAAACGGTGAAGTCAGTTTTGATGTCGTTGTCGATGCTGGGAAAATGCAGCAATGTTTGCGTGATAGATGTCGACTTAACAAATGTTTCAAGCCAAGTTCAAATCACAAGCCCAACATTTCACAATCACAAGTTCAAACATACCTTCAAACAATGACAAAGCTGTGAATGTAAATCAACTCGTTTCACATGTACCTGATTATCACAACAAGTCCTCACTAAATGCATCTATAAACGATATAAAAAACCAAATGTATAAGAATGTATAAGAATGTATAAGAATGTATAAGAATGTATAAGAATGTATAAGAATGTATAAGAATGTATAAGAATGTATAACTAAAACGGGGTTCGAGTTATACATGTATAACTCAAACAGAAATGAAGTTATACATGTATAACTCGAACAGCAAAATGAAGTTATACATGTATAACTCAAACAGAAACGAAGTTATACATGTATAACTCGAACAGCAAAATGTATAAACATGTATAAACATGTATAACTGTGTGTAACATTTTTCACCTTTTATGAATATTTTGTTCTGTTGATCTTTCGAATCATACTGCACTATGCAGAGCGAAAAGCTTTCCAAATCTGTCAAAATTAAATTTGTTATTGCATATCCGCTGCATCACAACACTATCATTGCAAAGCCACTTCACTTTATACTTTTTCAAAGTTGAATCTTCAGACTCAAAAATCTTAGATTCGAAGGCGGCTCATTGAGCAGTCCAGCTAACTGTCAATGGTACCGCAATTATTTAAAGTTCAGTTCACTGAGGTCTGGTTTCAATGAAATGTTCAATGATTAGTTTCAAGCCCTTGGGATTAGTTTCAAGGCGGCCCAATGAGCAGCCACTTCCCATCTATAGAGAAGTACCAGCTATAACAAAACATTCTAGAGAAAAGCCTCAAAACCAAGCAAATTGATCTCTCTTCACGCCAGCCTTTGTGGTAAAAAAATAAAATAAGCTTTTTCTTATAGCTTTTCTAGCTTCAAAACAACTTAAAGAAGTTATAAGTTCAGTAAGTTAAACTTAAGGAATTTAAGGGCTAATATTAGACTACAATTAAACCATAACTTTACTAACTTCACTTGCAACTTCTCGAACCAGGACAAGTGTCGCAACTAAGGAATAGTGCTGCCATGTGGTGCCACTTTGGGATAGTTCATCCCTGCTAACCATCAGTGACATCCAGTGACGTCCCGGTGAGCTAGATCCAGATTATTCCCATCTCGTTATATCTCGTTCATATCCCCAATAAACCACCATTTTTAGAGCATCTGGCATCCAGATCAATATTTGAACCATCCCTGACCTCCACTTCAGGTACTTCAGCAACTTCACCAAGTACTGCTGCGAGCGCATGAGAGCTTGGAGGAAAATTTGCCCTCTCCAAGGACTTCAGAAGATCCAATGCCTGAAATCTTGCCAGAAAATAACCCGTTTTTGGTGCATGACCCAATGGCGTTGACTGAAAATATGGAACAACCCCGGGGACCCCAATATCTGATGGTTTCGCAATGTTTAGACCTCATTGTCTCCGTTGTTTCATGTCAATAAATTGGGAATTTGCAAACTGTGGCATACATGACCCAATATTTCGAAGTGGACATGGTCTGCCCAACATGTTCCCAGTTTTTTTCTCCCTATTTTGGTGGATTACCTTTCATATCCCTTCATTTCATACTCACTCCTTCTTATTTCACTAGATATTTAGACCATGGAAGGTCTTGAAAACTCATTTAAGATAACTGAGTAATTTAAGATAACTGGTAAAACAATGGGATATTGACATTTGACATGACTCTACAAACATCCCAAACTTGTTTACATCATGATAATCTGTGAGGTCATAGTGAGGATGCTATTTCATTTACACCATTATGAATGGAAAAAACTGGACTCTATCATGTACTGAGGATACTATCATTTACCGATATTTCCACCATAATCAATGGGAAAACAAGGTAAATCCAGGATACCCATGGCCACATGCTACATCGACAACACGACAACACGGTCGCGCTGGCACTCAGGGCGTCGGGTCCAAAATGGGCTGCACGCAGGGCGAAGAGGGACAAGGACGCTGTCCAAGCGCTACCTGGATAAAATCATATATCCAGGGATTGTTTTATATATGGTTCAATGAACATAACTTTGATAAAAATTGTGTACAGATTATGTCAAGATGAAGGATTGATTTAAGCATAGATTTGCAACATCTGAACATCTATAACTATTCATGTCCAAGTCCCAGAACCCAAAACGTCGAAACGAAACACTTTTGCAAAAGGGCAATTTTCCAATTTCAAAAAACTCAGCCAATCTCAGACACTTTTCTCACTCGAACTCACCAAGGTGTTGTAGAGCAGAGCATCCGGCACCAACTGCTGCTGGTCATTCTGCTCCAACGCATCCAGGCACCGCCGCCAATGACCAGCGGATTCCAAGGTCTTCTGAAAGGAACAGCAGCTGATGGCATCGACTTCAACATTCGAGACTTGAAGGATCTTCAAGAAGTCCTGAGAAATGGGGATTTACAATGATTTACCACGAAAATTTTGGAATTAATATGGATTTACAGTAACATGAGTTCACTAAAACAGATGATGAAGTTTTGATGAATGATGGATCTAAGTTAACATGGTTTAAGCAGGAAAGATGATGATTGAAGAGGTAATCCCATCCAAAAAATGGGCCACCAAAAATGAACATATCCAGTACTAAACTATAGATACTAAACTGCGTAAGGTTTCTAGGGTATGTTTTGTTGGGGGGAAGGGATTAATGATTCATGTACTTTTTGAATCATGGATTGGTTGGTTGGATTCTAGTAGTCCTTAGAATCTTTATCCATGGATAATTGTAGAACCTGCTTCGAACATTTCAGAATGAAGGGACTGCACTTGGCTAGGGTACTGCTGTTGATTCACTGAATTGCAGGGGTTGATCGATTCAGCTAAAATCTACATCTATATCGAAGTTGGCTCTCAATGTTGGAAACCTTAGCACGTCAGCATGTTCCAAATGTAGAGTCCCTTCAAATCTATATTGGAACGAAACCTCCATAAAGGGAGCAGCTGAGTTCATCCCGAGCCTAGTTCATTGTTTCATTTTTGAGAATGTAGAGTTCCGAACTCAACTGAACTGAAAACCAGGACAAGGGCTCAAAGGAATGTTTCTTCCAGGTTTGTTGCGAAGTTCGGGGCACCAAGGACGTCCACCAGTCTCTGATGATTCATATTTACAAGGGCAGGCTCGCTACAAAATACAAGGTGGAATCAGGATCGAATGAGAGTTCTGACCCCTCCCTGCGATCACTCTAAAATGGGAGATCTACTGAAGCCCTGAAAAATTGAGATGCTAAACTGCTAAACCGTCAAAAAGATCTTATTTTCCAGAGGAAATTCTCACTGGGATATTCCAAGGAGTGCCACTCGACACCGTCCCAACACCACACTTCGGACACCAATACAAGCACTGTGTTTCCTCTCTGTGTCAATTTGCGCTACTTAAAGACAACTCACGACAAGAGAGTTCCAGCAGACCTGCTGGCAGAGTCGCACCATCCAAGCTTTGGTTGAACGAGTGCCCAAAAGTCAAGGTCTGCAGACCTGCTGGCAGAGCCACACCATCCAAGCTTTGGTTGAAGAAGTGCCCAAAAGTCAAGGTCTGCAGCCCTGCTGGCAGAGACACGCCATCCAACCTTTGGTTGAAGTCCGAGCCCAAAGTCAAGGTCTGCAGACCTTCTGGCAGAGTCGCACCATCCAAGCTTTAGTCGAATGAGTTCCCAAAGGTCAAGGTCTGCAGCCCTGCTGGCAGAGACACCCCAACCAAGCTTTGGTTGAACTTCTGCCCAAAAGTCAAGGTCTGCAGACCTGCTGGCAGACACACGCCATCCAAGCTTTGGTCGAAGTCTGAGCCCAAAGTCAAGGTCTGCAGACCTGCTGGCAGAGTCGCACCATCCAAGCTTTGGTTGAACAAGTTCCCAAAGGTCAAGGTCTGCAGACCTTCTGGCAGAGTCGCACCGTCCAAGCTTTGGTCGAACGAGTTCCCAAAGGTCAAGGTCTGCAGCCCTGCTGGCAGAGGCACCCCAACCAAGCTTTGGTTGAACATGTCCCCAAAAGTCAAGGTCTGCAGACCTGCTGGCAGACACACGCGATTCAAGCTTGGCAGACACACGCCATTCAAGCTTTGCTTGAACCATCCTCCCAAAGTGAAGGTCTGAGCCACACCATCCATGCTTTGGTTGAAGTCAGAGCCCAAAGTCAAGGTCTGCAGACCTGCTGGCAGAGTCGCACCATCCAAGCTTCGCTTGAAGCGATTGCCAAAAGTCAAGGTCTGCAGCCCTTCTGGCAGAGACACCCCAACCAAGCTTTGGTCGAAGCAGTCCCCAAAAGTCAAGGTCTGCAGACTTGCTGGCAGAGACACGCCATCCAAGCTTTGGTTGAACAAGAGCCCAAGAGTCAAAGTCTGCAGCCCTGCTGGCAGAGACACGCCATCCAAGCTTTGGTTGAAGCGTCGGCCAAGAGTCAAGGCCTGCAGACCTGCTGGCAGAGACACGCCATCCAAGCTTTTGTTGAAGTCAGAGCCCAAAGTCATGGTCTGCAGACCTGCTGGCAGAGCCACACCATCCAAGCTTTGGCTGAAGTCAGAGCCCAAAGTCAAGGTCTGCAGACCTGCTGGCAGAGTCGCACCATCCAAGCTTTGGTTGAAGTCAGAGCCCAAAGTCAAGGTCTGCAGACCTGCTGGCAGAGTCGCACCATCCAAGCTTCGCTTGAAGCGATTGCCAAAAGTCAAGGTCTGCAGACCTTCTGGCAGAGACACCCCAACCAAGCTTCTGTTGAACCAGTCCCCAAAAGTCAAGGTCTGCAGACCAGCTGGCAAAGCCACACCATCCAAGCTTTGGTTGAACAAGTGCCCAAAAGTCAAAGTATGCAGCCCTGCTGGCAGAGACACGCCATCCAAGCTTTGGTTGAAGCATCGGCCGAAAGTCAAGGTCTGCAGACCTGCTGGCAAAGCCACACCATCCAAGCCTTGGTTGAAGAAGTGCCCAAAAGTCAAAGTCTGCAGCCCTGCTGGCAGAGACACGCCATCCAAGCTTTGGTTGAAGCTTCGGCTCAAAGTCAAGGTCTGCAGACCTGCTGGCCAAGCCACACCATGCAGGGTTGCATTGAATGCGTAGCCAAAGATCACTGTCTTGATTTCTTTTGGAAAGGTGACCTGTGCAAGGCTTTCGTCGCAATTCTCACTTAATTTCAGGTGTTGAAGGCTGCTGGGTAGTTGTAAAAGCTGCCTTGCCGACTCAACTCCTCCAATTCGTGTCAGGCCATGCAAGGAAAACTCCTGATCCTCCACCTGTTCTCCTTGCAGATACTTCCAGGCTGCCAAAATATCCACAGGAACATAGACATAGGACAAGGTGACGCATTCTCCAAGCCCTTGCTGCCTGAGGGTCTGGTCCAAGCTTAGTGGCGACGATCTGTGCTGCACCGAGATGCGTGACCCGGCCTTGGACGGCAGCTCTGCACTGATCATCTGTCGGAGCTGCCGGCCAGTCATGGAAAGAGACACCTCAGGACAGGGAAGACATCTTGGTGGAATGTCTTCAAAATGGTTTGGTCCAAAAATAGCGTATAATTACCTCCAAATGGCCGTTTTGATGGTGAAAATGATGATAAACAATTGATGCACCGTGAAAATTGAAGGTAAGAAAAAGGGTCTATTTTCAAGCAAACGCACTTCTTGAAACCCATGGAGTTTTGTTTCTTGGGCCAGCCCATCCCAGAAATATTCAGCGAAAAACCCGACTTTGCCAAAGAGTCGTTTTTATTCATCCACCAACTCTTTCTCAACAGGATGGAATAACTCTTGCATCCGAATGCTACTTTTGCATTGAGAGAAGGCTCAAGAATTGGAACGTAACACACGTAGCACACGTGGAAGCACAACATTCAGAGCTGAAGCGTGTTCTATATTTGCAGAGGTCAACCACTGGTTGAAACTCCCTACCAGCCCACAATGCCGGAAGAAAGCATTGAATTGTGGCGATTTCAAGACGACTTTCTATGGCCTGCTTCTTGCTGATTCCCCTTTTCAATCATTTCTGATCAATTTTTGAACCATGTTGGGCCTGTGATATATTCCAAAATACCCAGCACTGCCTTTTGATGATTGTCTCACCAGCCATCTAGGTGTTGCTTGGCTGGTGGTGCATGCCCCCGATTCAGGAAGTCATCCGGTATGGGTAAATGCCTCAATTTCCAGTCAGATGTCCTATCAAACGGATGTCTTGGTTGGATGGTTGGTTGGTTGGTTGGTATTTTAAATGGTAAATGAATGCCTCTATTTCCACACATAAGTATTGGTTGGTGATCTCCTGAAATTATGATTTGATAGTTTCTAAGAAACGCACACTACTTGACTACTTCCAGAGATCATTGAATCATTGAACAAAAAAAGCGCACATGTATCCTGCCAAGCTGCATCGAATTTCCGCCTCTTCCCCTGCAAGCTCACCAGCTCCACGCTGATGCCATCAGACTCACCGACCATGGCCACGGGCACTGCGGAATGGGAGGATTCACTGCGGATCGCTACGTTGGAGCAATCCTGTTGTGTCATGTTGTGTTTTGTATTTTTGTTTGATATTTATTTTGGAAAAAACAAAACAAAGAGAAGGACATGAACATCAAACTTGAGTAGTGATGCACTTTTCTACTCTCTTAGGAATTCTTGGGATCTATTGGCAAGATCATTGAGACGTTGCTGCTCCTTACTATTCCTTACCACCCATGTGCTTGAAGCAACATCAAGTCTTGATCCGAGAACTGTAAACCGAACACATGCCATTTGCAGTTTTTTCCATGGGAAACGGTACCTAATCTCCATTAGAACTCCCTATGAACTAAGTGGAAAAGGATCTGAACTAAATAAATGAATATATATATATATATATATTTATTTATTTATTTATCATATCACTATATCCATGATGAGAAAAGTCGTACCTAAATTGGAGGTACTCAACTGTGAGTTGTGGCCTACGTATGTCACTGAATACCGTGATACCCCCCCATGAAAAGTATGGATTGAAACATTGCAAGGTGCCTCCAATTTAGGTACCTGAATAGGCACCAAAGCTCTCGGTTTCAAGTTGAATTTATAGCTGCACTGTTTTCGCTACCAAGTATGAATCGTCTTGTTCACTCGGAACATGGACGACAACTTCGAAACACAAGGCTTAAACATATCGAATTATAGAACGCATGTCTCTTGGTGGTTACCTTGATCCTTTTTTGCATGGTGTCTTCCAATTTCTTCTGTGCTTTTTGTCTCTGTTGTGTTGGTCCACCAGTTGTTGGTTCTATTCCCGCTTCCAACCTTATATTCACTGGTTCGGTTCAAGGAACCAAAACATGGACATTTCTGGTGGTGAATCCTGTCGTGTTGTGGCTGAATCCCAATTTGTCATCATGTTGAATCCCTCCTGGGTTTATAGCTAGAGTAATCCCCATTTGTCGATGAAGTCCCCCACCGTTGTGCTGGCCCAGCATCCGCCGCTGTCAACCACTGCAGGGATTGCATCACAGCACTGAATCCAGGGAGGGATCTGCCTGCAAGACAAGCAGGATTTTTTTACTAAATCCCATTGGTTGATGTATGTCATCCATGATAATGACAATAATGTGTGTATTTATCTGGCTAGTTGAGGGTTGAGCATTTTTTCACTTAATCATGATCATGTCTCTACATCACCTATATATATATATATTCTTTATACAGATTTATATATTTTCTTTATGGATGTTAATGGGGCTATTTGAGGGTTGATCATATTCGTCAGCGGGCATGATGGGAAGGAAAAAACATGACACGATCACGATCAAACGTTTTTTTCGCATACGTTTTCACTTTTGAATGAATTCTACATAAGTACTGTAAGTTGACATCTTGTATACCTGAATCCATAGCAGGAGCTATGAAAGTCAGTCATCTGTGATCGTCAAAACACATTGTCAAGCTTCTTGACACGCATCAAAAATGGTGAGACCCTTGGTCCTAAGTTGTCCTAATTCATTCATCCAACTGTGGAATGCTTCCTGAAAATCCCGCCGAAAAGTCCAAGCTCTTCCAAAGCTACCACCTCCCTGCTCAAAATCGCGGCGAAGGATTGATGATGGTATGTGAAAAGTGAAATTCACATTTTCGGTGGTTGAATCATCACTTTTGACGCTTGAATCTATCTGCAGGCTTTTTGGTGTAATCCCCACGTTGGTTGCTTGTGAATCGGCATGTTCTTTGACTGCAACTTTGTTGTTTCGTTATCCCCTTGCACCACATATCTTCGAAATCTTCGCTTATGTTGTTCAAATCTCCGTGTTGGTCAATTCAACGCCGTTTTCGCTTGATGGTGGCATCATAATGTGTCATAACATATGCATTTCGACTGATCATAACGATCATGTCACCATTTGTTGCTTAAATCCTCAAATCCCCCTTGTTGGGTCAAACCCAAATTCCGGTAATTCCCAATGTCAAACATTTTCGGTTAGTTGGTTCAACCAAAATTATCATTTCAGTGATGTAGCCTTGTGGTTGTTATTTAAAATCTACCCATATATAACTATATTATAAAGTAATATTCGCAATGTATATCATATTATCCCCGAATAGTACCACCATCTTTGGATGGTGAAAAATCGAAAAAAAACTGAAGGTTTTTGGGCTGGACACACTGGAGCAGCCACCTCACCAAAGCTATAGCAGCTCTGAACCCTGAACAATCATTCACTTTGTAACAACTATCTTTCAAGGAACCCATCTTTGATGGTAAAATCCCTTCTTTTGATGGTCAAACTACCACGAATTCACAATAAAAACCACCAAAGATTCTATACCAAAAATTACCCAACATTACCCAATCATTCCCCATCTTTCGCCTTGGATTTGCTTAAGGACCCCCAAAAAATTGAAGATTTCCCCGGTCGTAGTGGACTTCCAGGAAAATCAGCCGTACCCAGCACCTCCGCCTCGAAGCCGTTCATTCTGCAGGACAGCCAGGCCTTTGGGCCAGGCCCATTCGCCAGCGCAGGCGTTGGATAAAATGTTCGACATCGCTGCGTCCTCAGGGCGATGAGGGAGGCATTTTTTCTATTGAAAACATGAGGTAAATCAGACTTTGATTGGTTTTATCTTTGTGTTCACACATCCAACATCATCAAACTCCAACACAACCTCCACACCATTTGGATCCATTTGGGATCTCTAGCCAGGGGCCTTAGTCTTGCCTCAAAACATAGATCAAATTACAGGACTTCCTTGGTCCTCTGTGAGATTTGCCTGGCGCAACCTGTACGTGGCATTACATGATTATTATTCACATGGACGTTGTGCAGCCGCGGTCCTATTCCTCAGCGTACGCGGCGGCTGTAGAACTGCCACCCTGGTGTGCAACTGGTGTCTTCTTGTTGCACAGGTTGATGTCCAGGATGTCCAGGAAAGAAATCCGCCCGCAAAAGATCTTGCATCTTGCCCAAGCAGACCCAAGTGGAACTTCTCAAGAATCCAAAGTCGCGCTTGGTCAGCTTCAAGGTCGTGGTGCTTCCGATTTCGAACAGCTTCCTTCACTCGCCAGGTCATGGAGGCTCCACTTCAGCTGTGGCTTGGATGCCCAAGCGCTTCAACTCCTCCTTCATCTTCGAAGCAAAGTTCCGCCATTCGTCAAAGGACACTGAAGTACCACCTCAGGGGGCAAGATGGCGCCACTGTATCCATCATCTTATACTGCTTAGTGAATCAGGTATTCCTATTGTTGGTTGATCACAATCGCCAATAAACAGTTTACCCTTCTAGCATAATCAACCAAGCAGGGTATCCTGCAATTGAATGATATTCAACCTCCCCCTTGAAACTTCGGAGATGGCTCAAAGGTGTCATGGTTAAGCTACATATCCCTAAACAACACTAGTCCTTTTCAAACCATTCCGAGGAACGGATCATAAATCATCGTTGAAATCACTCATCAGTTCATTGATGGGTCAATTTTGACACTGAAACCCAACTTTGCTGGGCAAAATAAATTTTGTTCGGTGGTTCCAACCCCATTATGGCGTAAACTGGTTCAACCCTCATTTCTTGCCCTTCCAACAAGTTGATGTCGTCATCTGGACCTGGTTTACTGGCCAAATCTCTCATAGCTTCAGCCAAGTGATGCAGTTCCATAATCTTCTCAGGCACCTGTGGGGTGAACGTGGGGAGATTGTCCTCCAAAAAAAAGGTGTTTTTCATGTGGGTTAGCTAGAGACATGCTACCAAAACAAGCGGAGCGCTCACGACTCCTATTTTTGTCTGTGACGAGTGGTGCAGTCTCTGTACAAACCACTCACCCAGAGAGACTTGCCAGCCGACATTCTGTCAGCGGCATATCCCCCCCATGGGCATCCGCCAAAAAAAATCTACAATGGACATGCAAAAGAAAACCCACTCGACCGTGAAACAAAGAATCAACAGACATTCCCCGCTCTCAGTAGGCAACCTGTACGTTGAGAGCCTGCCGACATTCTGTCAGCGGCATATCCCCCCGAAATAGGCATGGGCATCCGCCAAATAAAAATCTACAATGGACATGCAAAAGAAAACCCACATGGTATCGACCGTGAAACAAAGAATCAAGGCTGCCTCAGACATTCCCCGGCTCTCAGTAGGCAACCTGTACGTTGAAGCCTCCATGGAACACGGATGAATGCAGAATTGCCACGGCAAAGTCTCACTGGTTCCACTGTCGATCCTGATGGTTTCCATAGTCATAGCTGGACCAGCCATCTTGGTTGCTGCCTCGTTGCCCATCTCTGGTCCAGTTGCCCCAGTCGTCATCGTCTGCGGCATTTGCATCTCTCCGTTGTGTGACATCTGGTTGATGCCGTTGCCACTCACTGCTGCGTCTCGCTTGCCAGTCGTGCCATTGACTTCCTGCTTCCCAGTTGGCCGTGCTTTCAGCTTCAGCCTGGTTGGATGCAGCAGCTGGAGCAGCTGACTGGCGAGGTGGTGGAGTGCTGCGTGATCTATCGGATCGATAGTTGGCCTTTGTAGCTTTTCGGCGGGCCCGCTCCTTGTTCTTCTCTTCGAGGAAACCCGGCTTCAGGACTTGCTTGGAATACCCATGTGACCAGGATTTCGGGAAATCCTCAAAGGAGGCACCCTCCATTTCAGCCAAGGCTCGCTGATGTCGGGCGGCCCGTTGCCGGCCCTTTTGGCGTTGTTTGGCCTCCGCATAGGTGAAGCCATCCTTGAGATCCTTCTCGAATTTGCCTGGGTGCATTTCGGGCAGTGGACGAGTGCTGAACTCAAAGTTGAGCTCCTCCAGTTTGCTCTTGCACCGCTTCCATGCTTGGGAGCGAAGCGTCTTCCTCATCTCTGGGGGTGCTCGCAGGAAAGCTTCCACTTTCGTCTTGGTCTTCTCGAGCAGCTCCTCATCTTCTGCCTTCTCCTCAGGGGTTCGATCATCGTCATCACCATAGTCGACTTCAGACTCGTCAAACCCAAAGTGGTTCACCTCAGTGGGCGGAGCGCCCTCAGAAGATGATGCTGTTGCGCCTGAACCGAGTCCCATAGCTCTTGCCGGCATGGCATAGTTGGCTGCTGGCAGTGGCGGAGGGGGCTTCTTTGGTGCTGGTGTCTTCTGCATCAGCACTGGAGGAACTGGTTTGGGGGCTAGGGCTTTCGGCGGCTCCTTTGGCTCAGGTACCTGTTCTGGATGAGCTGGCTTTGGAAGTGGCGGCGGAGCCACCTTTGGGGGAGCCGAAAGCATGGGAGGCTTAGGAGGTGGTGGCTTCTTGAATTCGACACCTTTCGTCCCTGCCATTAGCCATGCTTTTGCGCTGGGATGCATTTTTAGAAGCCCCGGATGGTCTCCCAAACATGCCTCCCGGACCTCTTTTGGGACAGAAGTCATAGGTGGAGCACCTTCAATCAGCATCTTGGCCCGTCCTCTGTTCACGAAATCCATGAACTGGAGCAGTCCTTGCATCACGGCTTGATCGAAGGTTTGGAAGACTTGCTCAGACCCGGTCCCCTCCTCAGGGAGCTCTTCCCATGCCGGCTCGTCCCAATCTTCTTCATCGAATTGGTGGTCTTGGAGGATGTCCATGTCATCGTCTTCAGCTTCCACCTCAACATACACATAGTCATCCTCGTTGTCTGGGACGGTGCTCTCCGGTGGAAGGTCATCTTCGACCCAAGGCTCAGACCCGGGCTCCAACCAGCTCGAAGGGGCCCTATATCTGGATGACGTCTCTGACCACCAAGACTCAGACGGAGCGTCTGATCGTTTCACCCCTGCATCTGCCAGTGCGATGCGAGGAACTCGCAAATCGTCCACCATGCCCCCTCCAGTGTATGGTTGGGTCGCCCTGGGGAAATGCTTGGCCGGTGTTGGCGGTGCTCCCTTTGGAATAGCTTGCGTGGGTGCCATTTTTTGCATTGGTGGGGTGGTAGGTCCTCTGGGCCTCCCATCATCATTTCTTGGTGGCGGTGCTTTCCTTGGCTTCGCACTTGAGCTCGGAGTAGGCGGATTCGCGGGCGGTGGAGGTTTCCTTGGCTTTTGCGCGGTCCCTGCTGGAGCAGGAGGGGCTTTGGCTGGGGGCGGTCCTCCTTGCGCTCCTCCTCCAGGATATCCCTGTGAAGGGGGGGGCGGTTTACGAGGCACCTCCCGGCCTGCTCCTCCCGAGCTGCTGGCTCCTGCGCCAGCAGGAGTGGAGGACCGATCAAAACTTGATCTGGCTTGTTGGAATGATGAAGCTTGCTTGGCATAGACACCAGCTGGAACAACTGGGGAACGGCCTCGCCCATGCTTTGCAGCAATTTGCTCTTGTCTCCACCTCATGTATTGAGTGGCCATCAGTGGATCCAAGAGGATCTCTCGGACCATTCCCAACATCTTAAACTCCTCTCCTTTGGCTTTCTGGACATCTTCCCCAGCAGTTGCAAAGCGGTCTGGATGAGTCTCACGGGACCTGCGACGATATGCGGTGAGCACCTGAGCTGGAGTCGCACCGGGTGGAACACCCAGGAATTGATAAAGATCTAGTCCTGGGTGAGCTGCTACAAAGAGGTTCGCTGCATTGGCTCGATCTGGAGCTGCTGGCTTTCGTCCCCCATCGGCACTTTCATCAGTAGCATCCATAGCACCAGCCTTCACTGCAAACGATACCTTACGATCTGGTGCCCACGAAAATGCACGATTGGTGTTTGAGCCTCGAGGAGCTCTGGATGTTCGCTTCGTGGCAACTGGGCTGCTAAAAGGGTTTGATCCTCCATGACTGTTATGGAATAACTCATCTTGAGGGACCCCCAATAAACCAGGATAGGACTCTTGGGGTTCAGTTGAACAACCGCTGGATGCCTACGGACCCCGGGGTCTTTTTGGCTGGGGAGTGTAATGAGGCTGGTACCCAACATCCCTTCTGAAATCCCTTTCTGAGCGGTATGATCTTCATAAAGGTAAGCATGAACAGCATCGGATGACCAACCACCGTACCTCTTAAGCCTTTCTAAGTCCCCAGTACTTGCGAAAAATGCAGTGGCTCCCCCCTTACGTAGTGAGTGTGAACCAGCGAGTTCGCCAGGAAACCCGGCGGCCAATGCAGCTATCTTGATGAAATGGGTGATGCCCTCTCTGTCAAGCCCCGTCCCGTCTTCATAGCGGAACAAAGGCGCCTCGTCTTCAGGGCTGCGCCACCGATGGGGCTGTAGGACCTGTAGCGCGGCTAAGGCTTCAACAGGGCAGAGATCTCCACCGGAGCGGTGGTGTGACCGTGTTTGGCCCCTACCATACTGATCGGTTTTTGAAGATCTAATCTGCACTACGACTTCATCGGCCTTGGCGCCTATGGTAGGCTGCCCATGCGAAAAGAAAGCAACATCAGCTGGGCGGAGCGCCCTATTCATGGGGTCTTCTCCATTGATACTGGGCAAGAGTTCACTGGCCCGCATCATGAAAAACCAACCTGTAAGAAGGGCTCCTTTGATCATGGTTTGATCGACAACTGATAAACCGCTACTTTTCAAGTGCTGGACCAACCATCGCAACATGTTGGGGGTAACAGGGAGCTTTCGTTTTGGGGCGCCTTCCCAACGTTGTAGACCCGCAACCGCTGCCCACAACCGAGGTCGCCCGACCAGTGGATCAGGGTATCCTGCCGCAACATGTGCATAACGAATGGCTGACAACCTTTGTCTGACCCCACCTATGGACCTTCCCATGACTTGATGTAGAAATACTACAAACCGAATCAACCTCTGCTCGTCTTCAGTCCGAGCGGAGCGCTCTTCTCCGTCAAGGAACGGGTGAGTGCCCGAGCTGGCATTGTACAACGCCCATTGCTTCCAGCCTGATGCATAGACCCTGCGAGTTGAATCAGCCAGTTTGGCCAAGACAGCTTCCATGGCTACCTGGTCAAGCTCTGCTGTGCTCCCTCCTCGGGGGCGGGGGGTCCCAGTAGTCCCGCCTCTTTTGGATGCGGGCTGGACCAGCCTCTCCACTTCACTGAGTGCTGGCTTCACGGTGGTGCGTTTGCCTCCGCCTGCTTTCGCCTGGGTTGTCGCTCCCACGAACTCATGAGTGGGTGCCACTGCCACACGTGGCTCTTTCCACGAAGTAAGGAAAAGCTCGGAAGAGGGAGCCTTCGGGTTCCTCCCCCACGCTCGCAGCCAGACCTCTAGTTGCTCGTGGGCTTGGATCTCATCGGGGTCCAGGACTCCTGCCTTCCCATCGGTTCCAGTCAGAGCCTGCATGAGACTCATAGCCACTTGCCAGCCTGGCTCCCGGACTGCAGCTGCTATCATGCGATCCTTTCTCTTCGAGTCGGCGGAACGCCAATCCTCTGCGAGGCCCCCTTGCATTTCCCACACCTCTTCTGGGAGGAGAGGACGGACCAGACCCGTCCCATCTTCCAACAGGGTGCCTCCTGGGATCTTGAGACGCTCACCTGTGAGCCTAGGTCCGCAAGCTGGGCCCCGTGTGCTATGGACCAGGTGCCTGCTGCCGGCGCGCACGTCAACCAAGTGGCCGACTGGTTTTGGAAGCCACTTGTCTCCGGTGGTGATGAGGTTTGGTTCTCTCGTGAAAAGGTAGTCGGGCGGGCATAATCCCTTACCTGACTCCTCTGCGGATCGCAGAGGTAACATCTGACACTCGTTGACTTGTGCAACTCGCCATGCTTGAACTCTCTCCTTTTCGTCGGCCGTTCCTCCAAAAAGCCAAAGTCTTCTGGCCCTGGCAAAGAAGCTGCCGTGGTGTGAAGTCTGATAGTCGACCACTTGTGCCTGACCCCATTGAACCTGAAGCTGCATCAGGCGATTTCGGCTGGTTTCAGAGAGCTCCCTGGGCTGGTCAACGATAAGTCGTCCTCTCCAATCAGTTCTGGCGAGGGTTTTTAGAAGGATGTCTGCCTCCCGCCCTTTTGGGTCTTGAGTGAGAACACAGACGATCCAGTCAGCTTGCGCCTGGCTTGCGATCGATCCTCCGCCCTTGGCCCACCCCAGCTCGAACGTCAGTAGTTCCGACCCTAGCCGGATTTGGTGGAGTCCCCCTTTGAATGGCTTTGGTTCGATCTTGGCGGGGAAGGCATGCACGGTTTGCTGTTCGTTGGCCAGCTGAATGGCTAAAGCTGCACTCGGGCCCTTCTCCCCTGGTAGCTTCAACGTGGGGCGCATGGCTTCTCGCAGGAGTCCTTCCCAGTCCTCATTGAGCTCGAGGCGGGTCCAGCCACTGCTTTCCATTTCCGCATGGACCTTGTCTTCATCCTCCCTTGTCAGCCAGTCGTTGAGAGTATTGTGGTAGGTACGGACGTACGCTCCATCGACAGTGAAGCTATTCTCCGCTTCGAGCCGCTGGAGCAGCAGCAAGAGCGCCCTCACGTATCTGTTTGAAGCGCGCCTGGTACGTAACCATGCTTTGACATTCATGTTGTCAGTCACATAAAGGATCAGTTGCCCCTGCCAGGTTTCCTTCCGCGCCGCTGCCAGGACAATGAACGTCAGAAGCTCCATCACTCCGATGATCTCCAAGTGATCTCCGCCCCCTACGACTTCGCTCACGGCCCTGACGTATCTGCTGCTGTCCGCCATGTGGTAGCATCTATCCTTCCAATCAGTGCTTCCGAGCCTGGTTAGCGTGGCATCTCCTCCAACGAATCGGGCCGAAGCGGCCATGCCAGGGAGTGCGAGCCTTTCCCTTAACGGCAGGAGCTTGCCGAAAGCTGCTCTGAAACTGGTTCCCCAAGGCTTTTCCATCTGGAGGCGAACCCAATCGAGCGCATCCCAGAACTCAGCCCAGGCAGCCTCTAGCTCACTCTCGGAGCCCCTGGGTTTCACCCATTCATGATCGCCTACTTCCTGCTGCAGGAGCCTGTAAAAGACTGGTAGATAGGGTGCAATCTCCGGAGCGGAGACGGCCCAATACTGCGCTGTCCCTGCCAGTTCTCGGAGCAGCTTGGTACGAACTCGTTGGCACCCCCTTTGAAGCTGAGGCTCTCTTAGGAGATACTTCGCCTTTATTCGCTTCGGTTCCGGGAGGACCACAACCTGTTCTTCAAAGTCTAGGTGGAGGCCCCACAGGAGCTGGGATTTTGCCGGGGTGCCTTCTTCGGCGAGCTTGTCGAGATTGATGGCTCCAGGGCCCCAGACTGATACCATAGCTGCATCCATTGCTGACAGGGATCTCTGGATCCTATTCCCCACTAGTGGCTCTACCACCACGCCGTCATCCATCAGCCATCGGCTGGTGTAGGGAACCACATCGTTGAATTGAGGATGGCATGGTCGGAACGACCCGTGGTGCTTTTGGGCTGCGGTGGCCCATATCACGAACTCCCCTGGCGCTCCTACCCAACCGAACACCATCACCAGACTCAGGATCAGCACACCTAGAATCCTCGTGCAGAATTCAGGGACATCGCCCGGCTTGAGGAAGTGCCACTTGAAAGCCCTTGGCACATCGCGTTTCGCACACCTCTGTGGAACCTTCGGGTGTCGCACCCTCCACCAAAGGCTTTGCCTGACCACTGCTCTGTGCCTAGGCTGAGCGGCGGGTGGGTGGTCGTATTTGGAGCCCGAAGCATTCCTGGCTCGCATATCGTTGATGGGACGACCTTCCGCTGAGATGGTTCTGTCGGGGTTTTGCTTGGGCACTCGGCCGAGAGGGCTCTCGGCCACCTTGCTCTCGGTCAGTATCTGGTCGATTTGCCGATTTTCTTCTTGGTCCTCGGTCTCTGTGGAACACAGAAGTACCGCCCCATAAGATGCGTCTTTCCATGCCTTCTGCAGCATCTCTTCCTCGTGCCCCCTGACGGAGCCGTGGTTTCGGGCCTTCTCTCTCTTGGGGGTACTCTTAGCTCGGCTGGGCACGCCCTTGAGCACACAGTCTTTCAAGTATTGCTCGTGTAGGGGGCTGAGCCCTTTCAATGCTCCTTCCTTTGCCTTCTGGAAGTGTTCCCCATACTTCCTCAGCCTCGCTTTGTTGACTAATTCAGCTGCTCTTGGCACCGAGCCGGCGGCCCTCAACAACGCATTTCCTGCCTCTGTGGCTTTTCTCACTGCCTCCTTGCTGTAAGCACTCTGGCATACCTCCAAGTATTTCTCAGCAGTGCTTTGGCCATTGGCGTCGTCGACGCTGCCTGCCCTTGTGCCCTGCCCCTCAGCTTGCTTTTCGGGATCGGAAACAGACCCCTCCCCCCCACAAAACGTACAAGGGTAGACCATCTGTTGGAGTTCGCATCCTGAACAGGTGTAGCCATGTGGGAGGCCTGGTCCATCCGCTTGGCCAGCAACCACCGGTGCCAAATGTTGGCCAAGGGTTCGCTCCAACGTATTGGCTGGATCAGCCGGCCAAGGGGGTGCGTCCAGTTCGGTCCAACATTTCTCTAGGGCTTTGAGCACGCTGTGCTCTTGCAGATATGTTGTCCAGCTCCATTCTTCAAAGGCTGCTCGGACTACCAGACCCCAGGCTGCACACAAAGCTGGTGCGTATTGCTGTGCCAGTCGAGTGAGAGGTACTTGAGGAATTGGACTGGGTCCCTTCAAGGGTGCGTGCTGGTGAGTCGGGCCGACTCCTGGGCACTGCCTACCAAGGAATAACAAGGCCCATGGGTAGAGTTCTGGGGAGACCAGCCACCAAGAATGCTTGCGATGAAACAGGCCCTCCTCAGTCTCAGGCGGTCCCAGACCCCAAGCGCACATAGCCATAGAGACAATTTTTGCGCCGGTGCGGCGGCGGAGCCTCTGCATACAAGGCAGGTCCCATATCTTGGGGTAGCGGCCCGACGGCGCGCTACTCTCCAATGCGAAGACTCTTCCGTTGTCCGCCAGAACCGTACAAAGTTCGGCTGCGAACTCTGCGTCTTCATTTCCTTGAACTTCAGAGGGACGAGTGCCGTCGCCTTGTGGGCGTTGCCAGGTCCTGCTGCCACCGTTCTTCAGCTGGTGGTCGCAGAAGGAAGTACAAACGACTCCAAGCTGCCAAGTGTTGGGGACATCGGGCCCTGGTGGAGCACCAGCTAATCCCAGCAATCGTTCTCGGACCTTCGGGTCACGGGTATCATGCTGCGGCTTAAAGCCCTTTTGCTCGATCGGGTCCTCATAGTATTCAATGGGTTCTCCGCACGGGATCCCCTGGTACTGAAGCCCCTTGGTCCATCCTGCCCATCCAGCGTACACCTCTTGACCAATTGGCCCATAGGCGAAGGCGAGCCTTTTTCGCAGAGGCACACCGCTGTTTTGAAGAGCCTGTGGATCATCCTGCAAGCAGGACTCAAATGAAGCCGGTGGCAACGGGAATCCTTCACCAACACGATAAGGCCTTTGCTGCTGTTGCTGGCATCTTGTGCAGGCGGGGGACTTGGCTGGAACCATCTGATCCTCCACTTTGCTCTGGTCCAAGATCACCCTCCAATGTTCAACCTGAAGTTCCCTGGTGACCTTGTCTGCAGTCCTCAGGTGATCCAACAGCTGCTGGGGCTGTTGTGGAAGAAGCAGGCGCATATGCCCCCGGTGGATGGTAACGAAAACTAGCTTCCCATTGCCAGCATCATCTCCGTGGAGCAAGTCGACCTCCAACCGACCAAAATAGGAAATCCTGAGGACCGCCAACGTGTATCCTTGCAGCATGGATCCTGTGAGGGTTTGCAAGGCGCGGTAGTCTTTCTCGTGGTGAGGATAGAGGCAATCATGGACGTTTTGACGCAAGAAGTGCTCGCCCTCAGGTATCCACGCTGGCGGATCGCCAAGGTGTGCGTGAGCCTCCACTGCTTCATCCCAGAGATGTTTTCTCAACTGGTTGGCTCTGGCTACGGCCTCTCGTAGTTCTACAGATGGATCATCGGCCAACGCTAACCCGACACCCACATGAAGAGGCAGGCATTGGCGCTCTTCTTCCAACTGCCCGTCTTGCAGTGGGACCTCGCTGTCTTTTGCGTTCAAGCGATCCTGGTAGTCACGGACCGTGACTGAGCCGATATGCGACAAGTTTCCTTGAAAGTTCAACAGGCCATGACCAATACCCTCGTCCCATGTGATGGGCGTAAATTCGACATCCGCTTGGTGACCCGCTTTTGGCTCGTGCTTGAGGAGCTCAAGTTGACGTCCGGCTTCCTTAGAGAGCGCGGGATGTCCATGTTCTGCCGCATCTTCGAGACACCGGTTCAGCTCCAGTTCATATCCTTCATCTTGTGCTGCCATCATGCGTGCAATCACATGGGACCTGAGATAATCCGTGGGCGACTCCAAGGCCGCCAGAACCCCTTTCTCCTCCAGCGACTTCCATCGTTTCAGCCTTTCCCGCTCCTCTTGGCTCTGGTCATCCCAAGCCGGAGCGGCTTCTTGCTCAGTGGGTTGTGAGGGTATTCGCAGCCAGCCCTCATCTGGGCCCTGAACCGCCTCTTGCAAGTCAGTCTCGAGATGGGTCAGAGGGATATCATAGTCTTCAGGTGCGACCCACTGGGTGTTCCCAACCTTGTCTTCTTCAGCTTTACCCTCAGCTTCCTTCCCAGCTTTGGCCTTTGGCTTGGGCTTGACTTTCGCTTTCTTGCTAGGTTGGATCTTGTCGGCCTTATCCGCCGCTGCCTGGGTTCGCAGCTGAGCGACCCTTCCGTCGACCTCTTTGGGATCGATTTTCGGCCCACCTTTGAGTCCTCCTCTTCGAATGACCTGCATGGCAACTGTGTAGTCAAGTTTGGCCAATCCCGGCAAAGGCTCGTGCGCGTGCTGGCACTTGTCGCCTCTTGTGCATCCCATGTGTGTGGCCGCATCCCAGCAGATAGGTTTGTTGGTCTTGGGATCCTTAGGTGCGTGCTCCACGGACCGTGAAGCTTCTCCTTGTGTAAGCCGTTTTCCAGCTGGGTAGGCTGATTTCATGCTGCCGCCCGCATATCCATCGGCCTCTTTGTCTTTCAGGTTAAGCTTTGGGGCTTTCCCTGTCCTTGGCTCTTCATCTTCAGCTGGACCAGCTGTCTTCTTCTGCTTGAGGTTGTGGTCGTGCAGCTGCTTGTGGAGCAGCCTCGACATTTGCCTTTGCTGCCTGGGTACCACAACTGTCTGGTAATATCCGTTCGGGTCGCCCAGATCCCATATGCTTGGAAACTGGAAGTTTGCTTGCCCATCCGCTCCCGGCGCCAAAGCTAGCAGCTTCAGGTCTTCAAGCCGTGGATTTTCGGTCCCCAGCAGAGAGCAGAGTTTCCTTCTGCTTTCTCGCAGTTCTTCGCACCAAGCCGCGACAAGTTCCTCAAAGAGCTCGATGCAGTAGGCAGCTGGGAAGGCATGCTCGTCTTCTTCATGGGCCTCCTTCAGGGCTTGGAGACAATCGAGCCTTTCTTGGATATGCTCTGTACCATAGCAGGATCCAAACACGCGAACTGAGTTTTCCGCGTACCTGAGCCAAGTGTTGAAGACTCCTGGTGGTCTCATGCGATTTTCGATCTTGTTGTCGGAGGACGGATTCCAACTGTCCAACTGCTCGGACCGAGCGGTAACGCAGTCACTTGCGTGCAAGGTATAGGTGTCTTTGCCACCCCACCACAGACCAGCGATGCCAAGTAGGACCCTGTTGGTCATCAGCACCGGCCATTTGATCAAGTGCAGCATATGGCGAGCGTGATTTGCCACCCTTTTCCCCGCGTGGAAAAGTTCCTTCCCGTACACTCCCGGTGCGAGTTCAACGGTCAGGGTGCCACAGCCTCGTGCCAGGAAGACGTCCATCTTCTCCGCCTCTTTGATAGAACTCAAGGTCCCTTTCGTGAGGTTTTTGTCGTCATCCTGTGCTCTTCTCAGACCGTCGATGGCGTGAATGATGCGGTCCGCGCTCTGGACTTGTGTGCTGTCTCCGAGGGCTTCTCCGAACGTGGCTCCTGCTCTGCCCTCCGGCATCTGCTCCGATGCTGGTTTCACGAGACTGTTTCGACCGCCTGACCCCTTGGGAAAGAGCGACAATCCACCTCTCTGGACCGGGGAGATTGAGGAGGAGCTCCTCGGCAGAAGTGGATTCGCCGGCCGGGGGACTGCTGGCTTTACGGTCACTCCTCCTGGCATAGTTGCCGTCACGGGTCTTCTTGCAAACTCCATTTCGCTTTGGTCGGCTCCCAATCCTGGTGGTGTCGTTGGCTTCGAGTAGCTAAGGCGGTGATTCCTCGCATACATCGACTGAGCCAGTTGCTCATGATCTAGGTCGAAGGCAGTGGCCACGGTCTGCAACACTTCGGAATCTATCTCTCCCTCAATGTGCTGGTCAAGAGCTCTTCGAGCCGCCTCCATTCTTCCCTGGCGATCTGAATCATCTAGGTCTGGGAAGGGTGGAATCGCCGGTCCCGCACCCTCTTCCAGCTCGACTTTCGGCTTTGGCGGTGTCATAAAGTCGTCGGACATCTCAGCTTCTTCACGCAAATATGCATCAGCATGTGGGAGGATCTCCCGGTAGAGTCTCCCCTGCCAGGCTTTACTTGGCTTCGCTCCTTCATCCGTCACCTCACCGTCCCAGGCATTCAGGGCCGCTGCTTGGTCTTCGGACAGGCGCGCGACCAAGACCGATATCCCTTGGCCGACTTCTTCGTCATGGGTATGCTGAAGGAACTTCTGCACCCAATGCTTACTAATTCGACCCGCCCCGTTGTCTCGAGGGGACCCTTTCAACAGCCTTCTGTGGATCACACACGTTTGCTTCAAGGAAGGGATGTGGACTTCGAGCAGCTCCTGGCTGCGCCCTTCTTCGGCGAACCCCTCGATGCGCCCCAACCATGCAGTCCACCTGGGTGGGGCCTCCGCGGTTTGTAATGACTTTGGTCTGAGGAGCACCATGCACGGGCCCTTCTCAAGCTTGCCTTCAATCTTCTTCTGGGATTCACTAGGATCGGCCGAAGCAGCCCTGGGCCCAAGTCGTTCAGCGCCGTCAAAGATGATCCGGCGGCTTCTTCGTGCAGGGGTGAGGCATTCTCCTTCGGACATAGATGCCTCGGATCGTGCAATGGAGCTATCTCTCTCATGTGTCCAGCTAACCCTGCGGGTAGGGCGAGCACAACCACCAAGGTCCGTCAGGTGGTGCTTGCAGAGGGGAACTCCCTGTTTGGCACCATCAACCTGTTCGTAGCAAGCCAACACGCTGCATTTTCGGCTTGAACATGCCGCCACGTAGAGCTGCCGATGATGGTCGCAAAGCCTGACGGAGGATCTCCTTTTGACGTCAGAGAGTTCTCTGTCCCTCTCCAGGAGCCGGACCGGCTCTCCGATAGCCCGATCTGCACATGGGTCTGTGGCCAATGCTCTCGGTTTGCCTCCATGTTCCAAACCGACTAATACGGCCTCACAAGGGTCATCTTGTACCTCTACTTCAGATTCAGATTCCGCATCCAAGGGTCTGACGACGGCTCCTTCGACTATGGTTCTGGGTGGCGTCCGCTTTGCCCAGAGTTGTCTGAGAATGAACCATCCCGTCAGATAGTACACGCAGAGACTAAGCCCCCGCACCATTCTACGTAGCCATCGACCCATCAAGACGATCACCCTGCGGGTGGACCACCCTGCATAAGCTCCCAAATCCACCAGCCCATTGGCATCCACCGAAGCGTAAGCTTTGCAATGTAGACCGGGTGTTGGTTGCAATTCAAGCGGACACCGCTGCTCGCGACAGAGATGGATTTTCCCCTCCTGTTCCAACGTTTGGCGAAGCGCTTTCGACGTGGAACCCTTCACTCCACGGAGACGAACCCATAACCCGTATCGATCCACACGTGCCCAATGATCCCCGTCTACCTTCAAGCGAGCTATTTGGTCATTCACCACAACAGCTACGTCATTGGGTTTTCTTTCTGAACCTCGACCCTTGACGCCTCGTTGGTAGAATTCGGAATCGACGCCCCCGCTAGAGGCGGGTCCACGGATATCCAGCTTTTCGTATGTGCCCCCAGGTCTAAGTTCGGGGAGGAGCTCCCCCACCTCTTTGGCTACTGCTCTGGTCTGTCTGCAGCAACATTTGCAGAAAGCTTGACAGGGCCGGCAGATAACCAATAGCAAGTAGAGAATCAAAATTGCTCCCAAAACCACGATGGCACTTAACAAACATCTGGCAACCCATGGCCAAAAATCTCCGCATGTCCACACCCCCAGCTGATCCAAGAAGTACAATCCCCACCCTCCTGAGGAGCTCAGGGTTCCAGGTGCTGTTGGTGTGCTGAACCATGAGGAGCCTATCCATGAACGGAAATCAAAGTGGAGGACAGAGTATCCCCACACATGGGCTATTCCTTCAAACGGGATTCCAGATTGAGAACTTTCCTTCGTGGGATCGGACTGACCTTCTGATACTTCGGGTTGATCTTTCCCATTGGTGACTTCTTCCTCCCTAGATCCAGTCATCCCATGAAAGACATCCAGGTACCATGGCAGGCCATACACAGAAGGGGAACCTACACTGGAAACTAGCCCTAATATGAGCGCCCAATTGCAAATGGGCATTATGACGATTTCGTCAGTATCCAACAATCAAAATGGGCAAAGACTTGAGCCCAAAATGACAGTAGCAAAACACGCTAACCCTCCGTTCTAGTGAACATCCAATTAATATATGCATGGGGACAACCTTGGGATTCTGGGAGTTTTCCGGTTTCTTAGCCAGGGACCCTCAGATTGATCAGATTCGTCCCCAACTTTGGACCATAGCCACATTTGGGACCAGTCATGTAAAAGGGTGCGTAAAAGGAGCGTTCAAACATAAGAAGTTGAAGATCTATAAACTGAGAGCATAGTGTTTGCTAGAAACTGATAGAAACATATTGAAATGATAAAGATGTTGGTTGGGATTGAAGATATACATGGCGATAGAGGTTGATCTAGAATTACTTGATAGGAACAATGCATTCTTCACTTTGTACCTGTGCTCATCCCCTACCGACCATTGGGCTCTTCCTGGTGCCTCCTCGCTGCCTGAAGCCTGCGGCGACGCTTTTCGTATGCTGACGGTCATCCAGTCTTCGGATGGCATAGCAAACTCCTGCACGGCTCGATGGGGGAATTCCCAATGACTTTCGGAAACGGCGAGAGATGTCATCCTGTGGGAATTACTTGGTGGTTCCTTTCTGCTAATGGAACTTGCATGTAACTTGCAGCTGGGTTACAAGTTGGGTGTAACAGCCTTGTAAATGTCGTAAGTTTTGTAAGTTCGGGAGCTGAATTTGGATGAGTTATATGTATGTTATTGGACGTGAAGAAGTTGCTAAGTTCTGCTATAAGTGTTTTTACATTGATGTTAAAAAATAGCCGAAAAAGAACTTACAAGTAACTTAGGGAAGTTAACTTTTTCAATGTTAAAAAATCATACTTGTTTTTCTATTCTCTTCTTTAATGGCTTGGCGTGGAGAGATGTTATATGCTGCTACTAGAATGCGATTTTTTTTGGAACTCGCAAAACATTGCGAATTTGGTTTTTCGTTTCGAGGATGCTGCCCCTGACACCCAGCAGACCGACCAAACCATGGACCAAACCATGGACAAGAAAACCGAGAAAAAGAAGAACAAGAAACAGAAGTGAGATGTTGACTTGGACTACATCAAACGGTGAAGTCAGTTTTGATGTCGTTGTCGATGCTGGGAAAATGCAGCAATGTTTGCGTGATAGATGTCGACTTAACAAATGTTTCAAGCCAAGTTCAAATCACAAGCCCAACATTTCACAATCACAAGTTCAAACATACCTTCAAACAATGACAAAGCTGTGAATGTAAATCAACTCGTTTCACATGTACCTGATTATCACAACAAGTCCTCACTAAATGCATCTATAAACGATATAAAAAACCAAATGTATAAGAATGTATAAGAATGTATAAGAATGTATAAGAATGTATAAGAATGTATAAGAATGTATAAGAATGTATAAGAATGTATAACTAAAACGGGGTTCGAGTTATACATGTATAACTCAAACAGAAATGAAGTTATACATGTATAACTCGAACAGCAAAATGAAGTTATACATGTATAACTCAAACAGAAACGAAGTTATACATGTATAACTCGAACAGCAAAATGTATAAACATGTATAAACATGTATAACTGTGTGTAACATTTTTCACCTTTTATGAATATTTTGTTCTGTTGATCTTTCGAATCATACTGCACTATGCAGAGCGAAAAGCTTTCCAAATCTGTCAAAATTAAATTTGTTATTGCATATCCGCTGCATCACAACACTATCATTGCAAAGCCACTTCACTTTATACTTTTTCAAAGTTGAATCTTCAGACTCAAAAATCTTAGATTCGAAGGCGGCTCATTGAGCAGTCCAGCTAACTGTCAATGGTACCGTAATTATTTAAAGTTCAGTTCACTGAGGTCTGGTTTCAATGAAATGTTCAATGATTAGTTTCAAGCCCTTGGGATTAGTTTCAAGGCGGCCCAATGAGCAGCCACTTCCCATCTATAGAGAAGTACCAGCTATAACAAAACATTCTAGAGAAAAGCCTCAAAACCAAGCAAATTGATCTCTCTTCACGCCAGCCTTTGTGGTAAAAAAATAAAATAAGCTTTTTCTTATAGCTTTTCTAGCTTCAAAACAACTTAAAGAAGTTATAAGTTCAGTAAGTTAAACTTAAGGAATTTAAGGGCTAATATTAGACTACAATTAAACCATAACTTTACTAACTTCACTTGCAACTTCTCGAACCAGGACAAGTGTCGCAACTAAGGAATAGTGCTGCCATGTGGTGCCACTTTGGGATAGTTCATCCCTGCTAACCATCAGTGACATCCAGTGACGTCCCGGTGAGCTAGATCCAGATTATTCCCATCTCGTTATATCTCGTTCATATCCCCAATAAACCACCATTTTTAGAGCATCTGGCATCCAGATCAATATTTGAACCATCCCTGACCTCCACTTCAGGTACTTCAGCAACTTCACCAAGTACTGCTGCGAGCGCATGAGAGCTTGGAGGAAAATTTGCCCTCTCCAAGGACTTCAGAAGATCCAATGCCTGAAATCTTGCCAGAAAATAACCCGTTTTTGGTGCATGACCCAATGGCGTTGACTGAAAATATGGAACAACCCCGGGGACCCCAATATCTGATGGTTTCACAATGTTTAGACCTCATTGTCTCCGTTGTTTCACGTCAATAAATTGGGAATTTGTAAACTGTGGCATACATGACCCAATATTTCGAAGTGGACATGGTCTGCCCAACATGTTCCCAGTTTTTTTTCTCCCTATTTTGGTGGATTACCTTTCATATCCCTTCATTTCATACTCACTCCTTCTTATTTCACTAGATATTTAGACCATGGAAGGTCTTGAAAACTCATTTAAGATAACTGAGTAATTTAAGATAACTGGTAAAACAATGGGATATTGACATTTGACATGACTCTACAAACATCCCAAACTTGTTTACATCATGATAATCTGTGAGGTCATAGTGAGGATGCTATTTCATTTACACCATTATGAATGGAAAAAAACTGGACTCTATCATGTACTGAGGATACTATCATTTACCGATATTTCCACCATAATCAATGGGAAAACAAGGTAAATCCAGGATACCCATGGCCACATGCTACATCGACAACACGACAACACGGTCGCGCTGGCACTCAGGGCGTCGGGTCCAAAATGGGCTGCACGCAGGGCGAAGAGGGACAAGGACGCTGTCCAAGCGCTACCTGGATAAAATCATATATCCAGGGATTGTTTTATATATGGTTCAATGAACATAACTTTGATAAAAATTGTGTACAGATTATGTCAAGATGAAGGATTGATTTAAGCATAGATTTGCAACATCTGAACATCTATAACTATTCATGTCCAAGTCCCAGAACCCAAAACGTCGAAACGAAACACTTTTGCAAAAGGGCAATTTTCCAATTTCAAAAAACTCAGCCAATCTCAGACACTTTTCTCACTCGAACTCACCAAGGTGTTGTAGAGCAGAGCATCCGGCACCAACTGCTGCTGGTCATTCTGCTCCAACGCATCCAGGCACCGCCGCCAATGACCAGCGGATTCCAAGGTCTTCTGAAAGGAACAGCAGCTGATGGCATCGACTTCAACATTCGAGACTTGAAGGATCTTCAAGAAGTCCTGAGAAATGGGGATTTACAATGATTTACCACGAAAATTTTGGAATTAATATGGATTTACAGTAACATGAGTTCACTAAAACAGATTATGAAGTTTTGATGAATGATGGATCTAAGTTAACATGGTTTAAGCAGGAAAGATGATGATTGAAGAGGTAATCCCATCCAAAAAATGGGCCACCAAAAATGAACATATCCAGTACTAAACTATAGATACTAAACTGCGTAAGGTTTCTAGGGTATGTTTTGTTGGGGGGAAGGGATTAATGATTCATGTACTTTTTGAATCATGGATTGGTTGGTTGGATTCTAGTAGTCCTTAGAATCTTTATCCATGGATAATTGTAGAACCTGCTTCGAACATTTCAGAATGAAGGGACTGCACTTGGCTAGGGTACTGCTGTTGATTCACTGAATTGCAGGGGTTGATCGATTCAGCTAAAATCTACATCTATAGCGAAGTTGGCTCTCAATGTTGGAAACCTTAGCACGTCAGCATGTTCCAAATGTAGAGTCCCTTCAAATCTATATTGGAACGAAACCTCCATAAAGGGAGCAGCTGAGTTCATCCCGAGCCTAGTTCATTGTTTCATTTTTGAGAATGTAGAGTTCCGAACTCAACTGAACTGAAAACCAGGACAAGGGCTCAAAGGAATGTTTCTTCCAGGTTTGTTGCGAAGTTCGGGGCACCAAGGACGTCCACCAGTCTCTGATGATTCATATTTACAAGGGCAGGCTCGCTACAAAATACAAGGTGGAATCAGGATCGAATGAGAGTTCTGACCCCTCCCTGCGATCACTCTAAAATGGGAGATCTACTGAAGCCCTGAAAAATTGAGATGCTAAACTGCTAAACCGTCAAAAAGATCTTATTTTCCAGAGGAAATTCTCACTGGGATATTCCAAGGAGTGCCACTCGACACCGTCCCAACACCACACTTCGGACACCAATACAAGCACTGTGTTTCCTCTCTGTGTCAATTTGCGCTACTTAAAGACAACTCACGACAAGAGAGTTCCAGCAGACCTGCTGGCAGAGTCGCACCATCCAAGCTTTGGTTGAACGAGTGCCCAAAAGTCAAGGTCTGCAGACCTGCTGGCAGAGCCACACCATCCAAGCTTTGGTTGAAGAAGTGCCCAAAAGTCAAGGTCTGCAGCCCTGCTGGCAGAGACACGCCATCCAACCTTTGGTTGAAGTCCGAGCCCAAAGTCAAGGTCTGCAGACCTTCTGGCAGAGTCGCACCATCCAAGCTTTGGTCGAATGAGTTCCCAAAGGTCAAGGTCTGCAGCCCTGCTGGCAGAGACACCCCAACCAAGCTTTGGTTGAACTTCTGCCCAAAAGTCAAGGTCTGCAGACCTGCTGGCAGACACACGCCATCCAAGCTTTGGTCGAAGTCTGAGCCCAAAGTCAAGGTCTGCAGACCTGCTGGCAGAGTCGCACCATCCAAGCTTTGGTTGAAGTCAGAGCCCAAAGTCAAGGTCTGCAGACCTTCTGGCAGAGTCGCACCATCCAAGCTTCGCTTGAAGCGATTGCCAAAAGTCAAGGTCTGCAGACCTTCTGGCAGAGACACCCCAACCAAGCTTTGGTTGAACATGTCCCCAAAAGTCAAGGTCTGCAGACCTGCTGGCAGACACACGCCATTCAAGCTTGGCAGACACACGCCATTCAAGCTTTGCTTGAACCATCCTCCCAAAGTGAAGGTCTGAGCCACACCATCCATGCTTTGGTTGAAGTCAGAGCCCAAAGTCAAGGTCTGCAGACCTGCTGGCAGAGTCGCACCATCCAAGCTTCGCTTGAAGCGATTGCCAAAAGTCAAGGTCTGCAGCCCTTCTGGCAGAGACACCCCAACCAAGCTTTGGTCGAAGCAGTCCCCAAAAGTCAAGGTCTGCAGACTTGCTGGCAGAGACACGCCATCCAAGCTTTGGTTGAACAAGAGCCCAAGAGTCAAAGTCTGCAGCCCTGCTGGCAGAGACACGCCATCCAAGCTTTGGTTGAAGCGTCGGCCAAGAGTCAAGGCCTGCAGACCTGCTGGCAGAGACACGCCATCCAAGCTTTTGTTGAAGTCAGAGCCCAAAGTCATGGTCTGCAGACCTGCTGGCAGAGCCACACCATCCAAGCTTTGGCTGAAGTCAGAGCCCAAAGTCAAGGTCTGCAGACCTGCTGGCAGAGTCGCACCATCCAAGCTTTGGTTGAAGTCAGAGCCCAAAGTCAAGGTCTGCAGACCTGCTGGCAGAGTCGCACCATCCAAGCTTCGCTTGAAGCGATTGCCAAAAGTCAAGGTCTGCAGACCTTCTGGCAGAGACACCCCAACCAAGCTTCTGTTGAACCAGTCCCCAAAAGTCAAGGTCTGCAGACCAGCTGGCAAAGCCACACCATCCAAGCTTTGGTTGAACAAGTGCCCAAAAGTCAAAGTATGCAGCCCTGCTGGCAGAGACACGCCATCCAAGCTTTGGTTGAAGCATCGGCCGAAAGTCAAGGTCTGCAGACCTGCTGGCAAAGCCACACCATCCAAGCCTTGGTTGAAGAAGTGCCCAAAAGTCAAAGTCTGCAGCCCTGCTGGCAGAGACACGCCATCCAAGCTTTGGTTGAAGCTTCGGCTCAAAGTCAAGGTCTGCAGACCTGCTGGCCAAGCCACACCATGCAGGGTTGCATTGAATGCGTAGCCAAAGATCACTGTCTTGATTTCTTTTGGAAAGGTGACCTGTGCAAGGCTTTCGTCGCAATTCTCACTTAATTTCAGGTGTTGAAGGCTGCTGGGTAGTTGTAAAAGCTGCCTTGCCGACTCAACTCCTCCAATTCGTGTCAGGCCATGCAAGGAAAACTCCTGATCCTCCACCTGTTCTCCTTGCAGATACTTCCAGGCTGCCAAAATATCCACAGGAACATAGACATAGGACAAGGTGACGCATTCTCCAAGCCCTTGCTGCCTGAGGGTCTGGTCCAAGCTTAGTGGCGACGATCTGTGCTGCACCGAGATGCGTGACCCGGCCTTGGACGGCAGCTCTGCACTGATCATCTGTCGGAGCTGCCGGCCAGTCATGGAAAGAGACACCTCAGGACAGGGAAGACATCTTGGTGGAATGTCTTCAAAATGGTTTGGTCCAAAAATAGCGTATAATTACCTCCAAATGGCCGTTTTGATGGTGAAAATGATGATAAACAATTGATGCACCGTGAAAATTGAAGGTAAGAAAAAGGGTCTATTTTCAAGCAAACGCACTTCTTGAAACCCATGGAGTTTTGTTTCTTGGGCCAGCCCATCCCAGAAATATTCAGCGAAAAACCCGACTTTGCCAAAGAGTCGTTTTTATTCATCCACCAACTCTTTCTCAACAGGATGGAATAACTCTTGCATCCGAATGCTACTTTTGCATTGAGAGAAGGCTCAAGAATTGGAACGTAACACACGTAGCACACGTGGAAGCACAACATTCAGAGCTGAAGCGTGTTCTATATTTGCAGAGGTCAACCACTGGTTGAAACTCCCTACCAGCCCACAATGCCGGAAGAAAGCATTGAATTGTGGCGATTTCAAGACGACTTTCTATGGCCTGCTTCTTGCTGATTCCCCTTTTCAATCATTTCTGATCAATTTTTGAACCATGTTGGGCCTGTGATATATTCCAAAATACCCAGCACTGCCTTTTGATGATTGTCTCACCAGCCATCTAGGTGTTGCTTGGCTGGTGGTGCATGCCCCCGATTCAGGAAGTCATCCGGTATGGGTAAATGCCTCAATTTCCAGTCAGATGTCCTATCAAACGGATGTCTTGGTTGGATGGTTGGTTGGTTGGTTGGTATTTTAAATGGTAAATGAATGCCTCTATTTCCACACATAAGTATTGGTTGGTGATCTCCTGAAATTATGATTTGATAGTTTCTAAGAAACGCACACTACTTGACTACTTCCAGAGATCATTGAATCATTGAACAAAAAAAGCGCACATGTATCCTGCCAAGCTGCATCGAATTTCCGCCTCTTCCCCTGCAAGCTCACCAGCTCCACGCTGATGCCATCAGACTCACCGACCATGGCCACGGGCACTGCGGAATGGGAGGATTCACTGCGGATCGCTACGTTGGAGCAATCCTGTTGTGTCATGTTGTGTTTTGTATTTTTGTTTGATATTTATTTTGGAAAAAGCAAAACAAAGAGAAGGACATGAACATCAAACTTGAGTAGTGATGCACTTTTCTACTCTCTTAGGAATTCTTGGGATCTATTGGCAAGATCATTGAGACGTTGCTGCTCCTTACTATTCCTTACCACCCATGTGCTTGAAGCAACATCAAGTCTTGATCCGAGAACTGTAAACCGAACACATGCCATTTGCAGTTTTTTCCATGGGAAACGGTACCTAATCTCCATTAGAACTCCCTATGAACTAAGTGGAAAAGGATCTGAACTAAATAAATGAATATATATATATATATATATTTATTTATTTATTTATCATATCACTATATCCATGATGAGAAAAGTCGTACCTAAATTGGAGGTACTCAACTGTGAGTTGTGGCCTACGTATGTCACTGAATACCGTGATACCCCCCCATGAAAAGTATGGATTGAAACATTGCAAGGTGCCTCCAATTTAGGTACCTGAATAGGCACCAAAGCTCTCGGTTTCAAGTTGAATTTATAGCTGCACTGTTTTCGCTACCAAGTATGAATCGTCTTGTTCACTCGGAACATGGACGACAACTTCGAAACACAAGGCTTAAACATATCGAATTATAGAACGCATGTCTCTTGGTGGTTACCTTGATCCTTTTTTGCATGGTGTCTTCCAATTTCTTCTGTGCTTTTTGTCTCTGTTGTGTTGGTCCACCAGTTGTTGGTTCTATTCCCGCTTCCAACCTTATATTCACTGGTTCGGTTCAAGGAACCAAAACATGGACATTTCTGGTGGTGAATCCTGTCGTGTTGTGGCTGAATCCCAATTTGTCATCATGTTGAATCCCTCCTGGGTTTATAGCTAGAGTAATCCCCATTTATCGATGAAGTCCCCCACCGTCGTGTTGGCCCAGCATCCGCCGCTGTCAACCACTGCAGGGATTGCATCACAGCACTGAATCCAGGGAGAGATCTGCCTGCAAGACAAGCGCAACAGGTATTTTTTACTAAATCCCATTGGTTGATGTATGTCATCCATGATAATGACAATAATGTGTGTATTTATCTGGCTCGTTGAGGGTTGAGCAATTTTTCACTCAATCATGATCATGTGTCTCTACATCACCTATATATATATATTCTTTATACAGATTTATATATTTTCTTTATGGATGTTAATGGGGCTATTTGAGGGTTGATCATATTCGTCAGCGGGCATGATGGGAAGGAAAAACATGACACCATCACGATCAAACGTTTTTTCGCATACGTTTTCACTTTTGAATGAATTCTACATAAGCACTGTAAGTTGACATCTTGTATACCGGAATCCATAGCAGGAGCTATGAAAGTCAGTCATCTGTGATCGTCAAAACACATTGTCAAGCTTCGGACACGCATCAAAAATGGTGAGACCCTTGGTCCTAAGTTGTCCTAGTTCATTCATCCAACTGCGGAATGCTTCCCGAAAATCCCGCCGAAAAGTTCGAGCTCTTCCAAAGCTATCACCTCCCTGCTCAAAATTGCGGCGAAGGATTGATGATGGTATGTGAAAAGTGAAAATCACATTTTTGGTGGTTGAATTATCACTTTCGATGCTTGAATCTATCTGCAAACTTTTTGGTGCAATCCCCACGTTGGTTGCATTTTCTTTGACTGCAACTTTGTTGTTTCGTTATCCCCTCGCACCACATATCTTCGAAATCTTCCCTTATGTTGGTTGTTCAAATCTCCATGTTGGTTGGTCAATTCAACGCCGTTCTCGCTTGATGGTGGCATCATAACATATGCATTTCGATTGATAATAACGATCATGTCATCATTTGTTGCTTAAATCCTCAAATATCCCCCTTGTTGGGTCAAACCCAAATTCCGGTAATTCCCAATGTCAAACATGTTCGGTTAGTTGGTTCAACCCAAATTATCATTCCAGTGATTTAGCCTTGTGGTTGTTATTTAAAATCTACCCATATATAACTATATTATATAGTAATATTCGCAATGTATCTCATAATATCCCCGAATAGTACCACCATCTTTGGATGGTGAAAAAATCGAAAAAACTGAAGGTTTTTGTGCTGGGCACACTGGAGCAGCCACCTCACCAAAGCTATAGCAGCTCTGAACCCTGAACAATCATTCACTGTCACAACTATATATCTTTCAAGGAACCCATCTTTGATGGTAAAATCCCTTCTTTTGATGGTCAAACTACCACGAATTCACTATGAACCACCAAAGATTCTATATACCCACCAAAAATTACCCAACCATTCCCCAATGAAGATCTTCCATGTGAATTTCCCCGGTCGTAGTGGACTTCCATTGGGACAATCAGCCGTTGATCGACCCAGCACCTCCGCCTCGAAGCCGTTCAGTCTGCAGGACAGCCAGGCCTTTGGGCCAGGCCCATTCGCCAGCGCAGGCGTTGGATAAAATGTTGGACATCACTGCGTCCTCGGGGCGATGAGGGAGGTATTTTTTCTATTGATAACATGAGGTAAATCAGACTTTGATTGGTTTTATCTTTTAAGTTCACACATCAAACATCATCAAACTCCAACACAACCTCCGCACCATTTGGATCCATTTGGGATCTCTAGCCAGGAGCCTTAGTCTGCCTCAAATCATAGATCAAATTGCAGGACTTCCTTGGTCCTCTGTGAGATTTGCCTGGCGGCCAGGCGCAACCTGTGGCATACATGGACCTTGTGCAGCCGCTGTCCTGCTCCGCAATTTCCATGTTCCAGGCGTAGGCGGCTGTCTTCTTGTTGCACAGGTTGATGTCCCGGATGTCCAGGAAAGAAATCCGCCCGCAAAAGATCTTGCATCTTGCCCAAGACCCAAGTGGAACTTCTCAAGAATCCAAAGTCGCGCTTGGTCAGCTTCAAGGTCGTGGTGCTTCTGATTTCGACCAGCTTCCTTCACTCGCCAGGTCATGGAGGCTCCACTTCAGCTGTGGCTTGGATGCCCAAGCGCTTCAACTCCTCCTTCATCTTCAAAGCAAAGTTCCGCCATTCGTCAAAGGACACTGAAGTACCACCTCAGGGGGCAAGATGGCGCCACTGTATCCATCATCTTATACTGCTTGGTGAATCAGGTATTCCTATTGTTGGCTAATCACAATCGCCAATAAACAGCTTACCCTTCTAGCATAATCAACGCCAGGGTATTCTGCAATTGAATGATATTCAATCTCCCCCTTGGAACTTCGGAGATGGCTCAAAGGTGTCATGGTCAAGCTACATATCCCTAAACTACACTAGTCCTTTTCAAACCATTCCGAGGAACGGATCATAAATCATAGTTGAAATCACTCATCAGTTCATTGATTGGTCAATTTTGACACTGAAACCCAACTTTGCTGGGCAAATAAATTTTGTTTGGTGGTTCCAACCCCATTATGGCGTAAACTGGTTCAACCCTCATTTCTTGCCCCCTTCCAACAAGTTGATGTCGCCATCTGGACCTGGTTTACTGGCCAAATCTCTCATAGCTTCAGCCAAGTGATGCAGTTCCATAATCTTCTCAGGCACCTGTGGGGCGAACGTGCTTGGGATTCTGGGAGTTTTCCGATTTTTTAGCCAGGGACCCTCGGATTGATCAGATTCGTCCCGAACTTTGGATCATACCCACATTTGGGACCAGTCATGTAAAAGGGTGCGTGAAAGGAGCGTTCAAACAGAAGAAGTTGAAGATCCATATATATACTGAGAGCATAGTGTTTGATAGAAACTGATACGAACAATATACACATGATAAAGATGTTGGTTGGGATTGAAGATATACATGGCGATAGAGGTTGATCTAGAATTACATAAATAAGAGTTGATAGGAACAAAATGCATTCTTCAGTTTGTACGTATATTCACCCACATGGCCCATTGAACTCTTCCTGGTGCCTCCTCGCTGCCTGAAGCCTGCGGCGATGCTTTTCGTATGCTGACGGTCATCCAGTCTTCGGATGGCATAGCGAACTCCTGCACGGCTCGATGGGGGAATTCCCAATGACTTTCAGAAACGGCGAGAGATGTGGGAATTATGATCTTCAAAATCAACTGGAAAATTCCAAAACACCAATCTTTCTCACACTTAACTTGAAGAACTTGATTTCCGATGACTTCAATATTTCCGAAAGCGATTTGGTCACTTGCCCATGCGCCTGCAAGCTTAGAATTTGCAGATGATAGGAGTGGTCTTGGCGCCTGAACCGAACAGTGGATGCTTCCTGACGGGACCCCCCAAGATGTCCTGGTATTCCACTCTTCCAAGCGTAGAATACCAACATTCTCTCATGATGTGCAAACATGTGCAAACTATATGTGTATGTTTATTATTGTTTATTGGTTATCCCCATGCTTTACGTCTACTATAGTGTGTAGTACAGTCAAATCCAATCGATGTGAAATGCCTAAATTTGGACCCCATCCCCATTGTTGTCGTTCAGAAACCTCACATTTTGGTCGAGACATCCCAAGGTGGTGAAATTCACCTGGAGGGTGAACTCTTTCTCATCCAGTCGGGCCCATTTCTGTTCCAACAGCCGAAGTGAACTCTCCAAAATGGCTTTCTCCGAAAATTGCCTATTCCATGGTATCCCATTCCATCATATTCCATCCACTTTTATGAATCAAATATTATTAGTTGTTAATCCATATTAATCCATAAGAATCCATATGATTCCTCATTTGATCACTAAAACAACCATAATTCTTCAAGGTCAATCCCTTCAACACAGCGCCGGCGGCGGCCTCTGCCCCGTGAGTTTCCACAGAAACCGCGGCGCGCCCGGCTTCAGCACGTTGTCCGCGATGATTGCAGCGCCCGGGGCCAACAGCTGACGACGCTCCAGGACACTCAGGTCCTTGTTTGGGCGTCAGATGCCAGGCAAAACGGGATGGAGTTGACCAAACTCAGCAATTTATGGTGAATTTGTGCAAAATGATGGGAAATTAGGTGAATTTATGTGAATTTAATGGGAAATTAAGTGGGCTTAAGTGAATTCGTGCCAGTTTATAGCATGAATTTAAACCAAAACATGTTAACACTACATTGGATAATCATAATATTGGGTTTGAGTCTTGGCCCACAAAAACCGGGGATATGATGATCCACAAAAACTAAGTATTTGACCACCAGAAAAAGATGGGAAGCACCAACGGAGGATGGCTTCACGGCTCTCATGTGGATCTCAAGTAAACCATGACGTGCTGCAGTTTGGGTTTAGAACCCATGACTGTGCTTATGTTTTGATGGATAATTAAGAACCATGGATCTGAAGATCCATTACTGCAGTAAACTTATATAACTTATAATTATCTCAATTGTTTAGAAGAATGAAACAATGCCATCAAACGTGTGGGAAAATCATGAAGCCTCTTTGCAACAATAGAAATTAAATGGTGATGGAAAAGGATCACCTGGAAAAGTAGATCACCCAGTGCGGATGTTGTGGAAAGGTTATACTAGCTTTAAGTGGATGAGAGGACATCTGAGGCCAGACAATCTGCAGGGGTTTCAGTGTTTGCTTTCATCATCTCCAGTCTGGGTTCTTTTTCTACATTTCTAGCGATATGATCTCAACCTCAGCAAACACAATTATATATACATATATATTAATATATATAGTTAATCTCAAAACTTCCAGTCCCTTCCTAGCTGTCCTCCTCATAACGTGAGCCACGCTGATCCATGAAGACTGCACCAAACTGCGCAGCTGGCCAGCTCGGCAGCAAACTCTTGCTGTGTCCAATGTGAATCCGGATTTGATCCGAGCTCACTCCTGCATCCATGCCCACCTTCAAAGCCTAGGATCGCTATATGGGATTGATCAATGTATTCATGAAATAGCGATAAAATGCTATGAGTCTTTGACCCCTTGAAGCCTTTTTTCACAGAAAAGAGCTGGTGATCTTCATCTCCTCCGAACAATATGGGCAAAAAACAAGGGTCTCATGACCCATGGCCCATGACCCCAAGGACTGCTATCACCTCTCCCTTACAGCTTGGAAATCGCCTTCGCAGGCTAAGATCCTTGGAGATGTGGCAAACTACGGGTGTATCCACAGAGGGAATTCTTATACCACAAGTGCCATGGTTAATGCGACATGGTTAAAGCTGCTCTAAGGAAATCCACAATTTTATGGATGAAAAATGGAGTGACTCTTTCCATCCCATTGTTGGGTCGATCTATTCCAACATTTTCACCGCATATGCTACTCTCATGGGTCAAATCTATTGAGTCATCTGCAGGACGGTGCCCCCCAGGCCCCAGTTATAAGATAGTTCATAAACACCGTTAACTATAGATAACTATAGTTATATACGTTATACTATAGTTATATCTACATAATTCTACATATATCTACCATAAGCCATAGAATTCAGCCACTTACAAGGCAATTCAACCAGTCTCCTGCCACTTGCAGCACATTGCATGCCACCACCGCGTGGACAGCATCCGCCTCCAAGCTGTCAATGTGCAGCAACAGCGGAGGAACAGAGCGTTGCAGGGCGAGGAGCATGCGCAGGGCGGAATAACCTGATGATCAGGTGGCAAGCTGGGAGCTCCCCAAACTTCATGAGAAAATCATCATATTTCTAGCAATTTCTTGCCCATATTCCAGGGCCGAACATATTCCATGCCAAAATAGCTGGGAAATTTCAGGGAATTGCGAAGACCCCTTTCAGGTGAAATTTGTATTTCATACAGTTTGCCAAGTACTCCTTTTCTTCTGGCACGTACGTTGTCGACTGCACATGTTCTTCCGCAAAGAAGATCCTTACTTTCAACAATTTCTGGAAATGTCATAATTAATAATGTTGAGCTTTCCAAAAATGGATTAATAATGTTCTTATGGGAATTTGTCATCTACACTTTTCAGGATCTCAAAACCCAATTCATAAGCTTTAAGCTTATGTTCTGGCACGCTTGGCTGGCCTTTCACCAGCAGCGCCATCCCCATCTTTCTTGACATCTTTGTGGCCCCGCAAAGAGCCCTGCACAATAGGATCTCGGAACACAAATCATCGACGATCCTGTTTTCTTCCGTGCAAACTAATTCCACCGATAGAGTACGATGCCACCCCTGGAGTGCGCTAATTTTCTGGAATGCGAAAATAAAACAGTATGCGTGGCCCCCTTCGACCTTCCCCATGGATCCAACACCAGTTTTTTCCATCATATACCAGAAAATTATCACATTTCACCCTGCTGAGGTTTTTTTTTTGGGGGGGTCATTTTTGGCCAAAATGGCCTGGAATGCGATAGTATGTGAAACTACAGACGTCTCACGCGAAACCGCTACCTTGCCCATATTCCAGAAAACGTGATTCCAGGCGATTTTAGCCAAAAAAAAAAAAAAAACGCAAAAAAACGAAAAATCACCGAGTACGAAAAGATTTTATGGAGTGCGAAGATCTTGCAGAGTGCGTGGATTTTATAGTATGTGCACGTCCCTAGCTGTGGAGTGCGATGCCCTCGCTGGAGTGCGAAGAATTTGTGGAATGCGAAGAATTCCGAGTATGCGTGGCTGGTATAGAGACCACATAGGGAAATTTCGGGGCCAGAACCAAAATTCCAATCCCAAAGCCAGCCCAAACTTCCAGGGGCACACCAGTGGGTTCTATTTTTCCGAGTTCACCTTGGGTGAGGCCCGGGGGAAGATTGAGGAAAACTATTCGACATCAGTTGACGATTTGATATTTGCGAAATTCGATTGGCTATCATAAACTAATATCACATATATCACAGCTAATGTTTTTGCTAATAAGCAGCAGATATTATATACAATCATAATTGACTATATTTAATATATCATATACTATAATATAATATTCTAGAGGCAACATTCCCATATTCAGAAAATCTTCGCATACCATGTTTTCATCGTACTCCAGACCTGGGTTTTGGTATGCTACTTTGATAGGCATTTCAGCTCAATCTGGAGGGAACAGTTGGGCCACGGCGAATCCACTGAATGCCCCTCCACAGCTTTCTATCCCCTATGTCGTTCCAAAGCAGCTGTGGACGTTGAATGAATTGAAGGCTGCTTTGATAAGGAAGTTTCTTCATTTGTCTACCGAAGAAGGACAGGGTTGTCAAGGGTAACGTTTTTAAAGGTTGGCTGAGTAAAAATTAGAAAGTCCCGGCTTTTCCCGGTGCTTCAGCCATGTCACCACAATAAGTACCGATCTCCAAGATCTGGGTCGGCTGCTGAACTCCCCCTGCCACGACTGCTTCCAAGACCTGGAAACGACAACCGTGCTCCTCAACCCATCTTCTCTCCAAAACAACACATGGTGTTTGTACTGAGTGAGAGACGAGTCAGACATCTACATTTTAAAGAAACTATTGAAAATATCGGAATCGAGCTCTTCAACTTAATTGACTATGATGCGATTTTGTTCAAACTCAAAATCTTGAATGCGCCCTCTTTAGGATGCACCTGCTAGATGCGATAATAGACCCCTACCAAAAATTGAAGGCGAAAAGGGCTGCTTGGCATTCTACACCCATATTCAATATTCAATTTTCTTCATACCATCCTATACCATACCATTTTTATCCCGTTGGCATCCGTTTACATCTACGTAGCTCCACCACAAGCCGTCAACCACGCCTTGGCCTTCTGTGTTCCCGCCACCTTCAACCATCGCTTCGTCCCTGCGCCGAAGCTTTCGATGGCCCGACAGACCTCCGACGGAGTGGACGGGGCACAGTGCAGGAGGTGCCGCAACAAACGCAGCTCCTTGGTGTAGCGGTAGAGACCCTGTCAGGGGCAGAGAGACACACCTGGAAGGTGGTTGATCCTTCAATTTTGGAGAACTTTTAGAGACTTTGAGTGGGAGAAGTGGTGCTGGTAAACAGATCTATATTGTATGGCTACAGTTAATCCAAACAATCCAGGGTTTCAGTCATAATGATAATAATGATAATAATCAATATTTTATGCATGGGTTTTAAAACCATTTTTTGAGGGAACACATTTTTTCAATCTTACGACATTCCGAAGTTGAGATCCAATTTCTAGACATCATTTTTTGTTGAAAGCATAGCTTCCCATCCCTGCCTGTCTGTTGCTGGTGGTGGTAAAGAGCTGCTGTCGGGGAGCCTCCACGCCCGGATGCCGGTAAGCAGCTGCGGCCAACAAAGCAGACTGTAGCGTCGGCAGCAAACTGGGAGGGACAGCTACTCCATCCACAGTTGCGTGAGCCAACATGGAAAATACCATGACCTCAAGCGACAACAAACGAACACAAAGCCAATCGTCGCAGTGTTTGGGTTGCCACATTAGTTCAAATCTGGAATATTTCTGCATAACTTGCAGTAATTCACTCACCTGAATAGTGCTGCCATGTGCTGCCACTTTGGGATAGTTCCCCCCTGCTAACCATCAGTGACATCCAGTGACGTCCCGGTGAGCTAGATCCAGATTATTCCCATCTCGTTATATCTCGTTCATATTCCCAATAAACCACCATTTTTAGAGCATCCAGATCATTTGGACCATCCCTGACCTCCACTTCAGGTACTTCAGCAACTTCACCAAGCACTGCTGCGAGTGCATGAGAGCTTGGAGGAAAATTTGCCCTCTCCAAGGACTTCAGAAGATCCAATGCCTGAAATATTGCCAGAAAATAACCCGTTTTTGGTGCATGACCCAATGGCGTTGACTGAAAATACGGAACAACCCCAATATCTGATGGTTTCGCAATGTTTAGACCTCATTGTCTCCGTTGTTTCGTGTCAATAAATTGGGAATTTTCAAACTGCGGCATACATGACCCAATATTTCGAAGCTTAAAACCTTATGTTCCCCATTATATCATCGCATTTCTAGGGTCCCATCCCCTATTTTTAAATATGTGTGGTGGATATGGTCTACCCAATATGTTCCCAGTTTTTCCTATTTTGGTGGATTACCCTTCATATCCCTTCATTTCATAATCACTCCTTCTTATTTCACTAGATATTTAGACCATGGAAGGTCTTGAAAACTCATTTAAGATAACTGGTAAAACAATGGGATATTGACTCTTGACATGACTCTACAGACATCCCAAACTTGTTTACATCATGATGAATCTGTGAGGTCATAGTGAGGATGCTATTTCATTTACACCATTACGGATGGAAAAAGTGGATACTATCATTTACTGAGGATGCTTTCATTTACCGATATTTACACCATAATCAACGGGAACACAAAGTAAATGCCGGGATACCCAGGGCCACATGCTAGATTGACAACACGATAGCACGGTCGCGCTGGCACTCAGGGCGTCAGGTCCAAAATGGGCTGCACGCAGGGCGAAGAGGGAGAAGGAAGCTGTCCAAGCGCTACCTGGATAAAATCATATATCCAGGGATTGTTTGAAAAAATGGTTCAATGAACATAACTTTGATAAAAAAATATGTCAAAATATGTCAAGATGAAGGATTTAAGCATAGATTTGGAACATCTGAACATCTAGAACTATTCATTTCCAAGTCCCAAAACCCAAAACGTCGAAACAAAACACTATTGCAAAAAGGTAATTTTCCAATTTCAGAAAACTCAGCCAATCTCAGACACTTTTCTCACTCGAACTCACCAAGGTGTTGTAGAGCAGAGCATCCGGCACCAACTGCTGCTGGTCATTCTGCTCCAACGCGTCCAGGCACCGCCGCCAATGACCAGCGGATTCCAAGGTCTTCTGAAAGGAACAGCAGCTGATGGCATCGACTTCAACATTCCCTTGAAGGATCTTCAAGAAGTCCTGAGAAATGGGAATTTACAATGATTTACCACAAAAAAAATGGAATTAATATGGATTTACAGTAACATGAGTTCACTAAAACAGATTATGAAGTTTTGAATGATGGATCTGAGTTAACATGGTTTCAGCAGGAAAGATGATGACTGAAGAGGTAATCCAGTACTATACTAAACTACGTGAGGTTTCTAGGGTATGTTTTGTTGGGGGGAAGGGATTAATGATTCATGTACTTCTTGAATCATAGATTGGTTGGTTGGATTCTAGTAGTCCTCAGAATCTTTATCCATGGATAATTGTAGAACCTGCCTGCTTCGAACATGTCGGAATGAAGGGACTGCACTTGGCTAGGGTACTCCTGTTGATTCACTGAATTGCAGGGGTTTGTTTCAGCTAAAATCTACATCTATATCGAAGTTGGCTCTCAATGTTGGGAGCCTAGCACGTCAGCATGTTCCAAATGTAGAGTCCCTGCAAGTCTTGGAACGAAACCTCCATAAAGGGATCATCTCAGTTCATCGCCGGGCCTAGTTCATTGTTTCATTTTTGAGAATGTAGAGTTCCGAACTCAACTGAAAACCAAGACAAGGGCTCAAAGGAATGTTTCTTCCAGGGTTGCGAAGTTCGGGGCCCTAAGGATGTCCACCAGTCTCTGATCATTCATATTTACAAGGGCAGGCTCGCTACAAAATAGAAGCCCATGACCTCGATGCATGTAACCCATGACCTCCGAACAAAATCAAGATAGAATGAGAGTTCTGACCCCTCCCTCAATCACTATAAAATGAGATGCTAAACCGTTCAAAAATTCTTACACATACATCACCCCCTCCCATTCTCCAGAGGAAATTCCCACGGGGATATTTCAAGGAGTGCCACTCGACACCATCCCAACACCACACTTCGGACACCAATGCAAGCACTGTGTTTCCTCTCTGTGTCAATTTGCGCTACTTAAAGACAACTCCCGGCAAGAGAGTTCCCGAAGACCTGCTGGCAGAGTCGCACCATCCAAGCTTTGGTTGAACTTCGAGCCCAAAGTCAAGGTCTGCAGACCTGCTGGCAGAGACACGCCATCCAAGCTTCGGTTGAAACTATTGCCAAAAGTCAAGGTCTGCAGACCTGCTGGCAGAGACACGCCATCCAAGCTTTGGTTGAAGAAGTGCCCAAAAGTCAAGGTCTGCAGACCCGCTGGCAGAGCCACACCATCCAAGCTTTGGATGAACTTGTGCCCAAAAGTCAAGGTCTGCAGACCTGCTGGCAGAGCCACACCATCCAAGCTTTGGTTGAACTTGCGCCCAAAAGTCAAGGTCTGCAGACCTGCTGGCAGAGTCGCACCATCCAAGCTTTGGTTGAAGAAGTGCCCACAAGTCAAGGTCTGCAGACCTGCTGGCAGAGACACGCCATCCAAGCTTCGGTTGAAGCTATTGCCAAAGGTCAAGGTCTGCAGACCTCCTGGCAGAGACACGCCATCCAAGCTTCGGGGCAGACCCGAGCCCAAAGTCAAGGTCTGCAGACCTGCTGGCAGAGTCGCACCATCCAAGCTTTGGTTGAAGTCCCAGCTCAAAGTCAAGGTCTGCAGACCTGCTGGCAGAGTCGCACCATCCAAGCTTTGGTTAAAGTCCTGGCCCAAAGTCAAGGTCTGCAGACCTGCTGGCAGAGCCACACCATCCAAGCTTTGGTTGAAGCAGTCCCCAAAAGTCAAGGTCTGAAGACCCGCTGGCAGAGTCGCACCATCCAAGCTTTGGTTGAAGAAGTGCCCAAAAGTCAAGGTCTGCAGACCCGCTGGCAGAGTCGCACCATCCAAGCTTTGGTTGAAGAAGTGCCCAAAAGTCAAAGTCTGCAGACCTGCTGGCAGAGACACGCCATCCAAGCTTCGGTTGAAGCTATTGCCAAAGGTCAAGGTCTGCAAACCTCCTGGCAGAGACACGCCATCCAAGCTTCGGGGCAAATCCGAGCTCAAAGTCAAGGTCTGCAGACCTGCTGGCAGAGTCGCACCATCCAAGCTTTGGTTGAACTTGCGCCCACAAGTCAAGGTCTGCAGACCTGCTGGCAGAGCCACACCATCCAAGCTTTGGTTGAAGCAGTCCCCAAAAGTCAAGGTCTGCAGACCTGCTGGCAGAGCCACACCATCCAAGCTTTGGTTGAAGCAGTCCCCAAAAGTCAAGGTCTGAAGACCCGCTGGCAGAGTCGCACCATCCAAGCTTTGGTTGAAGAAGTACCCAAAAGTCAAAGTCTGCAGACCTGCTGGCAGAGTCGCACCATCCAAGCTTTGGTTGAACAAGTCCCCAAAAGTCAAAGTCTGCAGACCTGCTGGCAGAGTCGCACCATCCAAGCTTTGGTTGAAGTCCAAGCCCAAAGACAAGGTCTGCAGACCTGCTGGCAGAGACACGCCATCCAAACTTTGGTTGAAGTCCGTGTCCAAAGTCAAGGTCTGCAGCCCTGCTGGCAGAGTCGCACCATCCAAGCTTTGGTTGAAGCGTTTGCCAAAAGTCAAGGTCTGCAGACCTGCTGGCAGAGTCACACCATGCAGGGTTGCATCGAAATCCTCACTTAATTTCAGGTGTTGAAGGCTGCTGGGTAGTTGTAAAAGCTGCCTAGCCGACTCACCTCCAATTCGTGTCAGGCCATGCAAGGAAAACTCCTGATCCTCCACCTGTTCTCCTTGCAGATACTTCCAGGCTGCCAAAATATCCACAGGAACATAGACATAGGACAAGGTGGCGCATTCTCCAAGCCCTTGCTGCCTGAGGGTCTGGTCCAAGCTTAGTGGCGACGATCCGTGCTGCACCGAGATGCGTGACCCGGCCTTGGACGGCAGCTCTGCACTGATCATCTGTCGGAGCTGCCGGCCAGTCATGGAAAGAGACACCTCGGGACAGGGAAGACATCTTGGTGGAATGTCTTCAGAATGGCTTGGTCCGAAAATAGTGTACAATTACCTCCAAAAATGGCCGTTTTGATGGTGAAAATGATGATAAACAATTGATACATCGTCAAAATTGAAGGTAAGAAAAGGGGTCTATTTTCAAGCAAACGCACTTCTTGAAACCCATGGAGTTTTGTTTTTTGGGCCAACCCATCCCAGAAATATTCAGCGAAAAACTCGACTTTGCCAAAGAGTCGTTTTTATTCATCCACCAGCTCTTTCTCAACAGGATGGAATAACTCTTGCATCCGAATGCTACTTTTGCATTGAGAGAAGGCTCAAGAATTGGGCAAACGTAACACATGATACACACGTGGGAGCACAACATTCAGAGCTGAAGCGTCTAATTCTGTATTTACAGAGGTCAACCACTGGTTGAAACTCCCTAACCTACCAGCCGACAATGCCGGAAGAAAGCATTGAATTATGGCGATTTCCACAAGAGACTTTCTATGGTCTGCGTCTTGCTGATTCCCCTTTTCAATCATTCCTGATCAATTTTTGAACCATGTTGGGCCTGTGATATAGTCCATAATACCCAGCACTACCTTTTGATGATTGTCTCACCAGCCATCTAGGTGTTGCTTGGCTGGTGGTGCATGCCCCCGATTCAGGAAGTTATCCGGTATGGGTAAATGCCTCAATTTCCAGTCAGATGTCCTATCACACGGAGGTCTTGGTTGGTTGGTTGGTTGGTTGGTTGGTTGGTTAGTTGGTTGGTATTTCAAATGGGTAAATGCCTCTATTTCCACAATTAAGTATTGGCTGGTGAACTCCTAAAATTATGATTTGATAGTTTCTAAGAAACGCACAAATACTTGACTACTTCCAGAGATCATTGAACAAAAAAAGCGCACATGTATCCTGCCAAGCTGCATCGAATTTCCGCCTCTTCCCCTGCAAGCTGACCAGCACCACGCTGATGCCATCAGACTCACCGACCATGGCCACGGGCACTGCGGAATGGGAGGATTCACTGCGGATCGCTACGTTGGAGCAATCCTGTTGTGTCATGCTGTGTCTTTTTTTTTGTTTCTTTATTTTGACCCTTTTGTAGATATTTATTTTGGAGGAAGCAAAACAAAGAGAAGGACATGAACATCAAACTTGAGTAGCGATGCACTTTTCTACTCTCTTAGGAATTCTTGGGATCCATTGGCAAGATCATTGAGACATTGCTGCTCCTTACTATTCCTTAACACCTATGTGCTTGAAGCAACATCAAGTCTTGATCCGAGAACTGTAAACCGAACACATGCCATGTGCAGTTTTTTTCCATGGGAAACGGTACCTAAACTCCATTAGAACTCCCTACGAATTAAGTGGAAAAGGACCTGAACTAAATATATATATATACCTGGAGAACCAAAACCCTAAGAATTCTTCGGGTCAACGCAAGAACCTGAGGTATTTCGGAAAAAATAAGAAAACCTCGGTTTTCGATTGGAGACCTCGGGTATTGATTTTGAACCCGTACTTAACCCGTACCTAACCCGTACCGAACCCGTACTTAACCCGTACCTAACCCGTACCTAACCCGTACTTTCAGCATGGGTTAAAATACCCCGGGTTCTGTCAGAAAAACTCAGGTGTTTTTCAAACCCTAAGATTTCTGCGGGTTTTGGTTCTCAAGGTATATATATATATCATATCAATATATCCATGATGAGAAAAGTCGTACCTAAATTGGAGGTACCCAACTGTGTGTTTTGGCCTACGTATGTCACTGAATACCGTGATAGCCCCCCATGAAAAGTATGGATTGAAACATTGCAAGGTGCCTCCAATTTAGGTACCTGAATAGGCACCAAAGCTCTCGGTTTCAAGTTGAATTGATAGCTGCACTGTGTTCGCTACCAAGTATGAATCGTCTTGTTCACTCGGAACATGGACGACAACTTCGAAACACATCTATCGAATTATAGAACGCATGTCTCTTGGTGGTTACCTTGATCCTTTTTTTGCATGGTGTCTTCCAATTTCTTTTGTGCTTTTTGTCTCTGTTGTGTTGGTTCACCAGTTGTTGGTTCTATTCCCGCTTCCAACCTTATATTCACTGGTTCGGTTCAAGGAACCAAAACATGGACATTTTTGGTGGTGAATCCTGTCGTGTTGTGGCTGAATCCCAATTTGTCATCATGTTGAATCCCTCCTGGGTTTATAGCTAGAGTAATCCCCATTTATCGATGAAGTCCCCCACCGTTGTGTTGGCCCAGCATCCGCCGCTGTCAACCACTGCAGGGATTGCATCACAGCACTGAATCCAGGGAGAGATCTGCCTGCAAGACAAGCGCAACAGGTATTTTTTACTAAATCCCATTGGTTGATGTATGTCATCCATGATAATGACAATAATGTGTGTATTTATCTGGCTAGTTGAGGGTTGAGCAATTTTTCACTCAATCATGATCATGTGTCTCTACATCACCTATATATATATATTCTTTATACAGATTTATATATTTTCTTTATGGATGTTAATGGGGCTATTTGAGGGTTGATCATATTCGTCAGCGGGCATGATGGGAAGGAAAAACATGACACCATCACGATCAAACGTTTTTTTTTGCATATTTTTCACTTTTGAATGAATTCTACATAAGTAAGGTAAGTTGACATCTTGTATACCTGAATCCATAGCAGGAGCTATGAAAGTCAGTCATCTGTGATCGTCAAAACACATTGTCAAGCTTCTTGACACGCATCAAAAATGGTGAGACCCTTGGTCCTAAGTCGCCCTAAATCATTCATCCAACTGCGGAATGCTTCCCGAAAATCCCGCTGAAAAGTCCCAGCTCTTCCAAAGCTATCACCTCCCTGCTCAAAATCGCGGCAGTGGATTGGTGATGGTATGTGATGGTATGTGAAAGGTGAAATTCACATTTTCGGTGGTTGAGTTACCCTCTGGTAATTTAACATAGCTATTGAACATGGCCCATTTATAGTTGATGTACCTATTAAAGATGGTGATTTTCCATAGCTATGTTAGTTTACCAGAGCGTATCACTCTCGATGCTTGAATCTATCTGCAAACTTTTTGGTGCTGAAATCCCCACGGTGGTTGCTTGTGAATCGGCATTTTCTTTGACTGCAACTTTGTTGTTTCGTTATCCCCTTGCACCACATATCATCGAAATCTTCGCTTATGTTGTTCAAATATCCATGTTGGTCAATTCAACGCCGTTCTCACTTGATGGTGGCATCATAACATATGCATTTCGACTGATAATAACGATCATCTCACCATTTGTTGCTTAAATCCTCAAATATCCCCCTTGTTGGGTCAAATCCAAATTCCGGTGATGAATTCCCAATGTCAAACATTTTCGGTTAGTTGGTTCAACCCAAATTATCATTCCAGTGATGTAGCCTTGTGGTTGTTATTTAAAATCTAACCATATATAACTATATTATATAGTAATATTCGCAATGTATATCATATTATCCCCGAATAGTACCACCATCTTTGGATGGTGAAAAATCGAAAAAAAAACAGAAGATATTGTGCTGGACACACTGGAGCAGCCACCTCACCAAAGCTATAGCAGCTCTGAACCCTGAACAATCATTCACTTTGTCACAACTATATATCTTTCAAGGAAACCATCTTTGATGGTAAAATCCCTTCTTTTGATGGTCAAACTACCACGAATTCACAATAAAAACCACCAAAGATTCTATATACCCACCAAAAATTACCCAACCATTCCCCAATGAAGATCTTCCATGTGAATTTCCCCGGTCGTAGCGGACTTCCATTGGGACAACCAGCCGTACCCAGCACCTCCGCCTCGAAGCCGTTCAGTCTGCAGGACAGCCAGGCCTTTGGGCCAGGCCCATTCGCCAGCGCAGGCGTTGGATAAAATGTTCGACATCACTGCATCCTCGGGGCGATGAGGGAGGTATTTTTTCTAGTGAAAACATGATGTAAATCAGACTTTGATTGGTTTTATCTTTTAAGTTCACTAGTTGATAAAGATGAATGGGCCCCCGAGTACCAATGAATCTTCAACAAATTGGGTGATTTAACTCGATTCAACCTGCCAAAATTGGAATTCCATCGGTTGTTGTTTTTTCTGAAATGAGTTTTTCATTGCGAAAACACATGAAAACACCAACTACAATGATTGGGAAATCAAGTGGTAGGTGGCAATGAACGAAGCCCCAACTTATTGACACCATGGAGTAATTGCTCCTAACCACCAATCAACATTTGGCCCATGACACAATGACAGGGGTAAAATTGGGTACATTAGGCCCTTTAACTTCCAAAAAACTAGGGTATCCACTTAAGTTAATATCATGTTCAAATAGGTAGTTCATGGTAATTCTAAGTCTACTATCTTCCACAATGAACTACCATGCTAGGACTAGCATAAACTACAACATAGATTATAAACGGGTGCAGAATTGTTTTTGGTATTTTTTTTTTACAGTTTTGGATTTTTTTTTGGGGTTCGTGCCTCTTCAATTTTTCCATGGTTTTCTTCAATTTTTCCATGGTTTTCTTCAATGTTTCCATAGTTTTCCTCAATTGTTCCATGGTTTTCTTCAATTTTCCATGGTTTTCTTCAATTTTCCATTGTTTTCTGCAAGTTTTCCATGGTGTTCTTCAATTTTTCCATTGGTTTCTTCAATTTTTCCCGGGTTTTCTTCAATTTTTCCATGGTTTTCCAATGGTTTTCTGCAAGTTTTCCATGGTTTTCTTCAATTTTTCCATAGTGTTCTTCAATTGTTCCATGGTTTTCTTCAATTTTCCATCGTTTTCTGCAAGGTTTCTTTGGTTTTCTTCAATCAATCAATCTCTATATATATATATATGTATGTGTATGTATGTATGTATGTACGTAGGTAGGTAGGTAGGTATGTATGCATGCATGCATGTATGTATGTATATGCAGGGTGTGGTTTAGGGTTTAGGGATACAACATGTAATTAGGTATAATTACATGATTATTTGTTGTATATGTTGGGATCAAAGTTGTGTATAAAAACAACCACAAATATGTCATATATATATATATGTATACGTCTGTATATCTATAAGTAAATATGTATGTGTATTTATAATATATATATATATTTATAGTTATATATTTATGTAAATATATATATATATACATTGATATGTATATACATATTAATATGTATGTATGTATATATATATATATATACATTTATATAAGTACATTAATATATATAAATATAAGTGTATATATAAATGCAAATATATACATATACATATACATATATATATATATGTATACGTGTGTCTATATATATATGTCTAGATATATATATATGTCTAGATATATATATATATAATTTTTAACAAAATATTAATATAGTCGAATCAAACAAGTGTATTGAAAAGTGTGCAAGTTTGAATTTAAATAATTAAAAAAAGCGGGAGGGGGGGGATTGGGGGGAGGGCGCAGCGCCTCCCCGCCAAAGCAGATTGGAAACACCTATTTTACATGCAAGGTGCTGGGTTGAATGTGATACTCAAGGTGTATAGACTACACGACATGCACCCTGGAAACATGTGGAATACAGTACATATACTTATAGATACATACTTCTTTATATATATATATATATACATTTATATGATTTATATGTATATACATATGAATGTATATATATAGGTACATAAATATATATTTATATGTAAATATAAATATATAAAAATAAATATATAAATATAAATATAAATATATAAAATATCAATATGAATATGTAAATATAAATATATCAATATAATATATATTTAAGTGTATATATACATGCATAAATATATATATAAATATATTTACATATATATATATATGTATATATATATATGTAAATATATATATATGTATATATAAATATATATATGTATATATATATGTATATATATATATATATATATATATATGAATTTGAACATAAATAGTAGTAATATGTATATATATATATAAAATATATATATAAGTAGAAAATATAAATAATATAAATATATCTAGATATAAATATACAAGTGTGTATATAAATGCATATATATATATAAATATACATATATATATATGTAAATATATATATATATTATGATTTTAATTTAAACATAAATATATATATATATATATGAATATAGTCGGTTCAAACTAGTGTATTGAAAAATGTGCAAGTTTGACATACTAAAAATACCACCAAAAGCCATGGAAAGCAAGCCAAAAGCCAAAAGCAAACAAGCAAAAAGCAAAAAAGCAAAAAAGGCAAAAATAACAAAAAGCAAAAAAACAAAAAGCAAACAAGCAAAAAAGCAAAAAAGCAAAAACGCAAAAAATCAAAAAAAGCAAAAAGCAAAAAAGCACAAAAGCAAACAAGCAAAAAAGCAAACAAGCAAAAAAGCAAAAAAGCAAAAAAAGCAAAAAAAAGCAAAAACGCAAAAAAGCAAAAAAGCAAAAAAAAAGCAAACAAGCAAAAAAAAACAAAAAAAAACAAACAAAAAAGCACAAAAGCAAAAACGCAAAAAAAAAGGAGAAAGCAAGATAAAACAAGAAACCCAAAAAAAAATCCAAAAACGTAAAAGAAAAAAAATCCAAAAAAAAATAGGCCTCCATTATAAACTACCACAATCAACATGCCCATCATAGCAAATGATTCCAAAAATGGCTTCTGATTGGCTCGTGCTCGAGGTGAAACTGAATGATATACCCTCTGTTAATCAAACGTATAGTTGATTTGCCTATTAAAACCTCCATTCCCTTCGGGGATTTTCCCGGCTGGTCCTTGGTGGCCTCACTGCACTGAACGATGCATCTTTGCCATTGCCGAGCTGAAGCACACGCATTCAATAGACCTTGGCGAGAAGGATATGGCCACCAGATCTCCAAATATGGGGGGAACCCCATAAATCCCCATAAAACGGATGGTTTAGAATGGAGCATCCGATTAAAATGGATGATTTGGAGGTACCTCCATTTCAGGAAACCTCCATGTATCCACATCATCTCCAAGTCATATTCATACTCATTCTGCCAAACTGTTTGCCGAAAATCAATGACTCACTGTCCGACTCCAAGATCACCCAAATCCATAACCAAGATTCTTCCAAATCCATGTAACAAATATCACCCATATCCATCATACTGCCACATGCCATATCCAACTCAAAAAAAATGATACAGGACGTACAAGCGGACGCCCTTACTTACCCCATACACCTAGTAGTTACCCCATCCGCAAGGCACACCGAGTTACCCCAGGGCAGACAATAGTTACCCCAGGTTTCAAATCACCAAGGCACAGCGGCTCAAATGCATCATGTTTTGAAGTCGTTGCAAACTTTGAATCATGTCCCTAGCTTGCATTTAGCCATGCCAGGAATCAGAATATGGGAAGGTGCGACCTGTCAACTTGGAGTCAAATCCCAATGGCACACCGCCAGAAGCAATTCCAGGCCAAAAGCTCAGTCAAGAATTTATTCAACAGCATCGCCAGCTTGCGTTCTGGTATTTCCAAAAGAAACAAAATAAAGGGTGTCCATTCTCAAAAAAGTTAAAATCCCAATGGCACACTTGCAGGAAAGTGGAAGACTTTCACGAAGACGTTGCAAACTTTGAATCATGTCCCTAATCAGAATATGGGAAGGTGCGACCTGTCAACTTGGAGTCAAATCCCAATGGCACACCGCCAGAAGCAATTCCAGGTCAAAAGCTTAGCCAAGCATTGAAACAGCATCACCAGCTTGCGTTCTGGTATGCCCAAAAGAAACAGAATAAAGGGTTTCCATTCTCATTAAAGCCAAAACCCCAATGGCACACTTGCAGGAGAGTGGATGACTTTCACAAACAAAGTTTGAAATTAATCTCATTGAAATCACACCCTGCCCTGCTGTAACGGAATCCGAGACATATGGAATATGGATGTAATACCAGAATCATGACTCTGGAAAAGTTTTTGGACGAGGTACCGGACGAGATACCGGACGAGGTACCGGAATTACATTTTGCCATCCCGAACCCACCCCACGTATCCCCACGTCAGATCAAAAACAGTAAATGGTGAAAACAATGTGGATAGGTCCGAAAGATCCAAGCAATAAGGTCCGGAAGATGAGGTGGAGGAGGATGATGTTGTGGAAGATGAGGTGGAGGATGATGATGTTGAGAAGGAGGAAGATAATGATGTTGAGGATGATCATGTTGAGGAGGAGGATGAACAGGATGATAATTAATGTTGCGGAAGAGGAGGTGGAGGAGGAGGATGTTGCAGAAGATGAGGTGGAGGATGACGATGTTGAGGATGATGATGTCAAGGGGGAGGACGAGGATGATGCTGAGAATGATGATGTGGAGGAGGAGCAAGATGATGATACTGAGAAGGCGGAGGAGGAGGAGGACCGATCACAAGACCCCCGAGTGTGTACACACCGTGTGGGAAACTCATGTTGCTCCAGGGATTGTTAGGGGGCAAATGGATATAACTAATGTTTGCCATGTTCAGAATCACTGCGTGCCTATGCGTTGTGCTGTAAAGATCATACCAAATAACAAATCATGTAGTAATTCATTCCAGATATTCCAGTGGTTGTGTCACTTCTTCCGCATGGCACACCGAGATAAGACAACAAAGTGCTATCTGAGACAATTTAGGGCCTTCACCCAGTACTGACTTTTTTCAACACTCACATTTAATCATAATCTCGTCCGAGTGACTTTGTAAAAACTTTCTCGATATGAACATGACAAAACCTTTGGGCACCCCCTACATCAAAATGGAACAAAAACAAACTATCACAAAAACCAAGGGCACCACCTTTTTTTCAACAAAAAGAAGTATTAAACATTACAGAGCAGTTAACAATATCACTCACAATGAAACAAATTTT